GAGGGTGTCAACCCTCCCGCGTGAAAAAAAGGTTGCATTTAGATTTAGTGTCACCCTTCACTTATATTTTATTAATTTTACTGGGTAAAACATAGTAGACAATTGACAGTAAATTTCCAGATTTTTTTTGTTTGGGAGTCTCCCCCTATATTATGTCACTCAGGGCGGAATGCACCCCCTCCCTCCACCCCCCCCCCCCACCACATTGGACGTGGTCCGTGAAATTGTGCCCCTCCCCTTGAGATATGCCTGATAGAAATACTGTCTAAATCTAAATTCTCTGTTCAAAAGTGTAAGTTTGTATTGATTTTAGTAAAATATTGGCCAAATTTTTTCACTCACGTAAGCCTAAATTACTAAAACATCATGCATGCATTTTCTAAATTTTCAGACAGCGAGAACTACGTCAACAGACCAGGTTGAAATATGTTAAAATATTTGTAAAACATATGTGAATATGTGGCTATTTCTTTCATTTTTTTTTCTCTATCCAACGCTTCACCCCTACCTGTTTGATGTTTTTTCTTTATTGATGTTTTTTTTTTCTTAAAAATTATTTAGAACACAATGACAAATAATTCTAAGAATGGTAGATCTAGATCTAGGCTTAATCTAGATCTAGCATCATCTGTGTTAGGGTATTTTCAACCCAAAAAAATATTGATGGCTGTTGTTTGTTCTAAATAAGTTTTGAATTAAGATTAATTAATTCTGAGAATGGTAGATCTAGATCTATGCTTAAACTAGATCTAGCATCATCAGTGAGGTGTATTTTCAACCCAAAAAAAAAATATTGATGGCTGTTGTTTGTTCTAAATAAGTTTTGAATTAAAATCACAGGCATGAGCATGAGCTGGTCAATAACCTTTTTGTTTTCCTGCATTTTCATTTATACCTATAACCCATGATGATGTTGATGATATAAAACTCTTCGTGCATCTTTTCACAGGGCTCGCGCAGAAAAGAAAAAAAAAATTGAAACTAAAATAGTAACTTTCATAGTTCATAGTGTTAATTAAATTTTGTTTTGAGTTTTCCATCAAACCATTTATTTAGTCTATAATTTATAATCTTTATATCTAGTTCCAGCTATGCATTAGCTGACTTGTAGATTGTGTTTTAGATTTAGGTTAGTTACTTTAAACTGATCAATTTGGCTAGATCTAATTATTATTATAACAGCTTTAATTAAGTAGTGGTAGGTTTTTTTAAAATGTCAAACATGCAAAGGCAAACTGATATTGAATAGATCATCAGCAAATGATGATCAGAATAAAACCTTATGTGTTTGTTATTTTTAGAAAAGAATCACACAAAAATTAAAGTTTTTTTTACAACTGTTTGCATTTTAAAACATTTTTTAACTGTTGGTACAATATGCTAGGACCCAATCAATCAAAATAAAGACATAATAAAAAAAAACAGAGTTAAATAAATACATAGGCCTATATCAAATATTTTTATCTGCACTTAACTTTTAAAATATGTTCACTGATTTTTTTAGTCACATTTTATACTTTGGTTCTTATTGTTTTGCCGTACCTGCATATTCTTTTAGTTGATATTTCAGTACTGAGTTGATAGTGTTAGCTTTAGTATACATGCTAACAGCATAAGATTTTATGTAAATAACTATATAAATTGATGGGGTGCAAAATCTATCATTCACCCTGGGCGCAGGAATCTATCGCTAATTCCGAACTAATTCGCTATGCCTCTGTTCAGAACTCTAGATTTTTACAGGGTTCAGATACTGTTAGCTTGCTTGCATCCTACCAGCTTGAATTAGGAAAATAGTTTGTGTGTATGGCTAATAAATTGATTGATATTGTATATATGGATGGCTTCTTTTTTTTCTTTGTTATCTTGTTGCTTTTTGAATTACTTTATTCGACCGTATGTTAATGATACAATGCAGCTTTTAAAAAATATTATATATATAGGCCTATACATTAGTATATAGGCATATATATATATATATATATATATATATATATATATATATATATATATATATATATATATATATATATATATATATATATATATATATATATATATATATGATATGATATTAACAATAAATTAATAATTTTATTATGAAATTACTTTCAATTATAAAGGTAAAAAAATTTATATGATGTTTTTAACAAAGGCTTTCCAAATTCAAAATAATTTTTTTTTTCAAATTTTACATTTTTGACAATAAATGTCTACTTACAAGATCCCATTACACTATTAGGAATTTCCCCAGCAATCAATTCACTTAAGATGGCATAGTTGAAGAGAATGTTTTTAATGTTAATATTTTTCTACTAAAGACTTTTTTGTTTTATGTAATTAACTGCAAGTACTCAATGTTTAAATGTTTACTTGATACTCCTAGGTGAGGATAATGTCAAGCTTCATGGAGTGAGTGACAGAGAAGATGAAATGGAGCGACTTGCAAGAGTAAGCATTCATTCCTTCTGAGCATTTATAGAAAACATGTTCATGTTAGGAGTAGGGGTGTCTTCGGTGTGTGTGTGTGTGTGTGTTTTATCCAGAGTAATTAGTAGCAACTCAATTGGGTAATTCTTAAAAATCTATTTAAAAAATGTCTGCTCATAGATTTAAGTTTTCCATATATATATATAAAGAACTAAATTTATTAACTAGTTTTTGGGTGAACATACCAGAACAAGTAGAGAACAGCAATATTTTAAATTACAACGGTGATAATATGTTTTACCTCCGTGTGCTATTTTCAAAAGCATAAATTATACTCAAGGTTTTTTATCAAAAATTTAAATCAAACTCCTTCAGTAGTTAGACATTGTTGACCCCAATACAATTATTATTATTATAAGTTGTTTTCACACTGGTATAGTCTGTAATGTATTGCTGATTTTCCCTAGGAACTTGGAAGAAGTGAAGGACTACCCCCAGAGGAAGCAGCTAATATCCTGTCCCGACATATTGCCCAAGAAACCCCACACAGCAGAGGCTGGTACCGCATGAATGCAATCAGGAGCTTAACAGGAGGCAAAAAATTGATACCACAGGTTACAGATGCATTCCAGAGTGTAAGTTGTACTTTATTCTAGATACTTCCTTATAAATGATGGGATGGTATAGGGAAGTGGAAGAGTGCATGTGTCCAAAAAGGAGTATTTACTATGTTATAATTTTTGGCTGAGATTTTGGGATTAGAAAATTAATGATACTACTTATTTTTAGACTAAATGAAGTAACAATATTGCAATTCTATAAAAAAAAATAAAAAATAGGGTTATGAATGGTGAATTATAAATCATTAAATACATTTTTAAAAAAAATAATTTAATAATCATTCGTACTAAGATATGTTCTTATCTGGCAAGAAATGTTTTGACATTTCTAAAAATGTTCATTTTAATATTAAAAATCTGGCAATAAAAATTAGGTTTTAGTTGTTAAATTTTTTAAAACTATATAATTGGTAATTCTATATTGCAATAAAATTTTAATGGAATTAAAAAAAAAATACAGGCCTATGTATTTATTTATTTTTTTGGTCATGTTGCTGTTAGTTGTATGGTGACGTACAAGCTACAGAAGGAGACGCGGGAGAGAAAAAGTCCAAAAAGCCAAGCTTTGACCACAGTGATGGTGGCAAGAACGCTGTCGTCCAGTTCACTGCTGCCTCCGTTGCTGTCATGGAAAATGAAGGCAAAGTTCGGCTTGGCATCAAGCGAACTGGATTGATGTCAATACCAGTTTCTGTGAGGTTAGGAAATTTAACTCATTAGACCTCGTCCATAAATAAGTTTTTGCATCCTTATAAGGGGTCATCCATAAATGACGTCACACTTTTTTTGACGATTTTTACCTTCCCCCCTCCCCTCCATCACACGTCATCACAAAAAACCAGACCCCCCCCCCCTAAAATGATATCACACCTCAACCTACAACCCCCCTCAAAATTGCAGTTGAATTTTTTTAAAACATCGATATTTTTCTAAAATCTTGTCTAAACTATTACACTTTATTAAAACAGTTATCTAAAACGCGAAATAGCGTCTAAAATTCGTTTTTTAACATTGCTTTTTTATAATGCAAAAATGTGACGTCGCAACATCTGAACCCCCCCCCCCCCTCCCCCTCATCACACATTGTCAAAAAATTATGGACCCCCCCTCCCCCCTACGAGTGTGACGTTATTTATGGATGACCCCTAAGTTATATGGTTATTTTACCACCCTATACCATTGTCACAACCCATCAATAAAAAAAACCTACCCCCTACTCCAACACATAATACATTATTAAAAAAAAAATTATTCTTAAATGTTAATTGTGCTCCATCTAAACTAGGTATACTAGTAAAAAAATGTTACAGTTTATACATTTTAAAATATGGAATAACTGCTAAACTTCAGTTTAAAAAAATATTTTTTAAATTCAGAAGTAAGACATCATTCCGACAATTTTCTTAATGTATATTTTATCATCAAAGTTTGCTTTCAGCTTTGAAGATAGATTTTAAAATGATCTACATATATATCCAGTGACATTATAAATTGTGTACCAATATTCTTGACCACAGGGTGGAAACCATCAATGGATCAGCTGTTTCTGGTGAAGATTACAAAGCTTTTGATGGGCTTGTGGAGTTTAAGAAGAATGAAGCTCTGAGAGAAGTTTTTATTGAGATTGTTGACGACAACGAGTGGGAACCGGATGAGTTTTTCTTTGTGAAACTGAGACTCGAGCCCAACAGCAACTGTGTGCTGGGTGGAGTCAGCATCTGTGAAGTTACGATCATTAATGACGATGGTGGGTGAAGTTGCTAAAAATAATGATTGTGGGTGAAGCTGTTATAAATTGTGATGATGGTGGGTGAAGTTGCTAAAAAATAATGATTGCGGGTGAAGCTATTATAAATTGTGATGATGGTGGGTGAAGTTGCTAAAAAATAATGATTGTGGGTGAAGCTGTTATAAATTGTGATGATGGTGGGTGAAGTTGCTAAAAATAATGATGATTGTTGGTTAATTTACCAAAATTAATGATGATGGTGGGTGAAGCTATTATAATTTATGATGATAGTGGGTGAAGTTACTATAGTTGATGATGATGGGAGGTATAAAGTTTACTAAAATAAATTATGATGGAGGGGGAAACTACAACCACTGATAATTATTGAATGATTTTTAAAAGATTTCTTATGTTATAATTATTTTTAAATCATTTAAATTATAAAAATTTTTAAACAAGCTCAACATTTATTTTCTAAAACTGAAGAGTAATATCCACATTTGAACTCTGCACAATGCGCTCTGAATACATTTTATTTTGTTTACAGAACCAGGAGTTCTTGCTTTTGCTAAACCAAGTTTTGTAATCAAGGAGACAGGATTGAAAGCTCTGATACCAATTGTAAGGCTAGGTGGAGCTGATGGTCATGTATCTGTCAAATGGCAGACTAAAGACATCACAGCAGTGGAAGGGAAAGATTACTCTGGTAGAGAGGGAGAGATTGAATTTGAAAATCAAGAATCAACAAAGAACCTCATTATCCCTCTGTTTGAAAGCAATGTAAGGTTACATAGTTGTTGTATGGGCTTATTATTATTATGAGCATGATGTTTAAAAATGTGTATCAAATACTCTCAAATGGAAATTAACAGCTTAATTTAAAATAGTGATGAAATTTTTAAAATTTAGTAGCATTAGTCTTTATTTTGAGCAAAGATTTAAAATGTTAGCATTAATTAAAAACATGTTGACTTTATAATGTTGATTTCATCTGAGTACTTTGAATTTAAATATACAATGTAGCCTAATTATAATAGAGAGAATATTCAAGTACTTGAGGTTATGAGAAATATTTAAAATATTCTTAAGACTTACTTACAGCCCTTCACCCTGGTATGACTTTGGTTGCTAAACTTATTGCCATTTCTGTAGCAATGTTTATTCAGGATAGGGTTGCAAGTTCCACGCCTGAACTTCTTTCTTTATTCTAACTTGGGACAGGCAGTGGGTTTCATTGGTGTAGTTATTATGTAAAATACTTCTACTTATATAATTACAACAAATTTGTAATTTGACACATTCAAGTGCCAAACAGATATAAGAGAAAAAAGCTTAAAACGTATGAAAATATTTGACTTTATTTTTCTCCTAATATCTGATTTTCATTTTTGCATTTCTCTATCTCCAGAAAGTGGAAAGAGATGAAAGTTTTCAAATTGAATTGACTGAAACCACTGGTGGTGCTACACTAGGAAAAATTAGCAAAACAGTTGTGACAATAGTGAATGATGAAGGTAAGACAAAACATGTACCAGTTATATATGCGGATATCTTATCATGTTAAATATCTTGTTATTTTAGTTCATCTATTAATAAACTAACTGTAGTTGCAGTGTTGGAATATCATAGACTACATTACTGATTTGAAGTTACTTAGTTTTTTGGCATAGATGACAGATTTAAATGTAAACATGTTCTTTCAATGATTAAATGAAAATTATCTGTAAAATGTTTATAATTCACATTTAGGACAAAAAAACATATTTTAATGTGAGCAACTATTTCAGAATTTAATGGACTTGTGAGCCGCATCCTAAACATGACTCGAGCCAATTTAGATGCTCTGGAGCTGCACAAGACCACATACATGCAGCAGTTTATTGAGGCAATGAATGTCAACGGAGGAAATGTTGCAACAGCCACATTTGTAGATTACATCTTACATTTCTGTTCATTTTTCTGGAAGGTGTGTATGACTTTAAAAATAAAATGCTGGAACTAATAATTATATAGCGTAGGTCAAATAAATAGAGATTTTTCTATTCATCAAAATCTAAATTTTAAAAAAATCCTCTGATGTTTTCAATATTTACTTATAGCTAGACAAAAATGTAGGATCATTGTTGACTTTATAAATAACTAAAAAAAAAATGAAAGTTAATTTAAAAACTAAACTTATGTACACTTAAATAAATTGTGTTTTTGCATTTTCTTTTTGCAACTGAATGTAATATTCTGTCAATATAGTAGGCTATATATAGATTGGAAAAAAAGGGAAAAGAATTAAAATTAGATGAGGTAGTTTTTGATACAAAATATTAAACTTTTTAAAATAACTGTACACGATTAACTACTAAATTATTATCTCTATGACTCTTTCAGTTGAAAAAAACATTCAAATTACTTGTTTCTGAACAAGTTTTTCCCTATTCCCTTCATTTCCTACTTAATGATTTCCATAAATTCTTACTATTTGATTGCAAGAAATGTTTTTATCTCACAACTATTTTTTTTCTTTTTTCAGATTTTGTTTGCTTTCATCCCTCCAGCCCAGTACTTTGGTGGGTGGCCAGCATTTTGCATCTCACTTGCAGTTATAGGTTTTCTAACTGCTATTATTGGGGATCTTGCTAGTATCTTTGGTTGCCTGATAGGACTTGAAGACAGCATTACTGCTATAACTCTGGTTGCTATGGGAACAAGTATGCCTGACACATTTGCCAGCAAAACAGCTGCCATCATGGAAAAGACGGCAGATAACTCTGTTGGGAATGTTAATGGAAGTAATTCTGTGAATGTTTTCTTAGGTCTTGGGTTGCCATGGTTAATTGCATCTATCTATCATGGAGTTAGGGTATGTGTAGCTTTTTATAATTTATGTATTAATTAATTTTGAAAAATTGTGCATACTTAAATAAAAATTTGCTAAACATTTAAATGTAAAGTTAGACCTATAATATTAATGTAAACATAATTGTTTTTATTAAGTCATAATTTTAAAACTAAACTTTTCATACAGCCATACCTAACTCTTTGAAGTATGTTTTTTTAATAATCAGTAAGTGTAAGTTAATCATAAAAGTATTTTTTTTAAGATGTGGATAGTAAAAAATTATGACTTTTATTCTGTTTCAGGGTGACACATTCTATGTTCAAGCAGGATCACTTGGATTTAGTGTCATCATCTACTCTATTACTGCTGTTATTGCAATGTTAGTTTTGGTTGGAAGACGCATGAGCCCTTCTATTGGAGCAGAACTTGGCGGGCCTAAAGGACCAAAAATAATTTGTAGCGTTGCTTTTGTAGGATTATGGGTAATTTATATTGCTCTTTCTGTTTTGCAAACAAAGGACATAATTCACGTCAAGATTGGGGCGTAATGTAGCTTGTTAAGCTTAGTTTTTATCAAATTTTATCAAAAAAACATCTAAGTGTTTATTGTGGATTGTTTTTGTGTATAATTTATTAATAATTTTTCTAACATTTATTATGGCTAAATTACAGATGGTTTAGTGAGTTAATTTATAATAGTAATGAACCAACTCAGTTTAAGTGTTACAGAGTTTCATTATTCCTTTACTTAATAAAGTAAAACCTACCACAAATACTCTCATCAGATAGACAGACATAATCTTAATAATATTTTCAATTATTGGCCCATTGGAGTGTAACTGTTTACCTTTATGGCTAGTTTAAACCCAATGTAAATAAGTTGAATAAATCGTAGATAAATTGAATAAATGAGTTTTAGATTGTATTAAGTAATTTTGTTTTTTTATGTATGTGTTGTGGTATTATTGTAATTAACTGTAAGTCAAGTACACAATCTTCAAGTAAAACAAAATGGATAAATGTGATGTTTATTATAGTAAAAATCCAGATATAACACCAGTTATGGTGTCCTACCGTAGAATGCAGGGTGCCTATTAATATTGTATAATGTCAAATGTTTGAATGTAATTACTAGATAGGTAGGTTGCAATTTTTTTATGGCAGTTTAGCATAGTGATTGTTGGGAATAAATTACATACATTATAATAATTTGCCATAATTAATCTACAACATGTATGTAGACAAATTTTTTGTCATTCTAACAAGTTTTTACAGTTTTGAATGTATTAATTAAACCCTTTTTTCCAAATTAATATTTTCTAACTATAATAATAAAAAGAAGTTTAAATACAATTCTTAAGTTTCTTACATTAACAAATTCTTATTTTTGAAATTCTAAATTCTGTCCAGTTGCTTTATCACCAGTTTTGCCTTTATTTACCAATTCAACTCGGTTTGTGAAATTATAAATTAAAATTGATTGGTGTTTGCCTTTTGTGATTGGATTCACATATTGTAAATGTTCAGTATTTTAAAATTTACATATTTAAAAGTACATCAATTTCTTTAAGGTTTAAATGCATTTTTATTGCATCAATAGACTTGTTTATTATTGAATTTGGTATGTTATAATGTTGTTTTTGTACACACTGGTAATTATATTTCAGTGCACATGTTGTATTCTTTAAAAAAATATAGTTTTCTTATGTTATTTTATATAGTAGTGTTAGTTGTTTAAGTTGAATGTGGTAATTTTATTTTAATGTGCTTCTAAAACTAATTTTTATTTTAAGCAATTCTAATAAAACTACTTTAACCTTAGTGCATGTAACATTTAATTAATTAATGGCAGCCTTAGATAACTGAAATAATTTTGTTATAATTTTATATTTTTTTTAGATACATTAGAGCAATATTACTGGCCTGTGTTAGTTATGTTGTTATTTTTTAAATTACATATGTATTTATGTAATGGTTGTAAAGAATCGTAAATACTTTCACTCAGTTTTTATATTTATACATTTTGTTTAAGTCATGCCACTTCCAATTTGAGTTTTTAAAAAATTGAATATTTATCAATTTTTTAAAACATTTTTTTATTGTGAAGGTATATTTTACTCTTAATTAAATTTATACTTCAATTCTCAAATGTAATCATTATCACGTCATTAAAAAAGTTGTCTATTATTTCAATACTTTTGTTTTTGTTTTATATACATAAAAATAAATATGTAACGAAATTTAATCCTGAACCTCCAAGACAGAAATCACATTTGTTTGCTGCTCAGTTTGCTAATCACCCAAATATCAATCCTTGGTTAGGATTAGCTGTAGTGAAATTTTTATAGTGAAATTATTATGCATTCTTAAGGTGTATGTTCATGCAGCTAAACTTGGACAGTAAAATGTGACTGACACAATACTCACATTAATTAGGCATGGAAATTCAGGAACAAAAATGAAACCTACCCAAACTAAAGCAATATCATTAAAAATATACAGTAAACAGCAACAAATCTAAATTCTTAAATGACATCATACTCGTAGGGGGGAGTGGGGGGGGTCCGTAATTCTGTTACGGTGTGTGATGAGGGGGGGGGGGGGTTCATATGGTGTGACGTCACTTTTTTTGCATTATAAAAAAGCAACTTTAGGAAAAGAGTCTTAGCATTTATTTCGCGTTTTAGAAAACAGTTTTAATAAATTGTAATAGGAATTGATCAAAATACTCTATGTTGACAGAGTTCTGACAAGATTTTGGAAAAATATCGATGTTTTCAGAAAAATTCAACAGCAAATTTGAGGAAGGTTGTATGCTGAGGTGTGACGTCATTTTAGGGGGGGGGGGTGGTCTGGCTTTTTGTGTGACGGAGGGGAGGGGGGAGGTAAAAATCGTCAAAAATGTGACGTCATTTATGGACGACCCCTATGTAACTATAAACTAGATTTGCAATTAAACCTGAATGGTTAATTTATTTCATTGTTCACTGGCAAACTTGTGAGCAGAGTTTCTTCCAGGCATCTCTTCGGGAAGGCTCCGCCCCCCCCCCCCCCCCGAACGAAATGGAATTTATATAGAAAATATATACTTTTATCAGTGTCCCCCCCCCCCCTGGAGCCCTCAATACTACTGCTGCTAGGAATATTATTGATTAGATTACATTAATTGAGTAGCCACCACAAACCTAAATTAATTGCTTCTTAGCAGCAGTTTTACACACAAAAGTAATTTCTAAAAGCGTGGTGACAGCCTACAGCTGGTCTAGCAAATTAATAAATAGAAAAACTATATATTTTTTACTCCGGGGGGGGGGGGGGTCTACAATGTCAAACGCACATTTACACGAGTGTAAATGTAATTTATAAATATATGAAATAACAAGAAGAGATGGAATGGCTGTGTCTAAGAGGCCTGGGGAATTTTAAAAGGGGCCATCAAACCCAGAATAAAATTTTCAATGTGCGTTTTTTTCACCATCAATGCCTAATTTCCCAACACTCTTAATTTTACGCCTTGTTATGAAATAATGGAAATAGTAAAAATGGAGGAATACCAAAAAAAAAAAAAAAAAACTCTATTAGGACTATTACAGCACCGTTCGTTGGAGCCCACCGAGATTTCCTTGGTATCTACCGGGATTTTTCCAGTAGACCGGCGGGCCAGTGCCCTGCTATGCAGATCCAATCCACCTTACAATTTACTCAGGTTCATAGTCATAGCATGCAACAAAAAATGAATGATTTCCCCTGTGTAATAAATGCGAAGCATGGGAGGCAAATTGTTAGACATTTCCGAGACACAAAATTAATTTTTTTTCAGTTAAAAATACAAGTCCTCTAAAATCATAGTTTGATGTTTAGATTAGTTTGATGTCATATTTTTAAAAGAAATAGATAGAATTGGGTGGGGGGAAGTGGAATGCAATACCTCAATATATATAATTGTAATTCAATTTTAAATTAAAACCAAACGCTTGGGCTTTACAATCTCTATTATTACTTTTATAAATTATCTTTTTATTTATCTTAGCTGTGATTAAACCCTTTCATTATAAGCACTAAATTATTCCAGATATAGAGAGATCTAGTAAGAAAAGTTCTGAGATATGTTTAGCAGACCAAAACAAAAACTTAGGAAAATCCCAGGCGGCGACATACACTTAATTTAGCCTTTTTTTTATGTAAACTATAAATAGATTATTTTTGTGTGTGTTTTCCCCATTGTAATTAGATCAGAGGTCATTTCCGTTTTGATTAAAATCGTCAACAAATAGATTCTAATTATTTTATTATTTGAAGTAGCCAGACAGAAGAAAAGATTTCCATTCCATAATCTTCAAAATCGTGTTTCGAAGAATGTAGATTACTGAATACTGATTCTACACACTCGACACTTGTAATAAATCTACGTAAGTATCAAGTCAATAGATCTAGAATCTAGCAAGAGACTAAGACTAGACTTTTTTTAGTAGACTAGTTTAAGAAAAGATAATAAGATTTTTCTCAGTGTTTTTTTTTTTTAGTTTTGTAATTTTTGCAGCACAAGTTTGTGACTCACTACTCACTACTGAGCTGAAACTAGATTCTAGATCTAAGTCTAGAGATGTATACAATCTGCATGTATACAATCTGCATGCATATTACTAGATCTAGATCTAGACTCTACTCTAGACACTTGGAGAATTATAACAAGAATTAAATCCTATGCTAAACTAACCCAACTCTAATTATTTTTCTAGTGGGGCCTACTAGTTTATATTATTAAATAACGAAGGCCTAAATACTAAATACGTAAATAGTAAAAATACTAAATACTGCACAGTCATTTTAATTCTAGTCATGAATTTTTTATTAAAAAAAAAATAAGGGTAAGATTTCTAAATACCCAGTTTAAAAAAAATTACTTCTTTAAAATGCAAAATGATGGCATTATGCATCCTTAACACTCTACTCCCACATTGTCACAAAAGTCAAACCCATCTACACAAAGGCTCACACACACATCAGGAATGTGATCTCATTTATCATTATACAATTATGGACACAAACCCATAAGGTTTAATCCTAAAGGGCATAACAAGTTCTGGCAGATGCCTAAAAATTGCCTCTATATGAGATGGTTCTGGAAGGACAATGTATTAATTAAGGTTTTTGTTCCTATTGTTATCATAAAATGTCATCATCATTCCTGTGGAGTAGAGGGCCACAACCACACCTCACCAATGTACTTGGTTTTGGGTGATTCCTTCAAGTTAGGCCCACAACATTCCGGTTGCTTTTGTTTCACTGACAACTGATCTTTTCCAAGTTTGTTTTGGCTTACCTACTTTCCTCTTTACTTGGGGAACCAATCTAGTGCCTGTCTGGTGATATTGATAGTTGGTTTACGCAGGGTTTACCCATTCCATCCCCATTGGCGTTGATGTAAAGCAGGGGTCTCCAAACTTTTCAGTCCGAGGGCCGCATTAACTATCAAATTTCAGTTCGGGGGCCAGTTTCTTCCAGAAATGTCTTTGATTTTTCTGGGCAAATTTCCTCCGCCATTACCAACAAACGGTTTTTCCGTGGACAAAAAGATCTCCGCGGGCCGTATGGGAGCACATTGTGGGCCGCATCCGGCCCGCGGGCCGTAGTTTGGAGACCCCTGATGTAAAGTATAATGTTCATGAATAACCTTAATGTTGCAGGTGTAGTCTGGATGGTTAGAGTCAGGCTATACTTGGGTTCGAACTATGGTTGTGGCCAGATCAGGGATGGGTCGTGTTATGAATTTTATAAGTATTGTAAGGGTACAAGAATATTTTTGTTGATGCAACCAGCATGTTTGTGATGTGTTAGTGTAGTATTGTGGTAGCTGTTTTATGATAACCTGTTGACTCATTGTCAACATATAGAGATCAGAATGGAGGTAAAGTTTTCAACATTCAAAACTTTATCACATGGAGTATCTAATAAAGATAAAATTTGAACTAAAAAAATGCTGAAGTAAAGCATATGATTTGAAAGCTATGGTAGCAGTAAACTTGGTAAACATTTCTTACAGTCCAGCTGGATATGTCAGTAATTAATGGATAAAGTTCCACATCAATCTAAACACATTAGGAATGGCTCAGACCTCTGCTGTGAATGTTTGAATTAATTAACTTTTTTTTACAAATCCAGGAGAGCTCCTACCTATGGCAGTGTATTATGTGTGGGGGTAAAAACAACATTAAAACAACTAAACATTGTGAAATATCTGTCTAGGAAATAAAAAATGGCTGCTAATGATGACTCATGGCCTGGTCAGCTGATCCACCAAGCAGCCATCTACAACAATGTAGATCTTCTGCAGTGTCTGCTGCAGGTTGGTGCTACATGCTATAATATTTCAATGACAAAAAAATTTCTCATCTTTTAATTACTCTCATTTGCTTTGTTTGTTTAATTTTATGGTCATTACAACTGTTTTACCAGATAGATATGTATTGTTACTGTAAATGTATATTACACTTTATATATATATATATATATATATATATATATATATATATATATATATATATATATATATATATATATATATATATATTCACTTTATAAATATATACCGCAGGTGGAACAGGATTCCATTCCAAAATATAAACCGTCATTAAAAAATAGCTGCTTTGCTTTATAATTTACCCTAACTATAAATATCACTTGACTTCTATTATGGGGAAGTAAGAAATGAGTTTTTTTAAGGAGGGAAAATTTTGTGCTGGATTTTTTAATAAAAGATTGTCATCGGAGGGGAAAAAAATAATGCTCAGGTGTAAACCCATACATAAATCACCAGCTTTACTATTATACTTCCTTCTCACAATCTGTAACAATCTCTGACACAATCTACTTTTGTTTCCCAACACTCTCTCTTTCCCAGCTCAGTTGCAAATATTTTAATGAAGTTAAATTTTTGTTTTTGTGTTCAGGGTGAGGAAAAAAAGAACATTAATGCTCAGGATGTTTGTGGGAGGACTGCACTGTACACAGCTGTCTCTAATGGGTCTGTGCAATGTCTGGAGCTGTTGCTTGATAATGGAGGTGGGTGGTCTATATATTTGGTCATTTTTTAATAGAAAGCAACATTAGCCCATCTTTAGTCCTTAATAATGGAGGTTGGGGGTCTAAATAACAGGGCATTGTTTTATAGAAAGAAGCAACACTAGTATATTTTAGTCCTTAATGATTGAGGTTGGGGGTATAAATAACAGGGCATTGTTTAATATAAAAAAAGCAACACTAGTCTATTTTAGTCCTTAATGATGGAGGTTGGGGGTCTAAATAACAGGGCATTGTTTTTTTTTAAAAAGCAACACTAGTATATTTTAGTCCTTAATAATGGAGATTGGGGGTCTAAATAACAGGGCATTGTTTTATAGAAAGAAGCAACACTTTAGTCCTAGATAATGGAACTTGCTGGTGGTCTAAATACCTTATTGTTTATACAAATCAGTACTAGTGTATTTACATTCAGATCTTATCCAGATAAACCCCCACCAAAAAGTTAACCCCCACCACCCCAAAAAGATTGTAAAAAAAAGAGGATATGAAACTTTTGGATTTTATTGATGTGCGGGATCTTGGGACATGGCATTAGTAATTTGCATGGAAAGGTCTGTATTTTGCTGCCTTTAACCCTAATCCTAACCCTTCCCTAAAGTTTAAGAAGTTGTTTTTATGGTGTGCATTTAAATATTCAATTCTCTAGACTTAAAACATAGGTCACAAATGGCAGACCTTAACTTTTAGCATTAGTGGCGAGGCTTATCTGGACAAGACCCCTTTCTGTATATGCTATGCACACCTCATCTTGTGCAAGGTCAAGGTCATTTATTCTTATAATAAAAGACACCTATGCAAATTAGTTTGTATATTAGGAGCATCCATTTAAATTAGCAAACACAAATATATATGGTATCAAGTGTGAGAAATGTGATCTTAAAAAGTAGCAAAAGTAATTTATCAACTGTCTATTACATTTTACAGTATAAATATTATATTTGTAAGATGAATTTCTTTTAATAGCAGAGGATTAAATAGCTTATTAAAGAATAAAAAATAGGGGTCTACACATTTCAGTGTCAAGAAATAACATTTGTGTAAAGTATAGAATGTCTGATAAATATATGGTTAATGGATATCCATTTAAAGTCTAGTAAACAATCCTATCATTAAATCATTAGCATAAAGGTAGATGCATTAATAGTAATTAGAAGTTCAACCTTTGCCTTACCATTAATATTCTTCATCGGGAAAGTTGTTAGCAAGTGGATAGACTTGTATTGTACTTTAGCATTGGTTGATTTTAGAGGTTCTCAAAAAAATTGAACAGTTGGGCCTTTTTTTTTTGATGAGTTTAAGTCTAATTAATGTTTTCAATCTAGAATTATAAACCTGAAGATTTATAGGCATATTAAGGATCAGCTAAATAAGTTCAGTTTAAAAAAAACAACAACATATATTTCACATGTAGAATTGCTGATTAAACAAATGTATGCATATTTTTAAGTTCAATTTTGTTAAAAAATTGTACAATTTATTGAAGTCTTTCAACTGATATTATCATTAATTCCTTCTTAGCATTTTAAAATAAAGTGTAGTTTTTATAAAGTCAGGTATTAATCGATTAGCCCATGATTGAGTTGCTTCTTATCTTGTAACCCTTCATGAGGTAATCCTTCAAAGTGTAGCCCTTCATCAGGTAGCCCTTATGTCAGGTAGCCCCATATCAGGTATCCCCCACATCAGGTAGCATTTGATCAGGTATCCCCCACATCAGGTAGCCCCACATCAGGTAGCAGCTGATCATGTAGCCCCTTGCTATGATGTGAGAGCAATAGTTATTTCAGCTTGATAACATTGATTGTGGCCCAAAGAAGTTGTTGATTAAAGCTGAAATTTCACTATATGTATCTGTAGATAACAATCAGACAATCAGCAACTCTCATTGATAGATTAATACACAGTTAGCTGCTCTTGTCTTCTGCTTGGTCTGTTCACATGATTCTAAAGAACTCTTCTGTTGTTTTTTTAATACATTAACAATTTTGTTCTTTTATTTTCTTGTGGAGTTTAAAAATGGATACACAATTTTGGTAAGGATTTTTTCAGAGTGATGGTACTGTTATGTCATAAAATAATAATAATAACAAAAATAATTTTATATAATATACAGCACCTAGAGAATCTATTGTTTGATATTTTGTAAACTGAACTTAGATTTAAAAAAAAAGAATAACAAAACCTCCAGCCTTATGCATTTTTATTGTGAAATTTTAAATAAATAACTACTTTTGAAACTAAAATGATCTACATAGCTTTACAGAAATGGGTTAATACAGCAAATGGATTTTAACAATAATTTTAAAAAATTAAATTACATTAACATTTATTTATTTAAGCTTTTACATTTTTTTTTATTCCAGCGGATATAAACATACCTGCTGGTGCCAGGTGCCACAATATGGTAATATTCTTTAGTGTGGGCTTGATTGGGGGGGGGGGGGGGTTTGATTGTGTGGGGGTTGTTGATTGGGGGGGGGGGTTGATTGTGTGGGGTTGTTGATTGGTGGGGTTGATTGGGGGGTGATTGTGTGGGGTTGTTGATTGGTGGGGTTGATTGGGGGGTGATTGTGTGGGGTTGTTGATTGGTGGGGTTGATTGGGGTGGGGGGGGTTGATTGTGTGGGGTTGTTGATTGGTGGGGGTTGCTGTGGGCAAAGACATTAGACATTTTATTTTCTTCTGTTAAAATTATTTTAAAAATTTCTTTTATTAAACAATTAGAATAGTTTTTTTTTATTAAATCTTTTACCTTATTTAAAAAAAAAATAGATTCTAGTTGGGTTTTAAAACAAAACATTCGTACGTTTTCATATTATTTATGTCCTTATAATTTGTAAAATTTAGAGGTTTAACAAAATATTCATACTCAGTACGTTTTCATATTATTTATGTCCTTATAATTTGTAAAATTTAGAGGTTTTAAAACAAAATATTCATACTCAGTACGTTTTCATATTATTTATGTCCTTATAATTTGTAAAATTTAGAGGTTTTAAAACAAAATATTCATACTCAGTACGCTTTCATATTATTTTTGTCCTTATAATTTGTAAAATTTAGAGGTTTTGAAACAAAATATTTATACTCAGTACGTTTTCATATTGTTTATGTCCTTATAATTTGTCAAATTTAGACCCCGTTGCATGAAGCAGTTCTGGACAGCAAACTGGATGCCTTAGCCATACTCCTGGCAAGGGGTGCCGACATGACATCCATGGATGTCTCAGGAAAAACACCCCTTGCCCTAGCCAAGTACATGAAAAACAGAGAAGCCATTGATATTATTGAGAGAGAAAAAGGTAGATCATTATTTGTAGTCTTTGTTAGAATTTTTGTCTGCTTGCCTGCATACAGCATTAAGACCTTTAGTTAAAAGAGCAAATTTGTAAAACAGATTTAACTTGTGTAGTCTTGTAATAAAGAATTTTTTTTAAAGTAATACATTTTAAAAAGTGAAATCACATGAAATGCTGCTTGATGTTTTTTCTCTCAAAATAATTTTAAAAAAAATTTTTTGTTGTACAAAATAAATTTTTTGGATATATTTCTATTTTGCTATTAAAATGTTCAGCCTTCAATGTTTAACTTTTATTTCTAGAAAAAAAGAAAGGATTACTTGACCAGTTATCAACAGGTAAAATATATCTACCTATAAATAGAATAAATTAAAAATTATAGTAGATGTTTCTTTACTCTTGATCAATGTCTTTATCAGCATGCTTTTCAAAAAAAAATATTACAAATGGTTAACATATTTTAAACTTTGGTTTGGAAAATATGTTGAATAGAATTGTGTGAAGCTTGTTTAAACTTTGTAAAAAAATATGTTGAATAGAACTGTGTGAAGCTTATTTAAAATGTGGTTTGTAAAAAATATGTTGAATAGAATTGTGTGAAGCTTGTTTAAACTTTGTAAAAAAATATGTTGAATAGAACTGTGTGAAGCTTATTTAAAATGTGGTTTGTAAAAAATGTTGAATAGAACTGTGTGAAGCTTGTTTAAACTTTGTAAAAAATGTTGAATAGAACTGTGTGAAGCTTGTTTAAACTTTGTAAAAAATGTTGAATAGAACTGTGTGAAGCTTGCGCTGAAGGAAAGCTGGAAGAGGTGAAAAGAATTCTTGAACAAAGTGGGCCTAACAGGAAACATGTGATCAACATGACCACAAAAGGTCTCTCGCCATTGGGCATGTAAGTTGTCTTGTCTGTCAATGAAAACTGTTGGCTTAGCCATACCACTTCCCTTGGTTTAACTTATAACTTGGAGCTATTCTTAATGGCTGTGGCTGTTTAGGATTAATGTTAAGGTAGTTTCTGTTATGATTCCAAGTTTAATGATATGGTGTTGTATCGTTAACCCAGCATGACTTAGTATGTTTGAAAATGTATAATAATACAAGCAAAGTGGGTGTCATTCTCTCAATGTTGTAGATGCTTTGGCATTATTGAAATAGTGAAGTAGTCTCATCTTGAATGTTGTGGGTAGGGAGAGTCTCATCTTAGATAGATGCTGAAAAAGCATTTAGGGAAATTTTATGCTAATATCTGTGGGAGCAATACACCATTTTTTTTAACAAACTGGGCATCTATAATTCACACTCTGTCATAGAATGGGTCAACAATCTAGCTCAATACACAAATATATTGCGACTTCTGTTCTAAGCTGAAATAAAAATACAACATTATAAGTGGGTTTATTTTTTTTATTTGTTGTCCATATTTAAAGCCTTTTTCATAAAAATGTTTAAGGTTCAGTGATCTCATTTTTAAGGTTTGGACTTGAAATTGTTGTTTTTTTTTTTTTTTGGTTATCATAAAAACTTAAGCTCCAAACATACTAATATTAAAGTGACTGAAAATATTTTCCATGAACAAAGAGCTTCAAAATGTGGGTATGCTGAGATACTGAAAGTGCTGCTGGAGGAAGGGGCCAATTGCACATGTCAGAAGGATACAGGCTTGACCCTGCTTCACTTGGCCTGCGAATCTGGGAACATTGAGGTCATGAAGGTGCTTTTACAGGTAAACTTAATTTAATTAGTGAACAGAAATAATGGATTACTGCAAAAATTAAACTTAGATATATGTAATGGATTTCTTGTGAGTAAAGTAGGTGGTCTAGTTAGTGGTCAGCTGAGGCTGTAGTCAGTTGTCAGCTGAGGCTGTAGTCAGTGGTCAGCTGAGGCTGTAGTCAGTGTTTAGCTGCTACTCTGGACAATGTAAACATAACTCACTCTTTTGACCACCTGGCTGACCTTTCATTTTCTCCATCTAATCCCACTATACATTCAATTTGAGGGATGTTATTGCTGATTGTTTAGGCTTTAGTTTGTTCATGATATCTAATAAAACAAAAAAGAAAATGCAAACAAGTTGTTATGTTAGCAATTCCGATCAGTTACCCAGGGAAGAATAGAACTTCAGTTAATATAAGCCACGCTCTTGAACCTTTTTGAAGTTCTTTATATAAATGTATCTAAGTTTAAACCAGAATGTTTGTTTTGTTTGTGTTGGATTGTTTCAACTTTTGAAAGATTTGAATAAAGTCACATTTGTTTTGTGTGAAATAATTTCAGACTCACCCAGACTTGATGCATGTGAGATCAGTAGAGCACCAGCTGCCCCTGCACTCTGCTGTAGTCTCCAACAAGATCGAGGCCGTCCAGTTTCTGCTGGACTACACCTACCCAGCCGGTCATCTTTTAACCTTCACCGACAGCGTGACGTCACTAATCTACCAGACAGGGATTGACGTCAACGCCCAGGATGCCATGGGGGAGACAGCGCTTCACATTGCCTGCCGCAACGGTCACCTGGAAATTGTGAGGCTGCTGATGAATTACGTCATCAAGGTGGAGATAGAAAAAGACATGCAGAAGTCGCAGTCGCTGATGTGTGACCTGGACACAAGTTTTGACGAGGACGAATTAAACGCCAGCGCCGATTCCAGTGAGGAGGATTACAGCCCCAACCAACCCAACCCTCCCCCACTGAGGGGAAACAGAACTAAAAAGTCCCATCATACCATACATCCGGTTGATATGAATATACTAAACAGCGATGGTCTGTCGTCTTTTCACATGGCTATCAGACACAAACGGGTTGAGGTGTTGAAGGTCTTACTCAACTGCCGTAAGCCGCCTGCGAATAAGTTGAAGATAAAGGACATCGAGATGTCTGTGTTGATGTTTGCCTATGAACAAGGCAGCGTGGATGTTTTGAGGATTTTACTCAGCAATGGATTACGTGATGAGGATGACAAAGTCTTAAACTCAGCCTTTTTTTCTCAGGTACGTTGTACGTTTTTTTTTTTAACTTTTCAAAAGTTTTTAAGCGTTTTACAAAAGAAAGGAAGGTATTGTATATTTAGTTGACTACACAAAACTATATTTTTAAAAAATTGGGAAAATAACAAAGAACAAAACAATATGAAAGGATGTTGTAAATGATCTATGCTGCACTCAGAATTGAAAATGGCAAGGAAGAAGAAGACATAAATTTTATATTTTGGATATGAGCATGTTAGTTTATAAAGAATTTTTTTTCTTGAAGTGGACAGCTGGAAAAATATTACTGAGTATACAAAATGATTAATAAATATTGAAGTTAAAAGAAGTTTAATAATTTTTTATTGTTTTAATTTTTTCAAACTCTTCAGGATCACACAGTGAAGTGGCTGCTGCTTAGCCACAAGTCAAGTAAAGACCAAGGGCTGGGGCGCAACATCAACAAGACAGAAATGAAACGTTTGGCCTATCAGATCTCACAGAGACACGAGGAAAACCTCACCTCCATCGACCCAGAGTTCCGATTCCGTTACCCGACAGTGCCGGTCGCCATCATGTGGGAGGGGTTAGGGGTCCTGGATAGGATGGACACTTCCTGTTTGGTCAGCTCATGCTACTTACACAACCCTTCCATGAACAAAAACCTAGAAATGGCACTGTGCCTGTGTGCCATAACCAAGGTGGACATCTCTAAAAACTCTTTTGAAAAGTTCCCTGTTGTTCTTCTGGAACTTCCCTCACTGGTCTACTTAAAAGCTTCCAGAAATCAAATTGAAGAAATCCCGGAAGATTACACAATTCTATCTTCTTCCCTCGAAGAGCTGCATTTAAACGAAAATAAACTCAAAAGCTTGCCAAAGTTTATATTCCAACTTCCGCAGTTAAAGTTTCTGGACGTGGCAGTGAACAAGCTTAAGGAGTTACCTGTGGAGGTGTGGGACGCGCCGTCCCTTGTCAGCCTGAACCTGTCCAAAAACTGCCTGTCTGAACTGCCTAGTTTGACCAGAGAGAGCATCGTAGCCAGGCAGGGTGGGTTCAGATCCCCCAGGCTTTCACACAACTCCCCGCACAGGCCGTCTTTTTCTAGTTCTGTTGGAAGTTTTGATACGGAGAGTTACCAGCTGGATGTAGGGGAGGATGACTTCATTATGGTGGCCCCTAATGGTAAGTCATGCTAGGTGTCTTGAAAAATGTCATGCTAGGTCATCTGTCTTGAAAAATGTCATGCTAGGTCATCTGTCTTGAAAAATGTCATGCTAGGTCATCTGTCTTGAAAAATGTCATGCTAGGTCATCTGTCTTGAAAAATGTCATGCTAGGTCATCTGTCTTGAAAAATGTCATGCTAGGTCATCTGTCTTGAAAAATGTTATGCTAGGTCATCTGTCTTGAAAAATGTCATGCCAGGTCATCAATCTTGAAAAATGTCATGTTAGGTCATCAGTCTTGAAAATGTCATGCTAGGTCATCAGTCTTCAAAGATGAATTTGATTGTCTCTAAGGTGCATTAAATCATTTTTGGGTTTTAATTACATTTAACACTGATCATTAGTCAATTAATTTAACATTTACAAAAGATTTGCTTGAATATTAATTGATATAAAAACTACAATTTTTTTTTTTAATTTAGAGGAAAAAAGTGATAAAATATTGTCAACTGAAAATACAAAAGCTTTACTATAGTATTATCCCATTGTTAAAAAAATTGTGAGGTAATATATTTTTTCAGTATTATTATCTCACTAATGGCAAAAGAATTTTGAAAATAAGTTTGACTGGGTTTTTTTTTTGGGAACATTCTTAAAAAACCAGTCTTTTAATTGGGTAATCTGAATATGAGATAAGTATATAGAAAACTAGTACTGTGTTCGCGGAGAATCCACAATTTTTATTTTTTTTGCTACTAGCATATTGTACTGCTTAGAAATCTGAAAATTAAATTATTGTTGCAACTTTTTAATCCAGATTATTAGAAATATTGTTCAAAGTTTTGAAAGAGATGTGATTTAAATAAAATAATTTGTTACCTAAAGGCTTCAATTTAAAATATTAACATCCATGTTACATCTACAATTACAGCTATTATATTGCTATGCTACAACAATGTTACAACTTCTGAAGATTTAAAATTAATGTTGTGATGAAAGTTAGATATTTGCCACTAATGTTGAAATACAACCATCCAGCTCTGATAGAAAACAGATATTTGCCACTAATGTTGTAATACAACTATTTGCCACTAATGTTGTAATACAACCGTTCAGCTCTGATAGAAAACCAAGTGATGCGTGTCAACAAGTGGGGACTGGGAATTACTGTGGAAGACAGGGACCCTTGGAAGGGCAGTAACTCCCAACCTTCAGGCCTGAAGCAGTTATGGCTCAGCACTAACAAGTTCACTGAAATACCATCTTGCCTGATATGCTGTGCCCCTAATCTAGAGGTTAGAGTTCATGATTTATTTTTTAGAGGAGTTGAGTGCAGTTGATGGTGGATCAGGTTGCTTTAGAACAGTTTTTGTTGGGAAATTTTACTTGTTTGTTTTCTTGTCTTTTGATTGATCTTTTTAAGTCATTCCATGGCCACAATAGCAGGTGAAATGATGTTTATGTTTCTTTGGCTGTTATGTAAAAAGAAATGTTTGAGACTGTTATTAAGCCTGTTAATTAGAGAGTCAATACTATACCATGATTAAATATTTATGTGTAATTTTTCTGTTTTGAAAATTTCTTTGGTCATCTCCAATTTTTATTATAAAATAAACAGCAAATTTGTATAAGTAATTCACTCAAGGAATTAACATCATCTATATAATTGTATTTGTTTCATACGCAATTTAGTTTTTGTTTTTAGAACATACATTTTTAAAAAAAGCCTACTTTTACTTTGATCTTTTAGGTCTTAGTTATGTCAGAGAACCCTCTGACCTCTATTGGAAACATTACTGATTACCCACCATTTCTCATTGAACTTGACCTTTCCAAAACTAACCTAACAACAATGGATCCCTGGAAACACCCAGTTGATCTATTTCAAGATTGGTCTTGCTTTGCACCAAACAATATGTAAGTCTGATTTTATAAATTCTTTGTTCCCAAGTTAAAATTTTTTGGCATTTTTTCCAAAGATTTTTACAAATTTTGTTACAAATCATATAATATTTATATTAGAATAGCTTTTGGGAACCTGTGAGATAAGGCTAAATAGCTGGGGACAGCAACCCATCTAAGAGAGGAAACCCCAAAATCAAACAACTGCTGCCATATAGTTTGTTCTCGGTTGGACAAAGGCTATGAAAACAAACCCAGGAAAAAAAGGGCTGAAATTGGCACATAACAAGTTGATACATAATACTTAATTGTGTTGGAGGAAATCCCTTCTATAATTAAGAACAAAGAAGAAGAAGACTATAGAATATATAAACATGTATATTTATTAATGTAATATTTCAAATCATCTTTCACTAAGTATTCCTCCATGACCATGAACGACAACAGCCTTAATGCAAATATTTTATTTTTATATAGAATATATAAACATGTATATTTATTAAGGTAATATTTCAGATCATCTTTCAACAAATATTCCTTCATGACCATGAACGGCAACAGCCCTAATGCAAATATTTTAATTATTTTTTTCATTTAGAATATATAAATACGTATATTTATTAATGTAATATTTCAGATCATCTTTCAACAAATATTCCTCCATGACCATGAACGGCAACAGCCCTAATGCAAGTAAGCTCACACGCAGGAGCAGCAGCAACAGCAGCTTCCGCAACCGTCGCCGAGCGTCCCCCTCCCCTAGTACCAGAGATTCCTTGTTTGTCCCGTGCCTACATCGCAGCCACACCACCCTGGCCAAGCTGGAGAAGCTGAACCTGGCGGGGAACAGGCTGACCAGTGTCATTCTCACACGCGACGCCTGCCGGGACGGAGATACTCGCAGTGTAAGAAGTTTTATAGCTATGGACATTAACAATGCATAGAAATATGACGGAGATACTCGCAGTGTAAGAAGTTTTATAGCTATGGACATTAACAATGCATAGAAATATGACAGAGATACTCGCAGTGTAAGAAGTTTTAAAGCTAAGGAAATTAACAATGCATAGAAATATAACAGAGATACTCGCAGTGTAAGAAGTTTTATAGTTACGATCATTAACAATGCATAGAAATATGTCTAATGAAGATTAAATACGTTTCACTTAATAATGATTAATACAGCTTAATTCACATATTCTTAACAGCTTGATTTACTTATAACATACTTTTGATTAAACTGCTGAGCCTTTTAAAAAAATGCAAACTCCTAGATAGACAAGTTTAATTTTTGTATTTTAAATATTGCTACATTTATTTTTAATTTAAACAAGAACTCATTTTAATGATTAGTATTATAAATGTATTTTTTGTTACTTCAATAGACATTGAAAAATAAATTTTAATGGTAGGTAACTAATTTAAAAAGTTAAAATATAATGGTAATTAAATTAACTGCATACAATTTTGCCTTTTTTGTTTCAGACTTGCAGTATGGAATCTGAAGAAATCCAAAGCCGTCTGCTCTTTCCTCACATAGTAGAACTCAATTTGTCCAGTAATCACCTGTCAAGTTTACCTCCTGACATAGGAGAGCTGTCAAGTCTGAAAATTCTTTCTCTCACCCGGAATATCAAGTTAAAAGAAGTGAGTTTTTGGATTTATGTTATTTAACAAGCTGTAAATAGTTATTTGAATTTATAAAGGATTAAGTTTACTTTTGATGATAGATATTTAGATATTAATCTATGTAATTATTTCTTTTAAAAAACAATACAAATTTTGTTGAAAAATATTTTGATTTAAGCTGCCACCTAAACTTGGGCTTTTAAAAAGTTTGTGGAAACTGGAACTCGACTTTTGTCCACTTGATGGCGCCATACAAGACTTCCTGCTGAACTCCAGGTTTCCTGTCAAAGATATCCTTGGGTTTCTACAGTCTGTGCTAGAGGAGTAAGTTGGCTGTCGTGTTAAGTTGGCTGTAGTTATAGGTTTTGGCATTGGTGTTAGGTTTTGTGGGCTGTAGTGTTAGATTTTGTTGGTAGAAGTATTAGTTTTGGTTCGAAGTTTTGTTTGCAGTAGTGTTAAGTTTTGTTGGTAGTTGTGTTACATTTTGTGGATCTTCTTCTTCGTTCTTAATTATTAGTGTTGAAGGGGATCGAGATTTATCTGCCAGTGGGTTTGAACTCGAGACTTTGTTCGAATTTATCAACCATGAGCTTTTTGCCGACTCGACCACGCCTCCAACACAATTAAGCGTTACGTGTCAACTAGTTATGCGCCATTGAGGCCATTGACTCCAATTTCAGCCTGCTTTTCTTTTTGGATTATCCCCCTTTTGTGGATAAGGTGTTAAGTTTTGTTGGCAGTAGTGGTAATAGGACTAAGATAATTTTAGAATACATTTATTTTGTGTGTACATAATTGAACAATAGGCTCCATAGAATACTAATATTTTATTAATACATTGTCCATAGATCAACAGAATATAACTGCATGAATCTGATGCTTGTGGGGTTCCATAAAATAGGAAAAACAACTCTACTACAGAAACTTGGTGAGAAGGGCAAAGTGCGCTCCAAAGCCACTGTAAGTAGCTTTCTAATTGCCTTTTACCTCAATAGTTTCTTAAATAAAATCTTTCTTAATTACATAATGATAAATCATTTTAAATTTTTGGACCGGTTTCCAGTGATTTCAGTTGGTTCTAAAATAAATTGGAAATATCTCATTACATAAGTTGCTTTTAAAATATAGGGACATAACTTAAGATGCATTGATTGTTTCAAAAATTAATTTTAAATAACAAAATTACATAGTTGGTTTTTAAAAAGGGGAGAACTTATAATTGTATAGGTTTATTCTAAAATAAAAACTACAGCACAGTTTTCATGAAAATGATTTTAAGTTTTAAATCATGAAACATTTTTAATTTTGTTAACTGTGTTTCCGTTACAATAAAAAATATTTTCCTTAAACATTTTGTCGCAAGCAGTTGCTATAAATTCAAAATTGTTACTTGGACAAGCTTGTGGATATGGGGTAAATGAATGACACTTTGGGACAAATGAATGACACTGTGGGCTTGTTTTGATCCACAGCACTGGAGAGACAGAGTAAACAGAGAAGAGTTGAGGAAACAAGGGACACTACTCTCAACAGTGGGAATAGACATCAATGAGTTGGTTCTTGAGAGAAGAACCAAAGGAAGTGTTGTGTTTAGAACATGGGATTTTGGTGGACAAGTAGGTTTTTTTTTCTTTCAATTAATATGACCCAAATTTTTATTATTCTTCAAACATTGCTTAAGCAATATTATGCTATATTCTACGGTTGGCTTATATGCATAACAATTATGTCAATAAAAAAACTTCAATATTTGTTCTACAGAGAGAGTACTATGCCACACACCAGTACTTTTTATCCCCGCGGTCACTTTATCTTGTTGTGTGGAGCATCATAGAAGGGGAGAGAGGGGTGGAGAATCTGTTACAGTGGCTTGTCAACATCCAGGTTTGTCTTTATCATACTTTATCATACTTATCATACTTTATCATACTTTATGTGTGGGGAAAATATTTAATATTGCATTCACTGTCTTTGTACAGCCTTTGCTAAAGTTGGGGGGAAATATTAGATTTTAATAATAAACCATTGGCTGTTTTTTTCAATTGATTTAAAGAAAAAGTTATTGCTAAATATAAAATTGATTTTAATTGTATAAATACATTTTTTAAAAAGTAGTTTATTGGCTTTTGCTGCACAAATTTGATTTATTGAGAATTTATACTTTTGTATAATCTTTTGATCTTAGTTTTAATGGATAATAATTATTATGTTTTGTTTTTTATTTTTATAGCTGTTTTATTAATTAGCTGGTCATTAAGCTTTGTGTTGGTGAAGAATTGTTTAGTAACTCTATTCAATCATAATATTTAGGTACAATAATTAGTCATAATATTCAGTCACACAATCTTTAATCACAATCTTCACACCTAATCTTCTAGGCCAGAGCTCTAGTCACAATCTTTAATCACAATCTGTAGTCACAATCTTCACACACAATTTTCTAGGCCAAAGCTCTTGTCACAATCTCTAGTCACAATCTTTAGTCACAATCTTCACACCTACTCTAGGCCAGAGCTCCAGGGGCCTCAGTGATCATTGTTGGCACTCACCTCGACATCTTGCGTGACCGGTCGACTCGCCGCAACTACCCCGATGATTTTGAGGCATCCATGATGACGCTGATCAACAAGCTATTTATAGACAACCAAGAGCCAGACAAGAGTGGGCTGCCTAACATCCTGAGGGCCATCAATGTGAGCTGCACCACAGGGGAGAACATCAAGCTACTGGTCGACGTCATCTACGACACTGTCTTTGAGCTGAAGCACCCACGTCAGTATTTGACTGGTTTTAATTTATTTGATTCATTTTATAAGTATTTTGAGTAAGCACTTGATAATTTGAATTGCTAAATCTTTTAGAAGTTTCATTCTTAAAAAAATAAAAACTATACCCCACAAAATTAAATTAATGATTAAGAAAAAATTTTAAAATCTCAAGAAATCAAACCAAGTGTTATATAAATTGTTGTTTCAGTTGATTGACATGTTGTTTGTTTCTTTTATTGTCTGAGAGGTTTTTTTTTCTGTTTTAGGATCGAAGACCCAGAATCTGGTCAGGCAGAAAATACCTCGCAAGTATCTCCTGCTGCAAACCATCATACGTGAATTGGCCGTAGAGAGGATAAAAGATTGTAAGGAGCCTGTGCTCAACAGATCAAAGTATACGTATGTTTTCTATTTCATCATTAACGGAATATGTTAGCTTGTTAATTATTATGTGGCCATTTTTAAGTTAGGTATATTTTGTTTTCTTGTTCATCATTACACAGTATATTTTAGGCTTTTAATGATTTTATGGTAGGTCTGTGTTTCCTTATTTGTTGTTGTACGATGTAAGCTGTGTTTGTATTTACAAAACTTTTGTGCAACCTTAAAACTCTTTGTAAAGATACTTGGCTTTCTCACTATAAAAAAAAATGATGAACATAAATAGTTGGAAGTTCAAGATTGTATTAGGTGACACACATTAAGATTAGCTATGTTTTCCACTATGTGAGCTAAATCACATGGTCCATCATGTGACAATTTAGCACTATGTAACATTGAATCACATTGAACATTGTGTGAAATGAGCCTCTATTGTCCACGATGTAACATTGAATCACATTGAACATTGTGTTAAATGAACCTCTATTATCAATCATGGGAAAATTTAGTGTGATGTAACATTGAATCACATTAAACATTGTGTTAAATGAACCTCTATTATCAATCATGGGAAAATTTAGTGTGATGTAACATTGAATCACATTAAACATTGTGTGAAATGAACCTCTATTATCAATCATGGGAAAATTTAGTGTGATGTAACATTGAATCACATTAAACATTGTGTGAAATGAACCTCTATTATCAATCATGGGAAAATTTAGTGTGATGTAACATTGAATCACATTAAACATTGTGTGAAATGAGCCTCTATTGTCCATGATGTGACATTGAATCACATTAAACATTGTGTGAAATGAACCTCTATTATCAATCATGGGAAAATTTAGTGTGATGTAACATTGAATCACATTAAACATTGTGTGAAATGAGCCTCTATTGTCCATGATGTGACATTGAATCACATTAAACATTGTGTGAAATGAACCTCTATTATCAATCATGGGAAAATTTAGTGTGATGTAACATTGAATCACATTAAACATTGTGTGAAATGAGCCTCTATTGTCCATGATGTGACATTGAATCACATTAAACATTGTGTGAAATGAACCTCTATTATCAATCATGGGAAAATTTAGTGTGATGTAACATTGAATCACATTAAACATTGTGTGAAATGAGCCTCTATTGTCCATGATGTGACATTGAATAACATTAAACATTGTGTGAAATGAGCCTCCCCTGTAATGTAACACTGAATCACATTAAACATTGTATGAAATGAGCCTCTCCCTGATGTAACATTGAATCACATTGAACATTGTGTGAAATGAGACTCCCAGTGCTTTCATTTCCCAGCCTGTGTGTACAAAACAAAATGATGGAACATGGAATGACCTTCAGAGATGTGGAAGAGCTGGAACAGGCAACACGATTTTTACATGAGAATGGTGAGTACATTCCCCTTTCCTACTGAGTTTTGTTAAATCTAGTGCACTATTACCTTCATGCTTGATATCATTTTAAGTTATAAATGTTAAAAAAAATATTAATTTCTTAGGACGGTAGCATCGTTTAAAAAAAATATTTAAAAAAAATCCATTTGAACTTTGTAGTGTGTATTTATTTCTTTTAGTGCGATAGACCTTACCCTGCAATTAGATTCTAAATGTTAAAATGTTTTTTTTATCAGGAGTTCTATTTCATTATGATGATCTCCCTTTGCGTGACCTTTTCTTCCTTGATCCACAATGGCTGTGTGACCAGCTGGCTAAAGTCATCACAGTTAAAGAAATTAACAACTTTGCTCAGAGAGGTCAGAATTAGCTTTGCTCATCAGTCTCTTGGTTTTATTCATTGACCTCACCCAAATTTTAGTCACATCCATAAAACTTTTAGCTTGAGGCAAATTAAACTTTAAAAAAAATTTAAACTGAAAAGAATGAATTAAGATGCAATGAGCTAGATATTTTAAAAAGTGACAGTAGAGTGAAAATACAAGGCAAGCTATGTTTAACTAAGATCAATATCCTTGACCTCCATAAATTTCCAATTTAACTGTATTATCAGATGTATTTGGAACCTTAAATGTCAGAAAACCATCAGTAGAATAAGCAATAAGGTTAGGATGTCTGCAATGTTTCAAAACGCTGATGACCAAAACATCATAACAACAATTATACTAAATAACAGATTTACATGTTTACTTGTACAACTTCACCTTTAAATGTAAAATTTACCAGAAGTTTACATTGTTTACCTGTAGATCTAACTTTACAGGTGTGATGAGACTGAGTAACCTGGAGTTTCTCTTCAAGTCCAACACCTTCCAGCCTGAGCACATCAAGGTGTACATCACCAGCCTGTTGAACAAGTTTGAGGTGGCGCTGCAGTTTGACGAGGAACATCTACTCCTGCCATCCTTGCTGCCCACTGAGACGGAGCTCCTGGAGATGGCGAGAAGAAAAAGTGATGTTAGGGTAAGTTGTGTGTAGCAGGTGGGTCATGTTAGGGTAAGTTGTGTGTAACAGCTGGGTCATGGTTTAATGGTGTGTCATGTGTGTCATGGTTCCAGGTGAACTATGGCACCAGGTTATTCATAATTCAAGGTGAACTATAACACCAGGTTGTTCATAATTCAAGGTGAACTATGACACCAGGTTATTCATAATTCAAGGTGAACTATGACACCAGGTTATTCATAATTCGAGGTGAACTATGACACCAGGTTATTCATAATTCGAGGTGAACTATGACACCAGGTTATTCATAATTCAAGGTGAACTATGACACCAGGTTATTCATAATTCGAGGTGAACTATGACACCAGGTTATTCATAATTCGAGGTGAACTATGACACCAGGTTATTCATAATTCGAGGTGAACTATGACACCAGGTTATTCATAATTCGAGGTGAACTATGACACCAGGTTATTCATAATTCGAGGTGAACTATGACACCAGGTTTTTCATAATTCTAGGTGAACTATGACACCAGGTTATTCATAATTCAAGGTGAACTATGACACCAGGTTATTCATAATTCTAGGTTAACTATGACACCAGGTTTTTCATAATTCTAGGTGAACTATGACACCAGGTTATTCATAATTCTAGGTGAACTATGACACCAGGTTATTCATAATTCAAGGTGAACTATGACACCAGGTTATTCATAATTCGAGGTGAACTATGACACCAGGTTATTCATAATTCGAGGTGAACTATGACACCAGGTTATTCATAATTCAAGGTGAACTATGACACCAGGTTATTCATAATTCAAGGTGAATTATGACATCAGGTTATTCATAATTCGAGGTGAACTATGACACCAGGTTATTCATAATTCGAGGTGAACTATGACACCAGGTTATTCATAATTCGAGGTGAACTATGACACCAGGTTATTCATAATTCTAGGTGAACTATGACACCAGGTTATTCATAATTCAAGGTGAACTATAACATCAGGTTATTCCTAATTCAAAGTGAACTATGACACCAGGTTATTCATAATTTAAGGTGAATCATGACTCTGTGTTATTGATAAGCCAAGAGGAATTATGACTCTTGCTAAGTTATGATTAGAGGTGAGATAAAGTTTGAGGGATGTATCAGTACAAAATAATAACATTGATAGTCTGCTGAGATGTGTAATTTACATTATGCTACTGCTTCATACAACCCATTACAGATTAACTTTTTACTTACAGATTCCATTCATATATCAGGCATGGTCCACGTAATGTGTTGCTTACACTATGTAACTGCTTCATACAACCCATTACAGATTGTTTTTACTTACAGATTCCATTACGCAAGCCAACAGAGTCCAGTGTTGGCCTCAGCAGAGAAGATGCCACATCAGACAGGACTGTTGATCCGCTGCGCTCCAGTCGCAGTGGCAGACGTCTGGTGGAAGGCCCTCCCTCAGTGTTGCATGTTGGGAGCTCTATCTTCTATGCTGGCTCTCAGGTAAGGGAGAACTTTCAGCCATTTTGATTTTCAGTTTTGATGGCAAGAATTTTTTTTAAAATATTGTTTAAAATTGGAGATGTAGACATTATATTTTAAATGTACTAACTGGGAATGTTTGTAGGGTAAATATTCAACCTCTTGCTCCCTATCACCTTGCACTCAGAAACTAACCCACTCACCTCTAACCCTTTCACTCTCTTACTGTTGATGATTTTATTATTATTTCACTTTTTTCTATCATAGCTTTCTTTTCTGTTGGCCTCAGCAACCTTTAATAAACAGAACCAAGTAGATTTAAATTACTTTCTATTATCTTTTGTCATGAAATGACTTATTATTTTTTTTAAAATTTACAATTTTTTTATCAGCATTTGAATAATAATTGTACTAATGTTTTTAACTCTGTTGCCAGTTAGTATAAATTAACTCCAGCTACAAAATGTATATAAATCTGGACACTTAAAACATAACAACCAGTGGCTTACCTTGACCTATGCATTTTGACGGTCTCCCCTTTCTCTACCCCAACAACTGAAAGCTTATTTATGTCATGTGATGGCCAATAATAGAAACATAGGGGTAGCTTTGACATGAAGCTATCTTGACATTAGTCACTAAGCTAGTATTTTTTGTAGGAAAGTGTACCCATAAATTGAATTATTGAAGTATATTGAAGTATACACAGTTTGTTAAAAATATCACTCTAGATTTTTTTAAATTAAAAATAAAATAAATAAATATGAATCTTTTGCATTCAAAGAAATGTTTAGAGCTGTAAGGCTGGTGGTATTTGTACCTTTAATGGGCATAAAGTGCTATAAATAGAGAGAAAAACATAAACATCCACCACAAACCAAATAACCTTTCAACTTTCCAGCTTCTTGTAGCTGTGTCCTCTAACAAAGCTGAGGTAAGTTCAACACTACTCCACGCATGGATATACTACGACTGAATGTTAGCCCATCTAGCTGTTTTATTTGCTCTTTAGATTTGTAAACTTATATGGGTAACAAGTCATCATGTTTAAACTTGTCTCATGCATGAATATTGCTTGAAATATTTTTTTTCAATGCACACAAAAAATTTTGATAAAAGGGCCAAAGAAGTTAGCACTGTTAGGTTTTGTTGTTTAGTGTATGTAATGTTTTATTATAAATATTGAGAATCTGCTTGTTAAACACAATCTCAAATAAGGGGTTAAAAGAACCACAAGAGAAAAGAGGGCAGCCAATAGAAACTTTGAGAAGATCATTTGAAGAATTTGAAGGAAAAAGGCCGACTATTTCAACAGCTAGATTCAGGATAACATGGCACTCACTTGATGCCTCATGCGCCTATGGGCGCATAGTGATGATGATGATATGTAGTGTTAAATTATGTGTTGTTAGCAATGAACAGACTACACCACAGTTTCAATGCAAATGCTGCCTTAGCAAAAATCAACACAGTAGTTTATTACATTTTGAGTTTAGGTAAGGGAGAGAACTAGTTGGTGTTTTTTTATGTCAAATCTTCTCCAACAGGTTAAATATCTAGTCAAGCTTTATAATGCCTGAGGAAGCTTCAGGTTTGAACATCCTGTGAACTAAGTCCAGATTGTTTGAGTATCTCAGAATAGCAACACAAACATCTACTAAAGATTACACACCTTTAACACACCACATCAACTTAAAATGATTCCACAAACTCCCACAATCATGTAGGAGATTTTTGCTTACACATGCTTTTGCTATGGAAATATATTTTTTTGATAATTTGTAAATCAATTTTTAAATTGCATATTATTTTCAGATGTCATGCTTTACAAGTCCATATATATCGTCATTGTTTCTCTGTTGTTTTATTTTTTTGTACAGCTATTTTATTTAGTAATTTTTTTCTACTGTGTGATCACTGGTTAGATAGATTAAAAACCCCGCATTTTTCTGATAATACACAATGATCATTTAATACTCATATAATTCTTGATAACATGCACATAGAGTTGAGTTAATTAACACATTTAATGTATTCAACTAAAATTTAACTGTAGTAACTTCAGATTATCTAAATTTCATTATATAAAAATTGTGTTGCAATCCTCAATTTTTGATCCCACTCCGTCAACCATATTTTCAGGCCAACAGAGAAACTGTGACCCTGAGTTCCCTCAGGGACTCCTCCAAACTTCTGCTGCTGGCCATCAAGCCAACCAGCAACCCCATCTTCTCCTGCTGCAGACTCTACTTCCTCACATACTTCCCCAGTGGATTTTGGCCTCGTCTCATCACCAGGGTTTTGGCTGATGGCTCCATCTACCAGATTGTGAAAGAGTTGTTTCCCCTGCCCCCTGATCTGATCAGGAGATCACCAGAGGTGGGTGCAATAAAGAGAAATTTGCTACAATGATAATGCAAAACTTAAGACAGGAATTTTTTAGTTTATTGTTTAGTTAATATGACACAATGGTATGACAAGGTCATAGCCATTATTCAGGTGTCACTTAAGTCATGTGACTGCTCCTCAGGTGTCACTTAAGTCATGTGAACATTATTCAGGTGTCACTTAAGTCGTGTGACTGCTCCTCATGTGTCACTTAAGTCATGTGAACATTATTCAGGTGTCACTTAAGTCATGTGACCATTATTCAGGTGTCACTTAAGTCATGTGACCATTATTCAGGTGTCACTTTAGTCATGTGAACATTATTCAGGTGTCACTTAAGTTGTGTGACTGCTCCTCAGGTGTCACTTAAGTCATGTGACCATTATTCAGGTGTCACTTAAGTCATGTGACCATTATTCAGGTGTCACTTTAGTCATGTGAACATTATTCAGGTGTCACTTAAGTCATGTGACCATTATTCAGGTGTCACTTTAGTCATGTGAACATTATTCAGGTGTCACTTAAGTCGTGTGACTGCTCCTCAGGTGTCACTTAAGTCATGTGACCATTATTCAGGTGTCACTTAAGTCATGTGACTGCTCCTCAGGTGTCACTTAAGTCATGTGACTGCTCCTCAGGTGTCACTTAAGTCATGTGACCATTATTCAGGTGTCACTTAAGTCATGTGACCATTATTCAGGTGTCACTTAAGTCATGTGACCATTATTCAGGTGTCACTTTAGTCATGTGACCATTATTCAGGTGTCACTTTAGTCATGTGACCATTATTCAGGTGTCACTTAAGTCATGTGAACATTATTCAGGTGTCACTTAAGTCATGTGACTGCTCCTCATGTGTCACTTAAGTCATGTGACCATTATTCAGGTGTTACTTTAGTCATGTGACCATTATTCAGGTGTTACTTTAGTCATGTGAACATTATTCAGGTGTCACTTAAGTCATGTGACTGCTCCTCATGTGTCACTTAAGTCATGTGACCATTATTCAGGTGTTACTTTAGTCATGTGACCATTATTCAGGTGTTACTTTAGTCATGTGACCATTATTCAGGTGTTACTTTAGTCATGTGACTGCTCCTAAGGTGTAAATCAGTCATGTGACCATTCCCCAGGTGAAGTCATTGTCTGACAGAGATCCAGAGTGGAGGTGCTGGCAGTCGGGGTTTGAACTTTTTTACCTGGGCTTTGAGATGCTGAGAATCAGAGAGGTGTTTTTTTCTACCTCTTCATATTTCTGTGATTACAGGTAAGTTTTACAACTTATTTCCTGAAACAATTTTTCAACAGTAAAATAGGAAATTATCTTAATAACAGTTCTGTATTGAAAATTCTATTCAACCCACTAAAATATTTTTCTTTACTTTTCAATATGCCAGGTGTTTTAAACTTAAATCATATAAAAAAAAAATTTTTTCCTTCAGTAAATGCCGAATTAAATGCAGCATTGACAACGAGTGGTCCTACCTGGATGTTCTGAACAGTAAAATTCTTGAGATCACCTTCCCTACTGATTCCTTGAGGTTTCATGTCACTACCAAGGATGGACCACCTTTACAGGTAAGATTCTAGACATTTGTGTAAAACTTGTACATTGTGCTAGACATTCTGGTAAAAGAATTAGAGATCTGTGCATTGTTATTACAATATTTTGTACAGAAATTACATTTGATGAACACAATAAAATAATTGAGGATTTCATCATTTGTGGTTTTTTCTGTAATTAAAGAAGCCAATTGATGACGCTGGACATATATTTTGTCTTTCTTTCTTCTTTTTCTTCGTTCTTAATTATTAGTGTTGAAGGGGATCAAGATTTATCAGCCAGTCGGTTTGAACTCGAGACTTTGTTCGAATTTATCAACCATCAGCTTTTTGCCGACTCGACCACGCCTCCAACACAATTAAGCGTTACGTGTCAACTGGTTATGCGCCATTGAGGCCATTGACTCCTATTTCAGCCTGCTTTTCTTTTTGGATTTGCTTCCATAGCCTTTGTCCAACCAAGAACAAACTACAAGGCAGCAGTTGTTTAATTTTGGAGTTGTCTCTTCTAGAAGAGTGGCTGTCCCCAGCTAACGAGCCTCATCTGCCCGAGGGTTCGAACTCGAGACTTTTTGGTTTAGCAACCATGAGCTTTACCGACTCGACCACTCCGGCCCTTATTTTGTCTTTAAATCTTGACATTTAAGAATCTTCTTTAAATCTTGACATTTAAGAATCTTCTTTAAATCTTGACATTTAAGAATCTTCTTTAAATCTTGACATTTAAGAATCTTCTTTAAATCTTGACATTTAAGAATCTTCTTTAAATCTTTACATTTCAGAATCTTCTTTAAATCTTGACATTTAAGAATCTTCTTTAAATCTTTACATTTCAGAATCTTCTTTAATTCTTGACATTTAAGAATCTCCTTTAAATCTTGACATTTAAGAATCTTCTTTAAATCTTGACATTTAAGAATCTTGACCTGTCCAAGCCATCAAGCACAGTCTACAGAGAGGAAGTGTCCACCACAAAACTTCTAGTCAAAATTGTTGAACATGTGGACAACCTGCTCCAGGTTTCTATTTTTTAAATTTATTATTAGGCCACAAAAATACTTTGTATGGCCAGGTTTTTAACCATTTTATAACTAGAACATCAACATTGTATGGCCAGATTTTTAACAAATTTATGGTTAGAACATCAAAATAGCTTATTTTTTTTCTTTGTCTGAAAATGCAATTAATAAATAAAATTCGCAGATGAGAGGTTAATTTGCTAGTGGTTTTTTAATGTGTTGCCTAAGCATAAATTTTGACACCATACATCATATCCATTATTGACTTTCAAAACTGCACCTTTATAAGTGAACTTAATAGCATATACCAGTTGTAAATGTCAAGCCTAATTTTGTTTAGCATGTATACACTATCTTTTTATTGTATACACCATACATATATAATGACCTCCATATTCATATCATGTGCCCTATACTTCTGTTATGTGCACCATACATCCATCTGGTGCTCTATACACATGTCTAGAACTCTATGTGTCTATCATGTGCACTATACTTATCATGTGCACTATGCTTATCATGTGCACTATACTTCTATCATGAGCACTATACTTCTATCATGTGCACTATACTTATCATGTGCACTATACTTCTATCATGAGCACTATACTTCTATCATGAGCACTATACTTCTATCATGTGCACTATACATCCATCTGGTGCTCTATACACATGTCTAGAACTCTATGTGTCTATCATGTCCACTATTCTTATCATGTGCACTATATTTCTATCATGTGCTGTATACTTTTGTAATGTGCACTACATGTCTATCATGTACCCCTTACACTTATTAAAAGTACCTTGTACTTTTGTCCAAATTTTCCACTTTGCACTATACACATGTGTCAAATGCCCTGTACACATTTTAAGTGGCGTACACTGCTGTCACCAGGACTGGTACCCGGACATTGGAGAGCTCCGATTCAACCAGAACTGTGAAGGCAGGTACCTGGTCACCCGCATCGTCCCCTGCCCGCAGTGCCTGAACAGGGAGGTGACCAGACAGAGGAGCTTCCAGGCTGACCAAAACTCTTGGTACTTCCTGAATCCCGAGGTGCCAGACCTGTGCATGCCTGTCCTGCTGCTGGACAACCATCAGCCTGTGAGGGACAGAAGCGCAACTGTGATTGGCGCTACAAGACATTCAGCCGATGAAGCTCATATTACAGCTCCCGTTACAACAAGGCCGAGGTATCAGCTTTTGTAGTTTAGAAATTTTTAAAAATATAATACTCCAGCAAGCTTTTTTTTTACAGTAATTTTGGTTTGTTATTCAAAACTAGCTTCTCTAAGTTGGTGAATAAAGGGTTGTAATTTGGACTTGGCTCTTCTTTAAACCTTTAATAAAGACGTCTCACAATCTATTGTTTCACTTATTCAAAATATTACAAGTTACAGATGGGGTTAATTATACATCTATTTACCTTGAACTTTACTTTACTGTTACCTTTAATATATTGTTTTAATCAATATCAATCAATATATTTGAAATTAACGTATGCATCAATGAATTATTAATTAATTATTTACTTAGGATTACGGTACCCTCTAAAATAACTTCCTCTCCTTGTGTTCTAGAACTTTAACCGAGGGCCAGGCATTTATTTACAACAAAGGCAGTCCAGACGGAGAGGAAGTGATATTTTCCTGGCTAGTGGAGAGGTGCATGCTGGATGTTTTGGAGGGTGTTGATGCCATGTGTCCACGCCATGGGTCAATCTCCCCCCTGTACCTGATGGGCAAAGATGGGGTCACCCACCAGCTCTTCATTGCTCCTGATGTGGTCAGTGGTTTTATGCTTGATAAATGTATGGCATAAGTAGTGTGCTCAATAAATCATTTCTAATTTGGTTATGTGTTAAATAAATAATATGTAATATGGGTAGATAAATTGTTTAAAATAAATAATATGTAATATGGTAAGACAAATGTGTTTAGTAAAGGATCTGTACTATGGTTAGATAAATTAATCTGTTTTTAAATAAAACATATTTTATATGGGTACATATATTAAGTGACATGCTTGTATGATTTCAATGTTTGACCATTGTCCAGTTTACCATCTGACATGCTTGTATGATTTCAATGTTTGACCATTGACCAGTTTACCATCTGACATGCTTGTATGATCTCAATGTTTGACCACTGACCAGTTTATTATCTGACATGCTTGTATGATCTCAATGCTTGACCAATGTCCAGTTTACCAACTGACATGCTTGTATGATTTCAATGTTTGACCACTGTCCAGTTTATTATCTGACATGCTTGTATGATCTCAATGCTTGACCAATGTCCAGTTTACCAACTGACATGCTTGTATGATTTCAATGTTTGACCACTGTCCAGTTTATTATCTGACATGCTTGTATGATCTCAATGCTTGACCAATGTCCAGTTTACCAACTGACATGCTTGTATGATTTCAATGTTTGACCACTGTCCAGTTTATTATCTGACATGCTTGTATGATCTCAATGCTTGACCAATGTCCAGTTTACCAACTGACATGCTTGTATGATTTCAATGTTTGACCACTGTCCAGTTTACCATCTGACAAGCTTGTATGATTTCAATGTTTGACCACTGTCCAGTTTACCATCTGACAAGCTTGTATGATTTCAATGTTTGACCACTGTCCAGGTGTTCCAGGACCAGTCCCAGAATCTCTTGTTACCCAGCTCCACACAACTGGACATTGGCAGCTGCCTAGGGAAAGGAAATTTTGGGGAGGTTCATGAGGGATGGCTCTACAGAAAGGTTAGTGCAGCTTTTTAGTAGAATACATTAGTAGTTAAATAACTAACATAAGTTCGTTTTATTTGGTATAACTGTTTAGATACAATACCAATGACATTGAATTGTATAAAAGCAATACAACATTATTACATATTGATAAACTGTCAGAGTTTAAATGCATTTTTTAAAACTATGGTCAATTATGGTCTATTCATTTTTTCACTAATCAGCAAGGTTTAAATTGGTGTGAAAAGAAATAATAATTTTAAAATTTTTTAAAAATATTTATTGTAGTGTAGTGTCTTTTCTAAAATCCTTTAAATTACCAACCTAGAGTACATGTCGCCAGATTTTTCTGACATCAGTTGTTGAAAGTAGAAGCACCAGTTTATTTATTTTTACAGGACAACTGCGGTCCTGACCATGTGGCTGTCAAAATTTTGTTCAGGCAGGTGCAAGCCAGGAAGGACATCACAAAGGTAAAGTGGTCAAGTTTTTTACGTTAGCAATGTACTGTTTGTTTCATGATGATTTTTTACAACTTTTGTGTGGTATTTGTTTGATAATATTTTTGTTTTGCAGAATTAATATTTTAGGAATTTTGTATGTAGGTTATTTGTTTGAATTCTCATTATTTAAATGTGATTTAATTTGCATGTGTCATCATTTTTATGAAGATGTCCTAAGTTTATTTGATAAGTTATGTGTACAGTTCTATTAAAAACATAATGAAAACTGCATTGAAAACATAATGAAAACTTAATTGTAAATATTCAACAAAAAAAAAAAAAAAAAAAAAAAAAAAACTTAAATACTCCCTTTACAAGCACTGGGTAGTCAGATGTATGTTACAGGAATGTCCATCTCCATCTCTTCAATATTTGATTTTGATCTACACAGTATTTACTATCAAGTTGATTAAGTTATTCTTATTACAATCTTTGGTCATTAAATCAGCTTTTATTTTATTTTTATTTTTTTTTTAAGCTTAACAAATAGTTTAAATTTATAGTACAGATATGCACTAATTCAGTCATTTTTTAGATTTCATTTTTGTTTCCATGTAAAGGGTTTCCATAGTTACCTAGAGAAAGCCTGCTCAGCTTATTTAACTGCCAGACAAGAGGTTTCTATCCTGAGTCAGCTAGAGCACCCCCACATTGTCCCACTTATGGCCCTCTGCCTGAAGCCATTGTCTCTGGTCCTGACCCTGGCGCCACAAGGTGCTCTTGACACCAGGCTCAAGTTGATGCACAAGCATGGGGAGTGCTTTCCCTTTTTTGTTATAAGGGAGATAGTCATACAGGTATTTATTTGGCTATTAAATTTACTTTCTACATCAGATTTGATTAACTTAATTCTAATTATTTGACAATAGTTTGATTTGACTTTCAATCAAATAAATGTGCAAAAATATATAAAATAACATTTACAAAAAAAAAAAAAAAAACAATATTGGAAATTTGTATTTGTTCTTTAGTTAAAAAGAGCTTTTATTTTTCCCAGGTATCCAGTGCTTTAAGCTACCTGCACTCAGTAAACATCATATACAGAGACCTTAAGGCTGAGAATGTTTTAATATGGGAGCTACCCGCCTCAGGTACATTAATAGACAAATATCCCGTAACCATTTTTTAAAAATATGTTGCTAAAATAGGGTACAAAAACTAAAAGTGTTAAAAATTATTATATATCAAAAATAGTCCATGAGTTTTGCATTTTATCACACTGTAATTCCTTTTAAATAAAAAAAAAAAATGACAAATACTATCAAGAAGATAAAAAACAATAATTTCCTTCCTGTTACTACTCCTGCCTGTAGACGCCCAGCCTCGCAGCCCCATACAGTTGAAGTTGGCTGACTACGGCATCAGCAGGTATGTCCTGCCCACTGGAGCCAAGGGATTTGGTGGGACGCCACCCTTCATTGCCCCTGAGATCCTGCAACATGCTGGGAAAGGAACTTACACCACAAAGGTTAGTTACTAGAATAAATAGAAGGTACGAAAAAATAGTTACTAGAAAATATTGAAGGTACTTAATTAAAGTGAGAAAATAGTTACCAGAATAAATAGAAGGTACTCTATAAAGGTAAGAAAATAGTTACCAGTAGAAATTAAATCCTACTTGAAACTGTAGTTTAAAAGTAGTAAGAAATCTAGATAAGTCTAAAATATCCAGACTGTTCAAAAACTCAATCAAAAATAATACATTTAATATAATTTTGTTTCAAATTTCCTAAAAATAAACTCTACGTGATCACATAATAGAACATGTAAGCTATACTGTTACTAAATTTGGAACATGTTGGTTTAATAGTTGTTTTTTTTAAGAAATGTAACCACATTCCTGGTGTATGTGACCACTTAAATAAACTGCTAATTTTTCATTAAATGTTGGTTTAAAATCTTTAAAAAAACAACCAAATATTGGTGTCATGTGATCTAGACTGGACTGTGTACTTGCAGGTGGACGTGTTCTCATTTGGCATGTTCCTGTTTGAGGTGCTGACCTGTAGAGCTCCATTCAACAATGTCAACAACCCAAACAACTTGATCTGTCAAGGGGAACGACCCAGCTTAACTGTTCAGGTGAAAGATTTGGTGCTGCCCAGTTGAAAATTGTGTTTGTATCTGAAATACTCCATTTACCTATAAACTTCAAGGGATTTTTTGAAACATCTGCACTAAAAATAGATATTTTTTTTTAATTGCATGCCATAACTATTTGACTCAGTATTCTAGTGGTAGAGCTGATAATGACAAACTCTGGAGTTGTGGATTCAAAATGTCATAGTCTGGTCACTCCTGTCCATCTAGTTTTATTGGGAATTAGGATTTAATATCTGTACAGAAAGAGGAACAATACCCAACTTATATGATAGATTTTATATCTTTACAGGAAGCAGAACAATACCCCAGCTACATGATAGATTTTATATCTTTACAGAAAGAGGAACAATACCCAACTTATATGATAGATTTTATACCTTTACAGGAAGCAGAACAATACCCCAGCTACAAATTTAATATCTTTACAGGAAGCAGAACAATACCCCAGCTATATGATAGATTTTATCTTTACAGGAAGCAGAACAATACCCAACTTATATGATAGATTTTATATCTTTACAGGAAGCAGAACAATACCCCAGCTACATGATAGATTTTATCTTTACAGGAAGCAGAACAATACCCCACCTATATGATGGATCTAATATCTTTACAGGAAGCAGAACAATACCCCACCTATATGATGGATCTAATATCTTTACAGGAAGCAGAACAATACCCAACTTATATGATAGATTTTATATCTTTACAGGAAGCAGAACAATACCCCAGCTACAGATTTAATATCTTTACAGGAAGCAGAACAATACCCCAGCTACATGATAGATTTTATCTTTACAGGAAGCAGAACAATACCCCAGCTACATGATAGATTTTATATCTTTACAGGAAGCAGAACAATACCCCAGCTACAGATTTAATATCTTTACAGGAAGCAGAACAATACCCCAGCTACAGATTTAATATCTTTACAGGAAGCAGAACAATACTTCAGCTACATGATAGATTAAATATCTTTACAGGAAGCAGAACAATACCCCAGCTATATGATAGATTTAATATCTTTACAGGAAGCAGAACAATACCCCAGCTACATGATAGATTTTATATCTTTACAGGAAGCAGAACAATACCCCAGCTACATGATGGATCTAATATCTTTATATCTTTACAGGAAGCAGAACAATACCCCAGCTACATGATAGATTAAATATCTTTACAGGAAGCAGAACAATACCCCAGCTACATGATAGATTTTATCTTTACAGGAAGCAGAACAATACCCCACCTATATGATGGATCTAATATCTTTACAGGAAGCAGAACAATATCCCAGCTACAAATTTAATATCTTTACAGGAAGCAGAACAATACCCCAGCTACATGATGGATCTAATATCTTTACAGGAAGCAGAACAATATCCCAGCTATATGATGGATCTAATATCTTTACAGGAAGCAGAACAATACCCCAGCTACATGATGGATCTAATATCTTTACAGGAAGCAGAACAATACCCCAGCTACATGATGGATCTAATATCTTTATATCTTTACAGGAAGCAGAACAATACCCCAGCTACATGATGGATCTAATATCCCTGTGCTGGTCCCAGGACCCAGAGGACCGCCCCACCATGGAGGCAATTCTGGGCATCGCCAGGTCCCCCCAGTTCTGCCACATGCATGATGTAGTCAGCCTGGGCATGGACATGTCAGTCTACTCAGGTTGTGTTGTCACACCTGTCAGCCCCACCCCAGGTCAGAGAAAAACATTTGGAAACTGAATTTTTAAGCTCATAATTAAATTGTATTTGAAAGTTCATAACTAAATTATATTAGAAAGTTCATAACTAACACACAAAAATAAGCTGAGTGTTTTTATCATGATTTACTCAAGCTGAGTTGAATTGTGTATCCAAGAATATAAACATACCTGAAGCTATTTTAACTTTTCAGATGATAGTAACTGTACAAATTAATGATCTTACTTATGATATGAAAAACATGTTGAATAACATTTTAATTATATCTGTCAAATTTTCTACTAATTTGTGCTATATTGTTTAGTACTTGCTGGAACCATCTTGGAACCATCTTGAAGTGTTCATCTATTTCCCTTGCTTAAGACAAATATTGAGAAATTTGTGATTTAAAAGTTGTTAATGGGTTGTTAATTGAATTTTAATTAAACTCTTGCAGGAACCGCCAGTCCAATAATTCTAGGCCCATCAGATCACCCCACGTCTGCTAGCCAGACAGAAATGACCCAGATTTGGTTAAGTTCTAGTTTCCATGGTAAATCTGGCATTGAAATCTTCACCTTCAACCAGGCCAGGAAGGTTGAAAACTACAAGGTTAGCTTTACACTAGTTTTATAAGTGAGGTAAAAATACAAGGTTAGCTTTACACTAGTTTTATAAGCTAGGTAAAACTACAAGGTTAGGTTTACACTAGTTTTATAAGTGAGGTAAAAATACAAGGTTAGCTTTACACTAGTTTTATAAGCTAGGTAAAACTACAAGGTTAGGTTTACACTAGTTTTATAAGTGAGGTAAAAATACAAGGTTAGCTTTACACTAGTTTTATAAGCTAGGTAAAACTACAAGGTTAGGTTTACACTAGTTTTATAAGTGAGGTAAAAATACATGGTTAGCTTTACACTAGTTTTATAAGCTAGGTAAAACTACAAGGTTAGGTTTACACTAGTTTTATAAGTGAGGTAAAAATACAAGGTTAGCTTTACACTAGTTTTATAAGCTAGGTAAAACTACAAGGTTAGCCTTACACTAGTTTTATAAGCGAGGTAAAACTAGAAGGTTAGATGCTTTGCAACATTTTTATATTCTGCACTTAAACTGAAATAATTCTTTTTGTAATTTTAAAGTAAGGTTTCTTGACTGAGACACTTTTGCATTATTTATTTCAATGTAAATAACATTTTTATAGATTAAGTTGTAAAACTTACTTTTTTCCACATTTTAAGGCTGGGTTGTGAAAGTGTTACCAAAAGGCCTCCACATCTAAACTTGTGTAATGATTAAAATATTGTTTATGTTATTCCAGACTCTGTCACCAGCAGGCCCGCCTATAGTGGCCATGTGTGTCTATGATTGTTGTGTCTGGTCTGTCAACAGCAAGGGTCTCATTCAAATCTTTCAGTAAGTCGCAATCTGTTTTTTTTTTAGTTTTTTTTCTTCTTCTCATTCAAATCTTTCAGTAAGTCTCAAACTGTTTTAATACATTTTTTTTCTTCTTCTCATTCAAATCTTTCAGTAAGTCTCAAACTGTTTTTATACATTTTTTTTCTTCTTCTCATTCAAATCTTTCAGTAAGTCTCAAACTGTTTTTGTTTTACATTTTTTTTCTTCTTCTCATTCAAATCTTTCAGTAAGTCTCAAACTGTTTTTATACATTTTTTTTCTTCTTCTCATTCAAATCTTTCAGTAAGTCTCAAACTGTTTTTTCTTACAGTTTTTTTTCTTCTGATAGCTATATTGTTTTTTTTTAAATCAGTCATTTTTAACTTAAATAACTTTATAACGAACTATATTCATAATTATGATCATAAAACCAACAAAGCAGTTCAATTGGTAAATCAATTAACCACATGTATTCCGACTTGCAATGATACTTTCACCAACTCATGTCTATCCTTTAAATCAGGGGTCTCCAAACTTTTCAGCCCCAGGGCCGCATTAACTATCAAATATAAGTTCTGGGGCCAGAGTTTTTTCCAGGCATCTCTTCAAGGTGGCAAAGCTCCCCCCCCCATGGAATATATATATATATATATATATATATATATATATATATATATATATATATATATATATATATATATATCTATATATATAAAAAGCAATGTATGTGTGTGTGTGTGTTTGTCCTTTATGCATTACTACACCTCTCATCACATCGCCGTGAAACTTTGGAAAGTTGTTGAGAATATTCCTGGGGAGGTTTCTGCGAAAAAAAATATTTCAAATTCGCAAGGGCGGCGCCACGGGAGGGTGCGATTTTTCTCTATATACGGTATATAAAATTAGTAAACGTGAATTGTAGTGACACTGTTCACACGATCGCCATGACACTTTAGGAAGTTGTTGAAAATATTCCTGGGGAGGTTTCTGCGAAAAAAAAAATTTCAAATTCGCAGGGGTGGCGCCCCGATAGGGCGCGATTTGGTTTTTTTTCTATTTACGGTATATAAAACTAAAAGTCGATTTTGGTTTGGCATCGTTCATCCAATAGCCATGAGACTTTGGGGAGTTCATTATACCACTCTAGGGAAGGATTCTGTAAAAAAAATATTTTTTAATTTCGCAAGGGCGGCGCCACGGGAGGGTCCGATTTTTCTCTATTTACGGTATATAAAAATAATAAAAGTGAATTGCAATGACACCGTTTATCCGATAGGCATGAAACTTTGGGGATTTCATAATAAAACTCTAGGGAAGGGTTCTGTAAAAAATCATTTTTAATTTCGCAAGGGCGGCGCCACTGGAGGCTGCGATTTTTCTCTATATACGGTTTATAAAATTTCGGTTTCACACCGTTCATCCGTGTACCATGAAACTTTGGGGAGATGATTAGATCACTCAATGGTAGGGTTTGCAAAAAAAATATTGTTTAATATTGCAAGGGCGGCGTCCGCGGGGTGGGGGTGGGAGCGATTTTTTTTTTCTCTATACACGATTTATAAAAAATAAAACTCGGATGCGGTTCATCCGAGTACCATGAAACTTTAGGGAGTAGATGAGAATACTCCCGAGAATATTTCTGCGAAAAAGAAAACTAAAGTTTCTTATGGGCGGCGCCATATAGGGTACAACTTTCGTCAATACACGGTTTGGCGCCCAGAGTTTTAGAGCGACTATGTTGGCACTGGGCATCCGTTAATCGAGCGTCCTGTATAGCGAGTAAGGAGTACTACTATATTCAGCGGTAAAACTACAACAGGCTTATAAAAATAACTTTGTAACACGAGGAAATCCTTCTGTACAGTTTCGTCACCTTGCGAAAGATGAAAAAATAACTGTTTGAATATGAGGAGCCTACTGTAGAGTTTCGTCACTTTGCGAATGATGCAATAAGCATCTATTATTAGACAATCCAGGCCGAAATTGAGACCGAGCATCTAATAATAGACCATTAGTAACGCTAGCATATTGCATCAGTCACACTGATATTTAAAACACGTCAAATAATTTTTTTACGTGTTAAAGAAAAAAATCCTGATCATTTGTGTCACATTAGCGAATGATGAAATCTGCATCATTATTAACAGGATGCTATTTGGCCGATGGCGCCTGTTAGTTTTAAGGAGCCAGGGGTAGTACGCCGCGCCTATGCGGTAGTGTAATCGGGGGGAGGGTGGGGGCCCTGAGAGCGCCCCTCTACGTTCTGACACAGAGGCGGTCACCGAAGTGTGTTCTACCATATTATTTCGGTGAGTGATTAATGTACACTCAATGTTTTCATGCGGTAGTGTAGGTAAACCCGTGTCCCGATATTTATGATAGAAGCGCAGGCATTGTTTTTTTTTAAATAACTCACTTTTAGAAAAAACGGCCACGCGTCTAAGAACATATGATTGGTAACGCGTTGGTGAAATCCTTCTAATACATTTCGTCAAACTTTCTTCTATCCCCGCGGCATCGCGCGGGGGACGGGTACGCTAGTATATATATATATATATATATATATATATATATATATATATATATATATCAAGTGACCCCCCCCCCCAACTGAGAAAAAAGTCTGAAAGAAATACTGTTGGGGACCTACAACACACTCGATGTCCAATTATGTTCTTCACGTATACCTACTTCATTCTTGATAAAGTGTGTATGTTGTTCCAAAATGTGTAAGATACTTTGATGCAAACATTTTAATATTAGGAAAGCCCAGAGTTTCTTCCAGGCATCTCTTCAGGGGTGCAAAGCCCCCCGAAAAATTTTTACCGCCCCCCCCCCCCCCCCCAAATGAAATGAAATTTATATAATTTATATAGAAAATATATACTTTTAACAGTGTGTCCCCCCCCCCCCCTCCGAAGAAAGTCTACCCCCCCCCCCCCCCCCCCCCCAAAAATTATCTTTAAAAAGGTCATTTGCTGGGCTACTGGCCACATTTACTTCAATGGTATTTGTACCCAATGATATATTTTCAGTTTAATTTGAATTTTTCCTTAGCCAACTCCAACAAACATTTTTTTCCCGTGGACAAAAAGATCTCCGAGGGTCCTGATGAGAGGACCTCACGGGCCAGATGCGGCCCTCGGGCCGTAGTTTGGAGACACCTGTTTTAAATGTTTAATTTTCTCTATGCAGGCTAACAAAATTTCATAATAAGTATCATCATTCTATTAAAAATTACTGCTATATTTTGTAGCTGGGATATGTTTCCTGGCTTTTAAGATTCATATTGTGATTTATTTATTTTTGAGACAGCTACGAATAATTATTTGTGTTGGGATCATTTTATTTTTTATTGTTTCAACTTCTGAAAACATTTGACCAAGAACTCCCATGATCAGTTCTAAAAAAATTATTTTTGTTTTGACCCACAGCTCAGAGCAGCTTCAGCTGGTCCATCAACTAGAGTTACCTGTCCCTGCCACAGTCCCCCTTGTCAATTTCCTAGCCTTACATCCCCTGCCCCAGCAGCACTGTGTGCTGGCCATCTCTGCTGAAGGGACCATCTACATGTGTAAGGAAATTAGCCAAGGCTACCTGCTGGATGACCAGTCTGTGACCATCCACAAAGTAGAGCCGTGTTTCTCATCTGTGCTGGTGAACACAGCTGAAAGGTTGGTCATCCAATGTTTAACTGGAAACCTCTTTCTTCTCAGTCCAATTAGTGAAGATATGCTTTCAAAGTTGATGTTTGGAGATATTAACACGTTTTTCTTAACTCAGCTTCGCGTTTGTGGATGTGTTTGTTGTTAAAATTGACATCGAAAATTAGCCCACTTCTGATTGCTCTATAGATCTGAAATTTGGCATGCAGGTTACTTTCGCCTAACAATTTCAGATGCAATCATAAAAACTAGCAATTAGAGACCGTAATTAGCTTAATTTAATTACGCCCTAAGGACCATAAAATTGAGGACATGATTTCTAAAGATACCGACAAGACTGAAGACCTATTGACACAGTTACTTCGGCCCCAATCGATGTGAGCGCGCTGGCCGTGATCGTATAGTGGTTAGTACTTCGCGTTGTGGCCGCGACAACCCAGGTTCGAATCCTGCTCGCTCAAGATTTTTAGTCCGTGTATTTATAAACACTTAGTCAAGTCATACTTAATCAAGTCATTGGATAAAGTAGAAAATAAACTATATAAAAAACTTTTTTTAAAAACCACGTTTTTCATGTGTAGCAACGGACTAAAAAGGAGAAAATAAAATACTTAAAAAAAACTTTTTAAAAAACCACGTTTTTCTTGTGGACTAAAAAGTAGAAAATAACTATTTACATACATTTGATTACAAAAAACGTGGGTCGGGCAGATGGGTCGGGAAATTTGATGGTGAACGTACCCACGTTTTTTGTCATCAAATGTATGTAAATAGTTATTTTCTACTTTTTAGTCCACAAGAAAAACGTGGTTTTTTAAAATGTTTTTTTTAAGTATTTTTTTTTTCTCTTTAATGGGATATAACATTTTTTTTAGACAAGATATTACAATTTCTACTATAAAGGGAGTTAACATTACATTTACTTCCCTTTATAAAGGAAATAACATAATTTCTACTTTCCAATAATAAGGGTAGACAATTTTTCTTTCCTTCTAGTTTAAAGGCAGATAACATTGATTATATATACTTCCCTTTAACTTAAAGGGTAGATAACATTATTACTTTTATCTGAAGGGCAGATAACATTTCTACTTTCCTTTAAAGGGGGGGGGGGGGGTGATAACATTATTTCTATTTCCATCGACATGAGATAAGAATACATTTTCCTTCCTGTAGATGTGAGTTATGGCTGGGCCAGTGTAAAGGTGCCATGTGTGTCTGGAACATTGAGAGTCAAACCCTGGACTACTGCCTCAGTCATGGGCCCAGAGTGGCCACGGCTACATCGTCTGTTGCCTTCTTGGTCACCTTGTCTGGGACCTCAGCAGACTGCTCCAATGTCTGGTCCTACAACTACCCTGGTACAACTGTTTTGTCATTCTGATTCATCTTATAAGTTTAAAGCTTCATGTTTTCTTTAATTAATGGTCCATAACACCATCACTTGAATACAATATTTATTATTGAAACAGATGAGGCTCGTTAGCTGGGGACAGCCACTCTTCTAGGAGAGACAACTCCAAAATTAAATAACTGCTGCCTTGTAGTTTGTTCTTGGTTAGACAAAGGCTATGGAAGCAAATCCAAAAAGAAAAGCAGGCTGAAATCGGAATCAATGGCCTCAATGGCGCATAACTAGTTGACACGTAGCGCTTAATTGTGTTGGAGGCGTGGTCGAGTCTGCAAAAAGCTCATGGTTGATAAATTTGAACAAAGTCTCGAGTTCAAACCCACTGGTCGATAAATCTCGATCCCCTTCAACACTAATAATTAAGAACGAAGAAGAAGAAACAAATTTAAAAGCAAAAACAATGCTGGGCTATAAAATGAACCAGTTTTTGTTTTGACTTTGAATTTTTTTTAAATGTTGCTCACCTACATGCAGATTTTATACAACAACTTGCTTAAAGAATAATTTTATTTTTTAAGGCTCTATAATTTGTATGTGGGACACAAGGAATCGCTGTATTGCCAAAAAGCTAGACTGCTCACAGATTGTATCCACTGTGGACTCGCCAGTTCTGGCTACATCAGAACACTTTGAATGTAAGTTGTTTTTTTTTACTGGCTACATCAGAACACTTTGAATGTAAGTTTTTTTTAATTTGCTACATCAAAACACTTTGAATGGTTTCTGTAACAACATGTATTCTTTGTTGTTGTGGGTTTCATACAGGAACACGAGCAACAGTGGCAACTTGAAATGACAACTTTATTTACACTATGTACAGATAAATCCGTGGTACATCCATATTTGAAGATCAACTGATATAGGTACAAATAATAATCACGACTCCAAGTCATGGAGACATCTTACATCCACTGCCATCGTTCCAGTCCCAAGTTCTAGCACACAACACCCGTTCACCTTTTTGCTCTCCCTTTTATTCACCACTTTCTCTCCCCTTACGTACATGAGCGATCTCACCCAAAAGCATGAAACAACACATGACGATCGCTCAGACAGTCCTTCCGCTAGCCAGGTACTCTTCATTCATGCAAAACACAATATAATAAGGATACATAATTATACAGTCTGTGACACGTCCCCCCTTCAATTAAAATTTTGTGTAACAAAATTTATAAATACAATATTGGTAGGGCAGGATCATGTGCCAGACAACAAAATTTTTATACATCTCAAAAAACATGGAAAAATACATTCTTTGTAGACTAATGCACAAGCATTATGTGTAATATATTCAAATATGAGAAAGAAAAACATTTCAATTACCCAGTAATTGTAGTATAAACAAGACAAATGAGTGTAATAAATTACCAAACCAGTCTGGTACATGACTTAATTACCAAAACATAATACATAGTTGAAATTATCAAAGACTTAATTCAACTCATAATTTAAATAACTATATCCTATGTAGTAAAAACAAAGACTTCCTTATCATCAAGGTATGTTATTACCACGCATGAGTAATATACTTTGTTGTCTCCCCTAGTCGACCCATTTCAGTCATATCTAGGTCACAACACAACAACATTGCCTTTCACAGGTATGACTAACACACAATTCATCATTGAGACTTCCGTCTTATTGTTATGCGGAATAAATAGTCTCTAACTTTTATTTATTTACTTTATTCTCTGTTAATTAATAGTATAGAATAGGTTTAACATAATACAGTTTACATTCTTTAGATATAGTACACAATTTATGTTTACTCAAACACATTATTTGATATTTATATATTACAGTTACAGACTGTATAATATTAATACACTGTCAATTGATAATTTAATCTTAGCATCCTCTATAGCATGAGTAATCGTTCTCGTGCAGTTGACGATGACCTGTATGCCATCTCTCCCTCAAATTGTAGCTTTTAGCTGTGCTACCATAATCATTTCCTAGATTTCGTGTAACTTGTGTTACTTCATTTGTTTTAATATTCTCCTCTGGTTTCTGAACAACGTCAGTGGTTATCTTGCTTTGTGTATGTTGGTTTGGTTCATCAACCAACTCAATATAAATATTATGGCATTGCTTTGGCCTCTCATAATATGTGTTGCGTCGGTAACTTCCATTAGTATACCTATTCACACTTTTGTTATTCTGATTTGAAGTTGATACATTTCTTAAATTACTGTATTTCTCACATGACTTTCTGTGTACATAATTGTTTCTTCTCTGATTTGCCAACCTATGCCAACATTGATTTTGGTAATGACCTGTTTTTCCGCAGTAAAAACATCTAGATTTTGGCTTCTTATAAACATGGTGACTGTATTCATAGTTTGCTAAATTTCTTTTTCTTTCATTCTGTGCATTAATGACATTAATGACATTCTTATTAACATGTTGACTGTATTCATAATTTGCTAAATTTCTTTTACTTTCATTCTGTGCATTAATGACATTGTAGTTTCTAGTTACTGTTTCATCTTTCTTAACTTCCTTGTGCTTCTTTATTGATTCTAATTCACACATAAATTTCTGTGTTAATTTCTCCATTTCTTTGTTAAATTTATTCTTGAGTTCTAGGATATCTTCTTTAAAGTTTGACTCCAGATTTCTAAGTAACTCCTCAATAGGTACGTTCTCTTTATTGTGGCTTATTAAGTTCACTGATTCATTAATCATCATTAGTTTATCATGATTCCTGCCATTCTCCGATGGACTTATTAAATCATCACTGCCATTGACTGATGGGCTTATTAAATCATTTTGACTACCATTCTCTGATGAACTTGTTTCTTGTTGACTGCCATTCTCTGATGGACTTGTTTCTTGTTGACTGCCATTCTCTGATGGACTTACGATACAACTTTCAATAATATTCTCGTGTACCTGCGTATCATTCAAAAAAGAGTCAATCTTAAGACATACTAATGTATCTGTCACCTTTAAATCATTATTAAGTTCAACCTCTGTTTTATCCTTGGGTTTCAATTCTTCCTGGACTATGTTACTCTGTTCTTCATTCCAAAGGTTGCCAATATTTACTTCTTCAAGTTCTGCTTTAAATTCTGTCTGTTCACTTTCTAATTTTGGTTCATTTGTGTCTGTTATAGCTTTCATTTCTAATAGTTCTTGTTTATATTCTAGTTCATGTAGGCCAACTTGTTTTTCCAAAGTTTCAGCCCTTTTATCTGCTCTCTGTTTTCTGTTTCTTTTTTTTCTCTTCCCTTTTTGTTGTACAGTCTCCTCTACTTTATCTCCATCTGACATTTTTTTTTCTTCTTGCATTTCTGTAATACCTCTTGATTTATTACACACTATTTCTATCACATCATCTAGTTCTCTCAATACATTTCCATGAGCTCGTTTGGGTTGTTCATTTTGTTCGTCCCATGCTTCTAATGCTTTTTCTATGTCTCGGTCAAATCGAGTGTTTGCCCAGGCTATCTGCTTCTTCATCTTCTTAATGCCTTGCGCCCTCGCTAGTGCTAGATATTCTTCAAAACATAACATTTTGATATATTTTCTATGACATAAAATATAAATTCATTAGTTGACAATAGATAAATGTTAATTAATTTACAATACCCTTTCTTGTATTCTGGCTTTGTTCAGTTGATTAGAGACATCTAGTAATCCAAGAAAAGTTCATAGTACATATATAGTACAAAAATAGTTCACTTTGTTGATTCCAAAAAGTTGAAAAAATTCAAAATAGTTCTAGTAGCCTGTTACAGAGTAGAAATTTGTCCAGTTTTAGATAAGACATCTTTAGGAACAGTTTAGGAACAGTTACAAAAATAAACTTGATCTGCTAAATCCAAACAGTAGAAAAACTTGAACAGCTAATCCATATAGAAAAAACTTGAACAGCTAAATCCAAACAGTAGAAAAGAAACACTAAGACTTGATCAGCTAAATCCAAACAGAAAAAACACACAGACGATATTTACTCGACATTGGTGAGACAATATCGAAATAAGGTGATAAAAATTATCACGTTGATGACTTGACTTGAACAAGACGTCTGACTTGACTACAGCAACCCTTCTGACTTGAGTGTAGATAGATGACTTTCAAGAACTTGACGTACTTGGTAAACAGTGGAAGACCACTTCAAAAACGTTGAAAACTGCTTACAATGATAATGTGACAATTCTTGATCACTTGTAGTAACACTGTAACTTCGTTGACGATTTCAGACTTCAATATAATTTACCAATGTAACAACATCACTTCTTCAATTGCTTCTGACAATGTAACAGTAGAATCAGTAACAGTAGCACCACTTCTTCAACCACTTTTGACATCATATGTAACAGTAGACGCCCACTTCTGACACCATATGTAACAACATGTATTCTTTGTTGTTGTGGGTTTCATACAGGAACACGAGCAACAGTGGCAACTTGAAATGACAACTTTATTTACACTATGTACAGATAAATCCGTGGTACATCCATATTTGAAGATCAACTGATATAGGTACAAATAATAATCACGACTCCAAGTCATGGAGACATCTTACATCCACTGCCATCGTTCCAGTCCCAAGTTCTAGCACACAACACCCGTTCACCTTTTTGCTCTCCCTTTTATTCACCACTTTCTCTCCCCTTACGTACATGAGCGATCTCACCCAAAAGCATGAAACAACACATGACGATCGCTCAGACAGTCCTTCCGCTAGCCAGGTACTCTTCATTCATGCAAAACACAATATAATAAGGATACATAATTATACAGTCTGTGACAGTTTCCTCTACTAGTTATATCAGAACATTTTAAATGTCTTTTTGAAAATCTCTTTTACTAAGTATGTGTTGTACATTTAATTTATAGATTGTAATTACTATAAGAAAATTTTATTTAAAAAAAAAAATTAAAAGGTCACTGTATTTTAAGTTGAAAACTAAATAATTTTAACTTCTATGAATTGAATTATGATAAAATTTAGTTTCCAGAATATTGCATACTATTCTAAAAGTCAGTAATATATATAGTGAATAATCTCTCAAAAAAATCTTTTCTTTAAAAAAACAAATTTTTATCTTCTATTTAACAAAAACTCTTCAATTATTTTTTTGAACCTGCAGGTGGTCAAGTAAGTGCCCTGTCCGCCATAGACCACTACCTGTACATTGGCACCACACGCGGCTCCATGCTCATCACAGAGGCCACAACACTCATCCCCTTGTGCCTGTTCCAGTGCCACACTGCCCAGGACTTCTACATCAAAGTTATCCTCCCAGTGAAACCAGTTTCCACTGAATCTGAGGCTGAAGACGCAGCTGACAGAAAAGATGGGAGAGAGAATGTGAAAAATTCTGTGCCGGCCGTTGTTTCTGTTGGTAAAGGATACACCAACATTATCAAGGTTTGATGGATTTTATTCATAAAATTACAAAACTTCTGCTATTTTTTTTTAGTATGAGTACCAATATATACAAAAAATATTTTCAAAATAACTTACATCCCTCAATCTTTTGAGCTCTCTTTATTTTTACTTCCCTAAAGGTATGTCTTTATCTCATGTTTTAAAAAAAAAACATTGTACATTCATGGAACAAATGACTGGTGGTTTTTTAAACAAAACAAAAACAGGGTTTAGAATTTTTGTGCTTTTGTATGATAAGTTCAATATATTTTTTCTCCAGACATTCCATCCAACTCTAGATTCAGGACCAGCTAATAAATTGGATGATGTTCGACCACATAACGATGCTGCAGCACATATTGACCCGTACGGGAATCACACTTTTCTCCTCGTATGGAACGCAACAGATTGGGAGTTTTATTAACAGCAATAGTCGTTGCTCTTCCCCGTTGATTGTGTCGACATTTGATGTGTTATTTTTTTACAAGAGACACCAATATTTGATACCTGTGATGCTGGGCTGTGATTATTGGTGTACAAAAATCAAAATGTGTACAGATTTTTTAAAATAACAAAACTAGTGATATTATAACCAGGTTCGGATGGTTTAGCAAAAGAAAAGAGGCTTGAAATTTTTTTTTAAATTTTCATTGTCATTTCACATATGCTCGTTTATTTTTGTGTTGTGAGTAAATTTTTTAAAAATACATTAATTTGTATTATTTTTTTAACAACAGACAAAAAAATATTTTTTTCAATGGTTTAGGCATTTATACCCTATCATTTAAGAATGTGTGAACTTTATTTTTCAAATGAACTCAATATCCCCAAAAATTAAATCAGGCCATTGTGAAATGATCATGACATTATTCTGGTTCAGGCTTAGAGAATGATGAAGGAAGAGTCATGTGTTCATGAATTGTAAATATAAACAATACAATCAGATTAACAATTGTCAGAAAATATCAATGTTCCAAGTCATTAAAATATCATCATTAAAATATCAATGTTCCAAGTCATTAAAATATCATCATTAAAATATTAATGTTCCAAGTCATTAAAACATCATTGTTCCAAATCATTAAAATATTATCATTAAAATATCAATGTTCCCAATGTTACCTAGCCTTACCACAAAGATGCCAAAATTTGTAAGCCCACAATCTAGCTCATTACTGGGACAACCTAGGACATTTTGTCCCCTACAGAACATACCATTTAAACTCATCGCCTGGATAACTACATCATTCCTGTATATTAGCAACTAAAACCTGTTATTGTATCATGTACGCAAATGGCCTGTCTGTATGGTGTGTGGCAAGTCTTTGTTGTGAGAATACAAGTTTTGCCTAGGTGGATCTGGTATTTGAAAATGGAAGAATGATTTGGATGTTGACTGTGAGTAGTGTGAGTCAGATAGTCCCACAGGTTTTTTATCAATATATAGTTTCATTATTTCATTGTAAATATATGTAACATTTCATCTCCTCACAATGATCGTAAATTTATTCTATTTATACACAAGTGTCATAATACTTCTTTGCCCTATCACGAATTTTAATTTCAAACATTAGAATTAAGTGCAATAATGAAATACAATCAGAAGGTAGTATCTACCTGTTTAAAAATTATATTCCAGTATAAAAACAGTCATACATTTTTACTTTTCTTAAAATAAATGTCTCTAATACTAGGTTAATTTTTTATATTTACAATTTTATTTGTGTCGATTTTTGTTTGTGTTATTACATGTGATAATCAAATGTACAGATCTGCTATTGTTATATTTTCCTGAATTTTATTGGTTACAATTTTTTTCCTTTTTTGTTAAGGAATAGACTTTTTGTTAAGTAATAGACTTTTTGTTTAGAAATAGACTTTTTTGTTGTGACCATTTATCTAGTTAATGATAACTTGTAGCATATACAATTTCCTTTTGCATTCAAGTTGAGCATATATTTTTAATTTTTAGACAACATACTTACAATTAACTGAAAATATTATGTGCTGCAGAGCTATTTCACATGTTTAACTAGACCTATGTGGGATTTGGTGCCATTTCATTTAGAATTTCTTTAAAATATTATTAAGAGAGCTGAAATATAAGTATTATTGTAGTTTTAATGCATTAAATTATTGAAACTATTTTGAAATAATTTAATATATTAACATTTCTATTATATACTAATATTTCAATGGAACCATTTTATAAAATCCCTTAGCTCCTTATAGAGGAAATGATTTATAAAATGGTGCTAAAATCCCTGTTGATTACTTATAAAGGGAAAGAAGTCAGTGTGACATGTGCAGCTAACTCTGCAGAACTGGGGGCAAGTTTGTTGTTTAACAAGGGAGTTCAAGATTTATTGATCAAATCTGCTCAACGTTTTCCAGTCAATTATTTTTTGTTCTACACTTGCATGTTTTAGTAAAAATTGTTTAAACATTTTTATTAACTTTTGCTTTGCTTGTTTTTACGAATGTAAATAATAATATTCAAACAGGAAACAAAGACTGGAAGATTTTTATTATATTTTCTACTAACATTAAGGCAGCTTTATCATATCAAATACATTAACACTTCAAATATTTAGCTGCAACATTTTAAATGAATACAAAAGATAATACATTGTTATATTTTGTGATAAGAGACTGCTGTAACAAGGGGAGGTTACTATAGAAACAAGTGTGCTTTAAAAAAAAATTATATAACTTAATTTTAATAGAAAAAAAAGTTTGATATAGAACTTAAAAAATAAGTTTTTAAAAATGTAAACCGGGGTACACTGTCATCAAACAGCAACAGATTGTCTATTAAAATACAAGTATAATATATACAATTATACAGCTCTGGATTTCACCATAAGTTTAAAGAAAAATTTAAAACATGTCAGTATTAATTAAAATGGCACAATTTTCAAGTGAGTCATTAATAATAATAATAAAAAATGTACACAATCACTGCTACTAGGATTATTTGAGAATAATAACTTTACTATTGAATAAATATGGTAGGCATTGTGACAAAAAATATCAACATTGTCAAAATATACTAGAACAGACAGTTGTAGAAAACCAAAAGGCATAAAAAGTCCTGACTAGTAGAGAAACAAGAATGAGAAAAATATATATCTGATGATTAAGCTGGTTGCAAATTAAATGTTCACTTTTCTTTCGTATTTATAAAATGGTCAAAGTATATTTGCTGGATTTTCCTAAGTCAACACTGTTATGCTGAGTTCTTTATATCAAAGGTTGAAAAGAGTGCTGACAATACAGCTTCTCACAAAGACGCCTTTATACAAATGTTAGGCTATTTGGATTGGACGAACTCAGCATATAGTTTATTTAAAATCAAATTAAATGTTACTAAACATCAAAGTAAATCCTGGATGGCATAGTGACAGAAAATAAACTTTCAACTCTGCAAATCTCACAAGCCAAATTAAACAATTTCGACAGCACTGAGAATAGATACACCTTCAGAAAAAAAAAGTATACTTTTCACATCAACATTTAGCTGTAATTTACAAGCATAAATCATAAGCAATGTATGAACATCATCAAGAATTTACAGTGGCAAGGCAGTTAAATAGAGAAAAAACTGAGAACCTTAGTGGAGCACAACTACAGATCAACAATGTAAACAAGCATAGGACAGTGACATATAAAAGACCAGCTGAATTTATTCAAGTTTTTTATGTCGCCACTCAAGGGAGTGACTTAACTCTGAGATTTTTGTGAAATAGAGAAAGATAATATATTTATCAACCAAATAAATAAATATTTCAGCCACCAGTGAAATATTTAATTCAAGAAAACCAATACATATATGTTTAAAATAAACAAAAGTTCCTAAAACATGAAGGGATTAGCAAATCTGATTATTTTAGTGGAAAAACAGGAAAAAAAGACAATGCCCGTTAAAAAGAAAGACAGTATCTAATGTAATGAGAACTCAGCTCTATAAAAGGAGTTGTACAAGTTAGAATACCACAAATATTTTTAGCAAACCATTTCAATATCGTGATTAAAAACCTGGTGACATGACATACAAAACACCAAACATCCTGGAAGCAATTTTATGAGTTAAAATTTAATCAAAGTCCCCAGTCAATTAATAAAATATCAGAACTCCATTTCACATGATACAAAAAAGTCCAATGCAAGGATGAATGCAATCAGATATATATTGATATATATAAACTCCTGAGATTTCAAAATTGAGGTGAAAACGTGTATGAGAAAAAAAAATAAACACAATTTAAGTATTATAATCTGCAGCTGGTGGAACAAGGCTAACAGGGTACACAGCATAAGATTGTATTGATTGTAATTAATTGTATTAACTTGGTGACCTTTAAATATGGCTGTCAGTGCAAATACTTAAATAGTTTGTATAAATCAGCATTGCACTGAGGAATATTAGCAAACATTTTGATTATTTAAATACTTTGTATGTTAACCTTTTATTAAAACTTCCACAATTTCATGATATAAAACATTTTTTTAAAATTCCAACACTTGAATTAATCTGTGACCTAGTTAATTATTTATTTTGAGATTCAAGTTCCTGGAAGATAAGATCAAGTTTTGTTATAAGTGTTTCCACATTTTTTTCATTAAAACACATGGGTGGTTTGAACTTGAGGACATTCTCATCAAGCCCATCACGGCTGTATAAAATCCTCTCCTCTTTGAGTCTGGGTCGAGACAAAAACATGACAATCAAATACAATCAAATAACCTCACAGAAAATCAGTAGACTAGTTCATAAATTCTAGTCTAGAACAATTTTAATTAAGAGGACAATTTTTTCAGTTCTAAAATAAATTAACTACTGTGTTTGTTATCAAAGCTGACATCTTGTTTATCAAAAGAAAAAAATACCTTTTTACAACATAAGCTGCTTCCTCTGTGGCCGGCTTTCTGGATACATTATCTTTGACCAAGTCCAGACCCCAAAACATTCCCACACCCCTGAAAAAATGTTATATTCAAACACAAATAAATAACTAGCTTAAAATGTAAACAATTGATATATATGAGAAATAATTTCAAGAGAATTTGATGGAAAATTAGATCAGTTGTTTAATCCATTAAAAAAATATTTTTTTTAGTACATATCATGGCATACCTTACTTCTCCTATAAGGGGATATTTAGATTTAAGAGCATTCAGCTTTGTGCTCATTAGTGCACCAATTTTTCTGGCATTTTCCATCAGGTTTTCTTTTTCAATAACATCCAAAACTGCTAAACCAACAGCACAAGATACAGGGTTGCCACCATACTGCAAGGGAAAAAAATACATGAAACAGCAGACAAAGGTGACAAAAAAACTTTTAAAACGTGTAAAAAAAATTGTAAAAATTATAGATTAACACTTGAAGGAATTCTCTTGTTTGATTTTATACTGCACTGTTATCTATTATTATTTGTCTGAATGTTTAGTTTTTTAAAACTATAATTAGTACAATGTGAAAAATTAGACTAACTGTGGTAAATAAGACTTACTGTGTTAAAGTATTCAACACCACAGGCTTCAAAGCTTGCTGCAATTTCTCTTGTTGTAATAACAGCAGAAATGGGGTGACCATTCCCCATTGGTTTTCCCAGTGTGACAATATCAGGCACCATATCTTATGAAAGGTTGATACAAAATTAAGTTATTTTATGTACATACTATAGTGTTTGAATGTCCAGCACTTCTGAATAAGTCCTACATATTTCTAGGTATAAAAAAAGGATACCCAACATTCTCAATGACATTGATTTAAGACTAAATCTACTATTTATAAGCAAGTTGTTTGAGAGTTTATTCCACAGAAAATGAGCAGGACTGACCTTGAGCACTAAACGACCACATGTGAGTCCCAACCCTGCCAAAACCAACCTGAACCTCGTCAATAATGCACACACCACCAGCGGCTTTCACTGACCTGAAGTTGATTGCATTTTTTCTTATTTTTACACAATTTTATTCTTCATCACAAAAAGTTTATTTTACTCTTTCTCGCCAAAATGATAAAAGGATTTTACATTTTATTCTTTCTCAAAAAATTTTACCTTCCTCATAAAAAGTAATTAATTTAATTTTCTCACGAAAAGTTATTTTTTATTTTTTATGCTTAATAAAAAACAACTATTATTATCATTCTAAAAAACATTTACGCTAACAAGTAACTGTAATATGTTAATTAAAAAAAAATTCTTAATTTTTTTAAATAAATAAATGTTAGAGGATGGAACTCACTTGGAAACCTTTTTGAGATAATCTTTGGGGTAAATGACCTGACCACCACAGCTCTGCATGGCCTCAGCTATGAAACAGCAGACCTTTTTATTCTTGTTTGTTATGTTGGTGATGATGTCGTCTACGTTAGCGGCATACAGCTTGCTCAGCTCTTCCTCTGTGTGATCAGATGAGCGGTATTTGCCGCGGTACGTGTCTGGGCATTCGGCCTGAAACACACAGGGCAGTGAAAGGAGCATCACACAATTTTAAAAATATTTTGAACTATTTATAACCAACATTTTTTAATACAATTTTAAAATGTAATAATTTAAAATAATGAAGCAAAAGTTTACTTACAATATGAACAAAATCTGGTTTAGTGTGAACCCCATCTTTCATATTATTGAGTTTGTATGTGCTAATGTCTATCAGTGATACAACATGCCCATGATACGCCCTAAGGAAATGAATAAAAAAAAAAACTGACAACGAGCTCATAAACCACCAAGCCACTGACAGGTCGTCTTTGTAGAAATTATCATAAAAGTGTTTATAATTTGTGTCATTTTATGACCTTATTTTATACAATTAACTATCAAAAATTCAAACAAAAATTAATTTTTGAAATTAAAATACACAATATATATTTTTGTTTACTTTAAAAAAAAATTTCAATTCATGCGCGAATACTCGCCTGCATGATAATATACAACACATTTTTAAAAATCTAAACTAGAGCAACATTTTACTCAAAGGTTTTAGTTTTAAGGTCTTCAGTTTTACTTGACATGTTCAGGGGGGAATAATCCATCCTTCTACTCATTAAATACTGGCTGATATTTCATTATAATTAATTGGTCCTTTACCTATCAAGAGAAATGATTTCAGTTGCTTTAGTGTGATGCCGGGCTAGTCTAATAGCTAAATCATTGGCTTCAGACCTGCAGATTAAAGTAATTTTTTTTTTATTTTGAGAGTATGTTAATTCATTTTAAGGAAATTATAATAAAATATATTTTTAAAAGGATCACTTAAAGAGTAGGATAAATCTCAATAAATCGTACCCAGAGTTAGCGAAATAAACCATGCACAGCCCTTCAGGCATGGTGGCGACCAACTTCTGCGCCAACACCAGCATATTGTCGTGCAGGAAACGTGAGTTGGTGTTGAGGGTTTTCATCTGTTCTGAGGCAGCTTCAACCACTTTTGGGTGACAGTGGCCAACTGAAAGATGTTAACATGGGTGGGTAGTTTTTTTTTTATTTTACAGGTGGCCTACTGAAAGATATTAACATGGGTGTTGATAAACTGGAAGATTTTTTTTGTACAGATACCCAACTGAAAGATGTTAACATGGGTGGGTTGTTTTTTTTTATTTTACAGGTGGCCTACTGAAAGATTTTAACATGGGTGTTGGTAAACTGGAAGATTTTTTTTTTTACAGGCGGTCAATGGAAAAAAGTTTAACATGGGTGTTGGTAAACTAAAAGAACTTTTTTTTTACAAGTGGTTAGCTTTAAGAGTTTTAAAATATGGCCAAGTGGAAGATTCTAACAAAGCTTAATTAAAAGCTTTTATCATGGGCTTTAGTAAACTGTTCAGTTAGAAAGGTAACTGAAAGATTTAGTATACAGACAGATTTTAAAATTGATTTTTAGTAAATTAAAAGAGTTTAATATATACTTTAGTGAGATGACAGTCATCATAAAACCTATAAAAACTGAAAATATTTCGATCTTGAAAAAGCTAAAACATTTTTAACACAAGCCTTTAGAAACAAAACATTTTATAATGTTTAAGTTAAAAACCTACATTTTTTAGCATAATCCATAAGAAAATGATTTTTTAAAAACATAAACCTTAGTAACCTGAAAGTTTTAAGCATTATAACTCACCATGGCAAACATTGTTGATGCAGTCAAGGTACTCATTGTTCTCCTCATCATACATGTATTGTCCTGATGCCCTCACAATTTTTAATGGGTCAGATTTGAAAAAGAGTGTACATGATGGCCTAGAGAAAACAACAACAAAAACCTTTAAACAACGAGATTTGTATCATGTATCATGTTTTAGTGTAATATTTATGGATCAGGTTTAATTAAACAAGATTGATAAAAAACAACAACCCACAAACAGATATTGCTAGTAAATTTAAAAACAATGAAATACTTCTGAATGTTCAATAAAAAAGCTTTTTTATTATAGAAAACCAGTCAGGAATGTGGTATTAAGTCAGGAATCAAAAGGCAGAGCAAAACTCATGACCCAAAAAGTATTCAAGTCAGCAAACTGAGAGCCAAAATGAAATAAATCAATAATGCAGAGAATTTCAACATCAAGATGATCAAACTAACAATATTTTTAGATGTTTATTGCAGCAATGTATCCTCTGCTTGCCATTTAAAAGTATAAACAATGCCAAATTCCTTTAGGGATGGAGGAGGATAAACATTTGTGACAATGCTGGAGGAGGGGGGTGAGGGTTCAGAAAGTATAACAACACAATTTTCATGTTAAAAAGCAATATTAGTAACTATATTTTAGTCATTATTTAGTGTTTTTAAAGGGCTTTTTTTTTGTCAGTTGATTAACATACAATTGTTGACAGTGCCCAGTAAATAGTTTTAGAAAGAAATTGCAGTTTAAAAAACAAAAAAACTAATTTTGAGGGGGCTAGAAATCTGAGGTTTGACATCATTCTAGTGGGAGGCCTGACTTTTTCTGACTATGTGTGACAATTAGGAGGAGGTAAAAATCATTTTTAAAAGCATAACATTGTTTTGTGATGGCCCATAATGTTAACATACAAATTATGGTTAAAATTTTCTGACCACGTTTTAATACTTTATTCTAGTGTTGAAATTGTTAAAGGTTTTATTTTTTTCAAAGAATTTTTTTTTCGGCTGAATGTAAGATAAGAGTTTTAAAATGTCATGCTTTATAGAGAAGATAATATAGTGTATCATTAACCTAATTCCTTGGACTTCATTTCCCAAAACTGTAACACTTTTTAAAGAACACAGTCAAGGTAATTTCAATTCCACTTCTAGATGATAAGATGCTGTAAAAGCTGTGTTTGACTAAACCTCAATAAACATGTCCAGTTATCTAAAAGTTTTTTTTTAAGAGGCAGTTTTAAATTAAGTGCTATCAGCAGTTAAAGGCTATTTCTCTAATACAATCTAGAGGCTATATTGGTAAACAATTAATAGTTTTATCTGGTAATTATCCAGATAATGCTGTTTCTTTTAAAAAATAAATTAGAAACAGTTAAAAAAAAAGTTGATAGGGTGTAATAAGATGCCTAACTATTTAAGCTTAATAAATTTACATGAAAAACATGTTACATTAAGTGTACATAGATATACTCTACTTAAATTGATAGCAAATACTTAGGAATGGATGTAAGATTCAAACTGATAGCAAAAAAAAAACAATGACAAATGAGATCAACTTTTTATTCAAATAATCTCTTTAGTTTAGGTTTTATTAACTTATTTCACCCTTAAATCTTTTGATTTAATAACATTTAGTGTTGAATATCGATTTTAGAGTCGGGTTATTAATTATTAAAAATGAGTTCTCACAAAGTAGTTCTAGATCTACTTGAAGGAGAGGCGTAGTGACCCTTTCCGGGGCCAGGGGCGAACTGTCAATTTGGCGCCCCCCCCCCTGCTTTATATATATATATATATATATATATATATATATATATATATATATATATATATATATATATATATATACCCATTTTGGCACCCCCCCCTTGGGTTTATATGTTTATATTCTTTTATTTTTACAGAAAATGTTCACAAGTCTATTCAATCATTGGAAGTTTCTTTTCATAATTCAGGTCTTGCAATTTAAAATGGATCTAAATTTAGTTGTTTAAGGCTGAAAATACATTGGCAGAAGGGCAGATGAAATTTTGCAAACTTATTGCCAACTTCCCAGCTCTATTGGTGCTCAACATTGAGGAGGAAGTACTCTGTAAATTGAGCTGTTTTTCATTGGTACTTTCCAAAAAAAATCATTTTTTTGTATAGGATGGGAGATAATCCATTACTAAGATGAAGGTAGACTAGCAAATATTTAATTCCAGTGAGGACTTCATCTTAATTATGGACAAAACAAAAAGATACGCCTAATAAATTTAAAGGCTCCCACTGGGAATACTCTAAAGATGCCTTTTAAATATTTGTTAAATTGTATGCTATGTTGTTAAAACAGATGTGATAATAATGATTTGATGTATTTATTGTTTTAAGGACATTTGGTAATGAAACAAGGTATAACTCTAAGTCATGTTTTCTTTAAAAGTGTAAGATTTTATAACATATTTTACCAATAAATAGCTTAAAATGACCCCTTAAAGTGCACTCCACGTGGCCTTAAGTGTTAAAAGTTATGTAAAAGCAAAGCCACGATCGTAGCTTGGCACGCTTTAAGGGTAAAAGTACAATTTTGATTTGGCAGTGACCCAATTGTATTTGAGTAATACTTACTTAGATCTAGACATTAGAATAATCGTTTTTTAGACCTATGTATTGTCTTGAAGGGACATTAATAAACTTGATCAATACTTAAATAGTAGATTTAAACAGGCTATCAAAATACATTTTTAAAAAACATTTTATACTTCACTTATATAGACTAGATCTCCTAACTAGATTTTTACTATAACTTTATACTATGACCCTCAACCCCTGACGACTCACTTGAACAGACAATACAGACAGTTTTGTCAGAAGAATAAGGCTAAAAAGGAAAATTGATCCCTTTGCACAGCTATAAAATATAAAAGGATAATTTGAGCTCATTGCGCAGCTATTAATATTTAATTTGAGCCTATTGCTCATCTATTAATGTCATTGCATTTTTCATCTTCTGCCGGCCAGACTAGCGCTGGGGAAAGAAGCTGCTTCCCAGTAGTCACTTCGTTATAAGTAATACTGTAGTTAGTCTCATATAAATTCAATTTTCTTCAAATTATAAAAAGAATAGCATATAATTGTAGAGCTTTAAAAATGCAATCCAACAGTACCAATTTTATTAATTTAGCATAATCGGTTGATTAAATATAATTTTTTTAGTGTCGCAAATAAAATATATAGAAACGCGACCAAAAACGCAGGTAAAAAGTCAGATTCACTTGTTTTAAAGCTAGTAAGCAAGAAAAGACATGATTCTTTCTTACTATTGAAATCAGTTTGCTTATACCTACATTTTTTTACACCAAGGTGAAAGTAAATAGTTTATATAAATTTATAAAATGCCATTTATATAATTTATTGTATGTTTTGTGATGAATTTTCCATTGGAAAATACCGCATTTGGAAGCAGAAAGGTAAATTCTACAGAACAGATGTTGTTTGGAATGTTATAGATTATAGATCTAGGCCTATATCAAAATGTTTGTTTAATAAAATTTAATTAGAGTCCACCCATTTCTGATGGGTACCTGATATACATTGGGGAAATTAAAGGTAAAAAGTAAAGGCGGCTGTCAGGGGCGTAGCGAGGGGGGGGGCGGGGGGTGCGGACCGCACCGGGTGACACCATTTAGGGGGGTGACACCAAGGCAAAAAATAGCAAAATATATAGAGAAAAACTCGAGGGGGGGGGTGCAAATCAAAAGTTTGAGGGGGGGGTGCAAATCGAAAACTCGAGGGGGGGGGGGGGTGCAAATCGAAAGTTTGAGGGGGGGGTGCAAATCGAAAATTTGAAAGTTTGTCCCTGGGAAGGGTCTCTATGCCTCTGGGGGGGTGACACCATTAAGTGCCGCACCGGGTGACACCCGACCTCGCTACGCCACTGGCGGCTGTGAATATCGCTGACCACACGGACAATCACTTCATATGCCGAGGTCAAGAAACATGAACTCTACTTCATCTGCCAAATAGATTGCTTTGTCTACAGAGGAATCTTAATTAATGTTTACAGGGGCCTAATAAAATTGAGTTATGTTTGTAAAAACAGAAGGCCTAAGCTTTAAAAACTTATTTTGGTCAATATCGGAAAAAATAAAAATCTTTTCGACTAAATGGGTTGAAAAAAGCTTTGAATTTGTTTCATTGTTTGTTATTATATCTTGTAGTATTTAGAATTGAAGCTTTCTTTCTTAATTACAAGTTGTATTAATTTCAAACCTTAATGTAATTTCTTTTTAATTCAGTATTAGCCTAAATGTAAGGTAGGCTACAGAATTAAGATATTACCTGTGGTTTTGTGATTTTTATATGTTTATAACATTTGTGTTTATGAAATGACCTAATGAAGTTATCAAGCAAACTGTTTTATTATTATTTTAATAGGCCTGCAAGTTATAAGTACAAAATATAGATATCTAATCACTAGATCTAGGTCTAAGTTTAAGAAAAAACTACCAAAATGGTTTGAAATACTTAAATATAGTACTAAAAGTAGCTATGTTTTGAAAAAAAAAATATCTTAAACTGGAGACATTCAATTTAAAAGTCATTATAAAAACTCCATGATCTAGATTTATTTCTAGATCTCTAGTAGGAATACAGATTTAGAGGCTTTCCCATCAGTATCAATGTACTATCTTAGCTATGTGGGAGGTCAGTACGAGTTCACTGGGAAAAAAATCGGATCTGCCGTAGGGGGGTGGGTTTAGTGCGCAAATGCTCCTGACCGATTGCCAAACGGTACAGAAATTCTAAAGATAGATTTTAAAAGAAAAATGGACGGCTGAACTGCAGTTATCAAAATATCTGTGTAAGTAGAAGTATAAATAATAATATTTTACACAAATATAGCTGTCTTTTGCTAAATCTAGCTCAATTTCCACGAAAATCGCATCCGGTCGCAATAATTTTTATATCAGCTTGTCGGCCATTCAACGATCTATCACGTGTAGCAGACGCCAAACAGATTTACCCGTATGGTATTGCGCGAATGCTATTTTTAGCAACAGTGCCGAGACGCGATCGAAAAAAACGAACTAGAAAGTGGCCATAAAAAAGCGGGTCAGGGGAGGTAATTCAACTCGCGTTATGAGACTAGCTAAATACTGTAAATACTATTGCTGTATTTATAATAGTCTTAATCTTAGATAGTCTAACTAACTGTAATAACTAATAATATAATAATTAATAATCTTTTTAACAGTGTAATCTAATACTATAGTATAAAGTAGCCTATATATAGTATAGGCTCTATATTTTTATATTATACACTAGAGAATCTATAGCCTAACAGTTACAATACTACTACTACTACTTACTACTACTGCTAGTGCAGTAAATAATTTAATTAGTTAATAATTAGAACCTTAGCTTAGAGTTAGGCCTAATTAATTAATTAAAATATACTAGACTAGACTGTAGATCTAGATATTTTAAATAAAAGCAAATTAAGCATAACTCCAATAAAATTGGGCTTACGTTAATAAATTAATTGGAAATAATTGGGTCACTACCAAATATGTACTTTTAATTTTTTGGCTTTTATTTCATATTTGGCATTTGGGTCACAGAGACAAATTACTTGAAAATTATTACAAGTGAGAGTTCGTTGATAATCTAAAATTAATAAAATAACTCATACTCATAGGCCTACATTACCCAATGTATTTCTTGCGGAGCTCTAACGACTGAGTCTTGGTTAAGGTTCCGTCCATTGCAATATTAATTTAGTTCTCAATAGCACTGTCCCTGAGCTGATGCCTTTCCCGAGATAGTAGATTTTGATCTGTTTAGAAACGTAAACAGCTGTCCCTGTCAGCTGTTTTACTTCCAGTTCAAGTTGCCAGAAAAAAAACTTCTTAAAGTTGATAAAAAAATATAATATGTGCATATATCATTTAAACAAGGTAATTAAAAAGTCTAGTGACAATTTTAGCGCAATTTCCTTATGTTATCTAAAAATAGCTCTGTCGTAGCGTAAATCAAGAGCAGGGTTAGTAAAACCATTGGTTAGTTATTAAAACGTTTTTTATTAATTTTTTTTCAGTATTTTACATGTTTTATTTACAATAGAGTTACATGACTAAAAACCATTGCGCGCCTACTGAACGTGATGGCGCTGCCATGGAACGCGATGGCGCAGCTATTGAACGTGATGACGCGTGTGGTGTGGTTGGAAAAAATGCCTACTAATTCGGTCCAAATTTTAATTAATTAAAAAAAAATTTTGTGACCGAACGAAAAGATATTTTTGAAAACTTTCTTCGGCAATATTGTTCTAAATTATGGCAGGAATCGATTTGTACATGTTTCAAGTCGCTTAGTGGTCTGGTTGCCGAGATATGGGCCAAAAACTCTTTTTCGAGGTTTTTTGGCTTTTCCGGGAAATCCATGAAAGAAACCCGTAATTTTTATGGCCTATGTTCATCCTCGTAACTTGCTTAACATAATTGCTTTTGGAACTAGTCATCGATATTGCTTCGTTGAGGAGGAGATACGACTTAAAGCCCGGACACACATTCATCCATACATCCATACATTCATACATTCATACATTCATTCATCCATCCATTCCCAGAAATGACGAGTTAATAAACGCAATTCTCCAGAATGGAAATTGCGCTAAAAACGTGGGAAAAATAATTAAATGTTTCTTCTAGACATAGATCTAGATCTAGAATAGACTAAATGTAGAGTTTAAAAATAAATTGTACATTTTTTTAAGTATAAGCTTATAAATAAATAAACAAATATATATATATAGGCCTATATATATATATATATATATATATATATATATATATATATATATATATATATATATATATATATATATATATATATAAATATATATATATATATATATATATATATATATATATATATATATATATATATATATATATATATATATATTATATATATATATATAGATTATATATATATATATATATATATATATATATATATATATATATATATATATATATATATATATATATATATATATATATATATATATATATTTATATATATATATATAGATTTTATATATATATATATATATATATATGTATATATATATATATATATATATATATATATATATATATATATATATATATATATATATATATATATATATATATATATATATATATATATTTATATATATATAGATTATATATATATATATATATATATATATATATATATATATATATATATATATATATATATATATATATTTATATATCGAGGGTATAGAAGACAAACGTATCAAGTATCACGTCCGAAAAATATGAAATAGGAGAAAACTGAATTTTAATGTTCTAATCCGTTTGTAAAATAGTGCACAGTATTATGTGAACACGTTTCTTATATAAATGCAAACTATAATATGTCTAATGTTTGATATTTAAATGTATAAATGGTAACTTTTATCCTCAACTACTTTAAAAGGGTATAATTTGTTGCAAGGTAGACAGAAATGGACATGCAACATTTGTGTTAACAGATGTTTAAAGGAATTTTTGAAATTACATTTGTACAGCTTGTACCAAATATCAAATAATTGTATAAAAAACACAATAATTAAATGCAACAGAATAACACTTTATTTGATATTAACTGAGAATTTTTTTTAACAGGTCATCATCAGTCTCTTCTGATGCATCAGGATGTGGGAGGCAGAAGTGTTTCTTCCAGACTTTGTTCTCTTTTTTTTTCTATATAAATTCCATTTCTTTCGGGGCTCTTACCCCCCCCCCCCCCCCCAAAGAGATGCCTGGAAGAAACTCTGGAAGGAGTCTCTGCATTTTGTTTGGCTGGGCATCCCGTTGTAGAACAAAGCGTGTTCCTGTGGAATGACACCTGATGCGAGAAGAGACAATGAGTCTTTCTTTTTTGGAGCTGAGATTGGCAGGCAGTCTTTGTATGCAGACACCAGCGACATTACAGTAATTAATAATGGTCAACCACGACCCATCAATGTATTCAGCACCATAAAACTATCATCTGATATTGCATTACTTATACTGAATGATGTATGGAAGACTTTTTTAAAAACATATCAATTTGATTTTCATCCACTGCACTGGTCGGTCTAATGTATTCTCGGTGCGATTTTTAACAAATCTAGATACTACTTTGAGATCATGCACATCAGTATGAGACCTTCTTTTAACAACAAATGGTGGAACTTTTTTTAAAAGCTAAATCAATTATGAGTTGCCATTCTCTGGTTGTGTAGAGTTTTTTTTTTTTTTTGCCTGAATGCTTTTTCAATAGTGGCATGCATAGAGTCAGCCTCTAGATAACTATGTCCTGATCCCATGAATTTAAGATCAATTGTTTGCAAGGATTTAGAATTCTGGACAGCAAACAACATTGCTGATGACACATATACATTTCTATTTTGACCACTAGATGTGTCTGAAAATGTAGCAACATGCTCTACAGTTGAAGGGAGGTTGTGTAAATAATCATCTAACAGAGCAGATCCTATTTCATAGGCACCTCGTTTGCCTTCGGTTTCATCCCACTAGTAGCAACAACCTTGGTGAGATTCCGCCTCCAATAGTGTAAAATTGTATACAGCCAGTTTTCTTGTGTAGCATATCGGAGGATCGCCAGCGTGTGGTGTCACCTATACAGCTTGCAGATCCAAAGTAAAGGCAATGTAAGATTTGTCATCGCAAGCACGTTGCTTATCAATAGCCTTTTCCTCCAATGATTCCTGTTCTCTTAGTTTATGTTGATCCCATGAAGATTTTAAGTCCAACTTTTTTACTTCATCTGCATTGTTGTATGCATTGCAAACAGAACACTGATTTTTTTGTTGTTTAAAACATCTCAGATTGAACTCATGGGTAAAGACTTGTCTATATTTGTGCTCTTTTATTGGTTGAAGGTTCAGACGTGTGCAGTAGTAGTCTCTGTAGAATCTGTATATTTGCCATGTGTTCAGGTCTGGTGACAAGCAGGGCAGGAGCTACCTATATTATAAGGCGAACTAGGCGGTCGCCTATGGCGCTGTCCGTAGGAAGGCGCCAAAATGGGTTGGAAAACCAAATTGAAAGTTTGAGGGGGTGGGGGGGGGGGGGGTGGAAATCGAAAGTTTGAGGGGGTGGGGGGAGGAGACCAAATCGAAAGTTTGTCCCCGAGCGCCGGGAAGGGCCTCTGATAATACGGGGGCACGAAAAAAATTGCGGGGGGGGGGGGGGCGCTTTTAATAGGTTTTGCCTAGGGCGCTAAATAACCTGGCGCCGGCACTGGTGACAAGTACTGTTTTTTTGGGGGGGATCTTTGCTACAGTAATGTGGCAGAACTTTTGGAAAACTGTTGATATGATTAAGGAAGTGTTGCACTATATATTCTGATAGTTTATTTGGTGCTGGTCGTCCTTTTATCAACTCCCACCAAGGCTCCAGAATCCCGCTTTCCTGCCATTGCCGAGTCAACACATCTCTAAATGAAAATGAAATCGTTTTGCAGACAAACTCTTCTGTTTGTATCATCATTTTAGTTTAACGAAATATGCACGACTTTTCTTTTTCTTTAACTCTAGAGTTGCTGACTTGGGTTGCTGCCTTTTGGTAGGTTCTTCAAGAACAAGGTTGAACAAAAATAGTTTTTTCATATCATAACTTGAAAGACTATAATATTCTTTGCAAATGTTGTGCCGATGTTCGTCAGATATTTTAGAGTTGCAATTGAATCTACATTTTCTTCAACCGACTGTTTTGGGATATTTAGCAGGAACTGTCTTGCCATTTCTGGTAATGTACAACCAGAGGCGTAGCAAGGGGGAGGGGGCGGGGGGACATATGTTTTCGGGCGCCGACCTTAAAGGGGCGCCAAAATGGGTTGGAAAAACAAATTGAAAGTTTGAGGGGGATAGAAATCGAAAGTTTGAGGGGGGGGGGGTGCAAATCGAAAGTTTGAGGGGGGTGCAAATGGAAAGTTTGTCCCCGGGCGCCGGTAAGTGCCTCTGTGTACAACACACCATCATTGCGTGTCTTTTGTCTGATTTACCGTTTCCATTTTTCAGGTTCTCTTTTTCTTTTTCTCCTAATTTTTTCGTTTTTGGTACCTGAAACATTTCCATGCTCATCACGCAGGTTGGACTGATTGAGGCTAGCAGCTGTTTCAATCTGCTTGGTTGTATTTGTGGTTACTGTGTCCAGTTGGTTAATCAAATTTGGATTAAAGTATTTTCATCTTTGTAATGCATAATTAAAAGCTTAGTATTAAAAAATTGTAATTAACTTTAACTGTTTAGTGATGAGAAAATCAAATTGTATGACTAAAAAAATTGCACATCAAATGAGTGCATTGAACATGTGTACAGCCTGACACTTTTAGTACTTTGTCTTTAATTATTTAAAAAAAAAAGATGATCATTTGCAGTCATCAAATCTTGACCTATTTTTAAAGTTTGAGACTAATCCATGTGGTTGAAATTTCGTTCACATGTTTCCACTTATGAGAATGAAGCACAACTGAGAAAAGGCTGATAAATCAAGTTAAACAAAGCTTGTACAAGTAGCTTCAAGTGGCCAAAAGTTTAGGAAAAAAACAATTGTTTTGAAATTCAACAATTTTTTGTAAAGCTTGTTATTTTGTATTCTATAGTGACTAATAATTATTCATTATTTAGTCAACATTTTGATTATTTACAAGAGAAAGAAATGAGACAAGAAAAAGATTCTAACAATTATTTATTTTTATAAACATTAAAAAACAAAATTAACAAATTAATGCATATGTATATTTTTTTCTAAAACTTTATTTTATCATTAAAAATGTATAAAAGTTATATTTTGTTTTCATATCAACTATTATAAATGCAAAATATGAAGAAATACAAGGTATTGTTCTCCATCATGTACCATGTATATTTGTAAAAAAAAATTGATTATTGCTATAAGACCCACAATTTTGCCACAATCAAATTTTTGTACAAGAATTCGATTTTAAACTGGTAAAATTTTAAACTATATTAAACACCTTACTTTTCAGAAAGAAGATAAAATACAATAGGACTGTACTTCAAAAGCCTAAACATATGTGACCAACAAATCAATTTCAGTCCAATCACTCACACTGAACATTTTCAGTCTAATACTTGTAATAAATATCAATTTTTTAATAAAAACAGAATGCATTAATAGCACAACCAACAACTTAAACATAAATAATATCTAAATTGGAACAACATTCAGTTAATGAAGCAAATTATACAAACACTTTGTTCCTAAGCTATCAACATAATTAGTTTCTTTGACAAGTTAATTGTAAATAAACTAAATGTCTTTAAAGCTAGTAGATATAAATAATTTGTATTTTTACTGCTACGAAACATCTTAATTCAAATAAAAATCTGAATAAAAAAGGCAGAACATTCAAATATATTTTACAATGTTAATTTATGAATAAATAAGCTACATTTAAGTATAGGCCTATAGAAAAGATGGATTTCACTTAATTTTTAAACAATAACTGACAATTTTACTGCTAAATTCTTTATTAGTTGTTTTATAAATGCAATATTAAAAAGTTTCCTATGCCAAGGTTTTAAAAGGTATTTTAGTAATTCATCATTTTAATAAATTTAATTTGTATTTATCTAATCTATTTGGTTATTACTGTATGCACTAATTAAATTTAAAAAAAAAAGCACAGGTAAAATAATTATTTCATACTCCTATAAATCTGAACTGTTAATTTAATTTAAAAGTGTAAAAACCAATTGATGCTAAAAAAATAATTTGCTGTTATCAAATTACACCTAAAATATGAACAGTTAATTTAAAAGTGTGATAATGATGATGCTAAAAAAATATAATCAGCTGTTAATTAGCTAAAAATCAATGGTTTATTCCAGCAATAAAATCAAATGTTGTTTCATCAAGTTTTACACTTGTCAGTTACCATAAAAAGTTGTGGTACAATTTCAAAGGAAATAATTATTTAAATAAAGTTAGAACTTTGGCTTTAGGTAAACATCTTTAGTCAGCATTGAATAGATAACAGGTGACTGTTTCTTTGCATCAAGTTTTTCATTTCTATTCTTGGATTGAAAGTCTTGGGAAACTTTACTTATAACCTTTGTCAACTCTTGTAGCAATGTTCTGCTGCCATCAGATTTAAGCAAAACTTCAGCTAAGCATTTTATAAACCATGATCCATCAGTAGTTCTTCGGAACGCAAAAAATCCTATTAAAGATAAATTTCCATGATTAGAATTTAGTGAAAGCATAAAAAAAAATAAAGTATATAATATTTTTAAGTATTTGAAAAAGTAATTTCTTTTTACCTGGGGGTGTTGCATACATTACTAGACAGTCTTTGAAGCAAGGTACTGGTTTTATGCAAACCTCAGTCTGTTCACTTGCTGCCTTCCACCTGCTTTCTGTTACAGTGTTTGATAATTTACTGTGAAATAAAGGGAAAGCATGTCTGTGAAGTGGTCATACTCAGGATTCTATAAAAAATGATGTCTGTAAGGTAATCATAAACTCAGGATACTTTAAGGGAATGGTATGTGTGTAATGGAATCATGTTCTCTGGATATTCCAACTGGATACATAATATATAACTTTCTTCTGATTTATTGCTGTTGTAACTAAGCAGCTTTAATTGTACATACTTAGCATGTGGGCTTATTGCATGAAAAATAACAAGATAAAATTTAATTGCTTCAACCTAGATCATTCAGAAAAGCATAGGCCTATTTAAAACAGTTAAATTAAAATTATAAAATGTACTAATAAAATAAGCAGATTAATACTTGTTTAAATAAAGATGCATTCACTGGGTGTAATTATAACTATGCAAGTTCAGTTTTAAAAAGTCAACAAAACTGGCCCTAAAGCAATAGAAGAATCAAACTTTAAATCAATGATAATACAAACTTACTTTGAAATTTGTGGGGAAGGCTGTTGATGGTGTGTGCTTTGTTTTAAACCAAACTGCATTACACTTGTTTTGATTTCAGGCTGCAAATATTTTGTAGGCCCGTATGGCAAGGCATCAAGGCTGTCACTGGGTTGAGAGATGTGACTGGATGAAACAGATAAGAAGCCCAACTGTTTATCTGGTACATCTTCACTCAACTCTGAGGATGGCTCTATTGTACACTGCACATCAACTCCATCATCAAGTTTAGATCCACGGCAAGCCTAACAAAAACAACGTATAAAATTTAATTTTTTTTTATCAAATACCACACTCCAACAGCAATCACAGAAATCATGAAAAAAAAAACAATTTTAATAAAATTTATAGGAACTTTCTTTCAAAGCATAGAGAAATTGGTTGTTTCAAGTAGACCATTAGGAATATATTCAATATAAAGTTAAAACTGTATCTACCTGAATGAAAACTAGTCTTGGCTTATCCTTGAGAGTTGGACAGTTTTCATCATCAAACAATTCAAGAATAAGTCTAGTTTTAACCCTAACATCACTAGTAAAAATGACATCTTCCCTGGTATTATCATGCTGTGCTTCTTCACCATGTGTTGAAATGGCCAGAACAAAGCAATCATATGAGGAATGATCTTCGGTAGAAACTAAAAAAAATTAATATTCTTATATGTAAAAACATAAACATACATGCAATTATCTTTAAGTATAGTGAATTTTTTAAAGCACTTATATCAATGTAATTGAAATTTTACATCTAAAAAGAAATAAATCGTAAAGATAGGCTATACTTCAGTTTCAAAGTTTACTTTCAAAATTAACAATTTCAGAATACAATAAGCCCATTGACAAAGGGAATTAACTTCTCGTACTTAAATTATGAATTAGAAAATAAGTGTATCCCTAAATAATATTTTAAAAGTGCTAAAGATTAAATAACTTGATTGTTTGATGCTCACTGTGTTTCAGTTCTGTCAACAATTCCTGCCCTGTTTTATCATAGAAAGTACGAATTTCAAAGCCAAACTTTGAAAACAATTCTTGTAAAAACTGAAGATCCTTATCACACCCATATCTGTTTTGTCCTTGAAATTTATCATTGATGATTATCACTGCTATGCCCCTTCGACTGAACTCAAAACAATATTGATCATCATAAGCGGAGGGAGTTCTGAAAGAATAATAAAGTTGAAACTATGGTAAAATATTTTTTTAAATCGAACAAGCTGATGTGTTATGATGATGAATTAATTTGAAACTAGTGAACTATATGAAGATAATCTGTGTTTGGTTGACAAATTTTAGAGCTACATTAGTAAGACCTGTTTGTTGAAGTTCTACTTTATTCTGACTGTTAATAACAGGACATTTATAAAAATTAAAAGCAGTCAACAAATAACCACATACATTTAATTTAATTGTATCATTTTTTTACAGCACAAATACAAAAAAGAAACTTACATATTTAAGTAAACATTTTCTGTGGATGCTAGGATGAAAAACAAATAACGTATATTACACACTCATGATGACATGACCTTTATCTAAAAATAATTTTGATCTGCGATCTGACAAGTCTCACTGACTAAATTTAGTTTGGTTTGTTTTGACAAATACACATTTCATTTGAGCTTTGCATACAGAACGGATAAATGAGGATATAGTTACCTAGTACCTACCTTTACCTTCTAGATCTAGGTGTGATGACAGTGTTTTATTATTCATTCTTCTAATTCTAGTTTACGTTAGTCAGGCATTAATAAAACGTAGAGAAAAACTGAAAAATAAAAATGGTAGGCTATCGGCCTATAATTATAAAAAATATAATATAGAATAATAAATAATTGATATAAAATAATAATTAAAATACTTTAAGTAACCTATACTTTACTAAAACTAATTATTACTTATCATACATAAATTATATGGGACGGAGTAGTCTAGCGGTAGAGAGCTGGACTGCTAACCCGTAAGTCTTGAGTTCGAATCCGGGTTTTCAAGTCAGTAGACCGCCCCTGAGTCCACCCAACTCTGATGGGTACCTAACTCACGTTAGGAAAAGTAAAGGCAGCTGGGCATAGTGCTGACCACACTATCTCTTCATATGCCGAGGTCACAGAAACAAGTGAACTCTACTTCACTTGCCCTATAGACCGTCAGGTTTGAAAAGGGAACTATACATAATTATAATATAGTGTAGGGCAGGCCTACACATTTATTATTGTACTATTTTTTTTTATTACTCCTAACTCTTAACTATAATAATAATAACTTGTCTATAAGTAACTATAAAATTAAATAATTATTCACCCTATGGGCATAACTATAAAAAAATATAGTTTAATATAGACTTTTATATATATATTACAGACAATAGACTAGACTATTTAAAAATATATTTAAATAATAATGATTGTAAAAAAAATATACACAGGAAAAAAGTCACAGTAAAAAAATGTCACAAAAAAAAGTCAAAAATGTGTATTTGCATGGAATTTGTTAATACTTCAATGTTTTCAGAAAATTGCAAATAAATGTAAATATTTTAGATATATGTGCATAGGTTGTATTTGAATAATAGCACACACAAAAAGAAGTATGTAAGTTTTAATTCTGTTATAGAATATAATTAACTAGAATGTTTCAACCCATTCAGTTTTCATCATGTTTTATAAATACAAATTTCGAATCAGCTTAAAATGGAAGAAATAGTTAATATGATTTGTTGTCCTCAACTCAGTGCAACAATAGTTCAGCCACCTTTACCGCACACATTTATTGCACTTATTACATCACAAAGCATGATAGTATCAAGTTGAAATGCTGACATGGTACAAAGGTTGTTATTGAAGCAGAACATCAACTGTTAATCAACATTACACAATGTGGACAATGTTGACAGAGGATAGACCTTCAGTAAACAAACACACAAACCACAACACAAATCATGAGCCTACATTTCTTTTAAAATTAATTTTTCTACCAAGTATTTAAAAATATCTTACAAAATTTGCAGCTTTTTACTACTTTTACTTATTGTGAAGATCAAAGTCGGATTATTATTATTAAAAACCATAATTCTTCGGCTTAATGATTTAACTTTATTAATTATCACTTTAGTCCTTAACACTTTAACTTTAACACTTAAACATTATAAATTTATTAAATATTAAAAATATGTAACTGTAACTAAAAATTACAAACGTCAAACACCACACATCCTTATTTATATTTAATATTTATATAAACACCCACTATTTTACAATTCTCAACAAGTATTTAAATAAAAATGTTTCGTAATACACATTGTGACTTTTTACTCAAAATATATTAAACGAGCCGGCCCGCGGCATAACATACGCCGCTATTTAGTTGTTTCTAATTTTCAGTAATTCATAATTTGTGAATACGACAGTACCAACGCTGACACTGAAAATATTTCTTTAAAACACTATAAGTAGCTCGTTAAGGACCATAACCCCCCCCTTCCTTCCCCCCTCCCCCCCCCCCTACGTTTAAAATCGTTGGCTCTGCTTGTAAACATTTAGAGTGAACACAGCTCACTAAAACCATGTAGGGCTGGGGAGGTAGGGAGCGCGTTTACAGCTTGTTTTCTAGGCCGTTTGCAGCTTGTTTTCTAGCGGCTCCCAGAAGAGAATTATATATATAGATAATATTTTTTAATAGGCCTACTTTATAATGCTTTCTATTATAATATTATAATATATAGGTGAGGGGGGGGGCTAGGCCTATTAAATATTAATATTAGCCATTACTAATGGCCCATGCCATTAGGCCTACTATTTTTAAAAATTTATTAAGTAGGCCTAATCTATATATATAATTCTCTTCTGTGAGACGCTAGAAAACAAGCTGTAAGCGCGCTCCCTACCACCCCCACCCCTACATGGTCTGGTGAGCTGTGGTTCATGCTAAATATTTACAAGCTGAGCCGGGTTTAGTGACAACTATTAGGGGCAGATAATTTAGTTTGAAATGATTTTAAACGTAGGGGGAGGGGGGGGGGGGGTAACTAAGTGGAGTTTACTTTAACGGAGGGGGGGGGGGGGTGGGTTATCATCCTTAACAAGCTACTTATAGTGTTTTAAAGAAATATTTTCAGTGGCAGCGTTGGTACTGTCGAATTCACAAATTATGAATTACTGAAAAGTAGAAAAAACAACAAGTAAATAGCGGCGTATGATATGCCGCGGGTCGGCTCGTATTAAATATTAGGCCTAGGCCTAAGTAATATTAGTAGGCCCTATGACTACTACTACTACTAGAATAGATCTCTAATCTAAGACTAATGACTAAGGGGTCATCCATAAATGACGTCACACTCTTAGGGAGGAGGGGGGGTCCGTAATTTTGTGAAGATGTGATGAGGGGGAGGGGGTCAGATGTGGCGACGTCACATTTTTGCATTATAAAAAAGCAATGTTAGAAAACGAATTTTAGACGTTATTTCGTATTTAGATAACTGTTTTAATAAATTGTAATAGTTTAGACAAAATTTTGGAAAAATATCGATGTTTAAAAAAAATTCAACTGCAATTTTGAGGGGGGTTGTAGGTTGAGGTGTGATGTCATTTTAGGGGGGGGGGTCTGGCTTTTTGTGACGACGTGTGACGGAGGGGAGGGGGGAGGTAAAATTCGTCAAAAAAAGCATGACGTTTTTTATGGATGACCCCTAAACTGCCTAAACTACTGAACTAAAAGTCATTGAGAGTCTCATCTCTCTTCTTACTTCTAGTCTAGTTGAAGTTGAGTCTTCTAGTGAATCTAGTCTAGATCTAGAACTAGCTGATCTAGAAATCATGAAATCTTAATTAATATAAAATATAAATTAATATAATTATAAATTATTATAAATCTAGGCCTAAGCTAAGCCTAGGGCCTAGGCCTAAATCTAGAAATTTGAAATCGTAGTCTAAAAAAATAAATTCTAAATTATTAAAATAAATTAATATTACGGCCTAGGCCTAAAAACATAAATAAACTTAATAAACTATCATAGCACAAATATATCAACAGCACTAGATCTAGTTATAAATAGTTATATCTAGATTCTAGTTCTAGTCTAGACCTCACTCGCACATCACAGGACGCAGGACGAGATGTTTATGTTTTGAAGTTGAATGGAATTTCCGAAAAGATGACGGAAGACGATTTTCCAAAAATAGAAATCTCGTGACATTAGGGGACCTAGGCTAGGAGTGTCAGTAAAAACGAAATTCGTAGAATTATTTAGATCCTGAGTTTATCTAGATATTGATTCTAAATAGATCTAGATAGGCTATATATATATATATATATATATATATATATATATATATATATATATATATAGGCCTATATATATATATATATATATATATATATATATATATATATATATATATATATATATGTATATATATATATGTATATATATATATATATATATATATATATATATATATATATATATATATATATATATATATATATATATTGGGGGGGGGGAAGCTGAGTCCCCGAAGAACGTACACCGCCCCCTTGAGCCCTTACTTTATAATATATACTATATAAGAATATTATCATATAGTCGACTAAATAGTAAATAATAGACCTAATGATATATTAATATTGCTAATAAATATAAAACATCTCAGAAATACTGGAAAAACCTAAAATACCAATTCAACTAATCAGTTTAAACTTAAAATGTTTCCTTGAATAATTAAAACTCTTTAGATTGTTCATTTTGAATTGTTTTTCTTCTAGATTCTAGCTTATTTAGTTATTATAGCTTACTTTTTTTAAGGGGGGGGGTAATTTTTTATTAGGCCTAGTCTACTTTAATTTTTATAAGACTATGTTCAATTTATAAATCATTACCGTACGTTTATATTATAGGCCCCTAATTATAATATAATTTATATAAATATAGGCTTAAATTATATTTATATAAATATTAATATATAGTTAGAAGCCTGACTAAATCTTGCTAAATACTTTGGCACCCTCCCTCCCCAAACACCCCCCACCCCCCTCCCCTCAATATTAGAAACATTTGGGTATTTTGAGTTTTCGTCAATTTAAAAAAAAAAAATCACCCACTCCCCATTATTACTATTAGTCATTAGCATACATCGCTAGAATAGTATTTTCCAAAGCTAATCTGGTATGGTTTCTAGCCTAGGTTAGATGATAGATCAATAAATTCTAGATCTCATATATAATTATATTATATACTATAGGCCCTATAGTATAGCCTACATCTTATTCTATATCTAACTTCTATGTTGGCCTACTAAAATGGCAATACATTTTTTTACGGATTTACCTTGTTCTATATATAGAGCTTATTACGGAAGTTACAATGAATCCTAAATCTTGGTTACTAGAACAGTTCTAATCTAAATATTATTCTACGGCAGTAGTGAAGTGTCAACTAGAGACCAAGACATTTGAGTTAAATTATAAAATTGTAACGGCAATATATTATTATTAGGGTATGTAGTATGTAGATCTATTTACTATTTACTTTTATTCTGTAGATCTAATTACTATTTCAAACTAATCTAGATATCTAGATATTCTAGATCTAGAATCTAGATCTAGAATATCTAGACCTAGATATCTAGAGTCAGACTAGATCTAGAGATCAGATCAGTAGATCTATTTGAAATTTCTGAGAAATTTGAAATCATGAGATTGAGATAAGGGATCACACACAGTGAGAATCACAGTACAGTAACTCAAGTAATATCATCATCACAGTACGAGTACACTGAGTACAGTACAGTTTTAAGATTTTAATAGCATCAGGCTCAGGTGCATAAATAATAATAAATAATAAATAGGACCTAATTTTGAAGGGGGTTGTAAGCTAAGGGAAGGTGTGATGTCATTTTAGGGCGGGGGGGGAGGGTCTGGCTTTTTGTGACAGAGGGGAGGTGGGGGGAGGTAAAAATCATCCGAAAAAGCGTGACACCATTTATGGATGACCCCTTAGTAGCTAGAATCTAGATCAGTATACTATATTCACTCGATTAAAAATTAGAGGGCTTATGAAGTATATAGTTTTATTGAATTCTTATCATTCAATGATTACATTAGTGATTATTAGATTTTTAGAGATAACTCATCTTTGTTTTTTATAGGATAATCTATATATAATTCTCTTCTGGGAGACGTTAGAAAACAAGCTGTAAACACGCTCCCTACCACCCCTACCCCTACATGGTCTGGTGAGCTGTCGTTCACTCTAAAGTAAAGGTTTACAAACAGATCTGGGTTTAGTGACGACTATTAGGGGCAGATAATTTAGTTTGAAACGATTTTAAACGTAGGGGGGGGGGGAACTAATTGGAGTTTACTTTAACGGGGGGGAAGGGTTATCGTCCTTAACGAGCTACTTATAGTGTTTTAAAGAAATATTTTCAGTGGCAGCGTTGGTACTGTCGAATTCACAAATTATGAATTACTGAAAAGTAGAAAAAAAAACAACTAAATAGCGGCGTATGATATGCCGCGGGCCGGCTCGTAATTAATAATTATTTTAATATACTAATTGATTAAACCTCATCATGTCCATCCCAGTCACAGAAACAGGTGAACTCTACTTCAATTGCCCCATGGACAAAAATGAAACTTTAATTTACATCATGTCCATGCATGTAGATTTGTTCTTAATGTCATAATTGCCAGGAAGGTGTTAAGAATCTAGACAAAACAAACCAAATCGTTGTTTTTATTTTCCATTAATATATTGGATGATTACATTGCATGACACTTGCTTGTTATATTATACAGCAATAAAATAACAAAATCATAAAAATAATAAAATGTAAATTATATTATTTTATCGCAATTTCTAGTAGTGGAAGATATTTCATTTCTCAGATGTAAATTTCAAATAAATATGGTGGTCTGTACTGTTTATTTAGCCTCCATGGATCACATAGATGCAATTCCTGCAGGCCAGGGGGATGTGGCTCCTACTGGTGGAAGAGATTCAGTTGATGCTAAAGGGGAACCAAGGTTAGTCAAGATAACCTAGCTCATTTAATTCATCAGATGATGAACTCAAAACCAAGGCATTGTTGTTTTTTAAAGCTCTTCTTTTGAAAGCTGCAAAGTTATTATTTGTTTAGTTTATTCTGTATGATTAACAATATGCTTGACTTAACTATCGAAATGTAACAATAAAATAACAAAACTCACTTTGTGATTTTATAATGATTAAAGTCCCCCATACAAAATTTATATTATTTTTCTGTTTTTAACAGCCATTCGCAACCAGGTCAGATAAATTTGACTGAGAGAGAATTTCTGTCTGACTCCTATAAAATGGACTACCCTAAAAGAGGAACGGCAGTTATAATCAACAACAAAAAGTTTCAGCCCATAACAGGTATGGGTGAGAGAACCGGAACAGATGTGGATGCTAACAGCATGTATGGACTACTGGACAAAATGGGTTTTGAGAAAATCTTTTGTCATGATAATTTAACTGCAAGGGAAATGGTTAGGAAGCTCCAAGAGGGTGAGTAGTATTTAAAATTTAAACAGGAGAAAATATGTGGCATTTTTATTTATTTAATTTTTATTATAAAAATGTCCTTAAACATTATCTTTATTCAACACTAGGCATGCTGCCCAGCTTCGCTTAGGCTTTCGAATACATTGAGAATTTGGATGCTTAATTTATTCGCCTGAGGGTCGGTCTACGACCTCAGGAGTTATGAAGAGGTTCCTACATGGACAAATTTTTTTTCGATTTATAGCTCATATAAGGCGCCGGTCAGTCGAGGTCAGTTTTGACCCCCTCATCGTAGACTTTTTGGCCAACCGGCCCTCGTGTTCTGTCGCCCCAAGGCAAGATCCTGCCAAATTTGAAGCGCCTGCGGCGCCGGAAAGTGCCCTATCGGACACCCAACAACTTTGCTTTATATATTATAGAGATTAGCAAATTGCAAAGATAAACAAAGATTTCAATAAAGTAATTAAGGCCTGAAATACTTTAGTATAGAAATGTATTGTTTGAATAGATTCTAGATCTAAGTAGGGTCTACATCTGTGTAAGTCTAGTTTTTCCGTAGATCTAGATCATCTAGATCTAGATCTAGAATCCTAATAGAATTTTTTTTTAAGTTAAGCCCGAGCAAAATAAAAAAAAATAGATTAACCAAGTTGACTTGGTGCGTCTCGAACCCGCACCACCTGCGTGAGTTTCAGTACACTATCATCTCCGCTATATAGGCACCTTAGAAAACACGGAGAATAAAAGACGTATTTTAAAATCTTAACTTACGCGAATATGCCTATTCTTTCAAATTAATTTTTTTTATCCCAATTTAGCCAGTTCCAAACAAAGACTTTGTATAAAATAATTATGTCTTGAAATAGTTTAGTCCTAATATAGAAATTTATTTTTGGAATAGATTCTATTCTAGAGAAGTTAGATTCTAAATCTAGATCTTAGCGTCTACGTCTCGATCTAGTTATTGCGTAGATTTGTAGAATCCAAATAAATAAAATAAATTTTATGAGTTTAGGCCGGAAAAAATGTATTTTGTACATTTCATAGTGTACGTAGATCTAAATCAAATTTGAATGAAATAGTTCATTTCTTTTTATTCTAAACACGGCAGATGACGTCATTAGTTAATGTATAAACATTAGTGACGTCACAGTTTTATGCGTTCTTTTTCACATCTATAAATGCTTTTCCGGTTGCATAAATAATACTGTTTCTCTACATTCGAATACGCCTTTATTTTTTATTTTTCTTCTATAAATAAAATTGTGGCTATACATTTAAAACATCTAACATATTATTTTCAACAAAAGTCCGTATAAAGGTATCCATATATCGCTGCCGATTCTGACGTGATGTCCGGCGAAAATATTTTGCGGACAGACAGAGAGAGAGAGAGAGAGAGAGAGAGAGGTGCGAACGTGGCCCATTATAGATTTAGATGCTTAAACTGGGAAAAGTTGATAATTTTTTTTTTTTACAATTATTGTGTATTTCTTCTTTAAAAATTCTGGTTGGAATACTCATGATTAATTTTTGTTTAATAGTCTGATCTGTTCACTAACATAGTCTTATAAACTTTGTTTACTTTTAATATCATTTGTAAGTACTAACATGTAAACTCATAATTACCAAACTAACTAAGCGTCAAAAAAATAATTGAGTTAAATATTTTTTCAGTTGCAAGACAAGATCACAAAGACAGCAGCTGTTTTGTCTGTGTAATTCTCACCCATGGAGAGGAAGGTTATGTTTTTGGGACAGATGACAAGGTGCCAATTGATGATTTGGTTGCTCCATTCAAGGGACATAACTGCAAGTCTCTTGCTGCTAAACCCAAAATATTTTTTATTCAAGTACGTTTTAATAAAAATTGTTCCTCAAGATTTAGTTTTGTTTATAAATAATCATTACTTCATAGTTTTGGCCTTATCATCTTTACTGTAAATTATTTTAAGATGAACAACAGTTAAGGCTTCTCACAAATATGCTGCTTTTACATTTGACAGGCTTGCAGAGGCACTGAACTTGATTCTGGTATTGAAGTTGCAGATGCCAGTGAGATGGAGGTAGAAATGGAGGAAGATGAAACCATTGTTAGGAGAATTCCCACTGAGGCAGATTTCTTGATGGCGTATTCAGTTGTTCCAGGTAAAAATGACTATCTGAAATTGCATACTTAATGTTAAATAAAAACTTTGATTGGATTAAATTATTAGCTTTTTTCTATTATTATATTCACTAAAGTCACATCATACATCCAAGTCTTTTTCCCATTCTCTTCTTACAAGACTGACTATTTGTGTTATTAGTCACAATCTGAGTCTTTGTTTCCATTCTCTTCTGAGTTTATTTATTACAATGTTTTGTTTTTAGGATACTTTGCCTGGCGTAATTCAGCTAGAGGCTCATGGTTTATTCAAGCAATTGTGGATGTGTTCACTAAGTACTGGGATAAGCTGGACCTCCTCACCCTGATGACCAGGGTCAACAAGAAAGTGGCTTATGACTTTGAGTCCAATGCAAGTAGAGAGTACATGAACAGGAAGAAACAAATTCCTTGTATAACTTCAATGTTGACTAAAGATGTTTACTTTAAAAAGAAATAAATAACTTAGCAAAACAAAACATTATTGTACATTTTTGGTTTAAATTAAATATGAAGGTTCATAAAAAAAAAGAAATAGATAACTTAACAAAACATTATAGTAAATTTTTATTTTAAATTAAACATGAACGTTGATTAAAAAAGTGATTAGTTTGAACATTTTTTACTCTTATTTTTTTTAACACGCTGATAGACATTTTTTTAGCCTTGTTAAAAGATCCAGTACCTCTTCAAGTATTAGTTTGATGCTGCCAGATATATTCATGTTATTACATATCATCAAATATTTGTGCAAATTTAACAAATTGGCAACAACACCTCTACTTGCACAAGTGGTTTAAGAGAAGATAGCTTTGTGTGTGTGTGTACTGATTTTACAAAATAGCTTTTGTTTTATGATATTAATTATTAAAGTGTCCTTAACAGTAACACTATAATCATTACCATTGTGTGGATTAAAAATGTATGATTATCATTGTTTTGTTTTACTTTCTGTCATTCAATTCCTTACTTATTGTATAATATGTACACTCTATAATTATTTTAAAATCAAAGTTGAATAACTGTGTTGTAAAATGTATAATACAATTTTAGTAGTTTAGGTGAATGGCCTACTGTTTGATAGCTTTTAAAAGTTAGCTGAATTGAAGTATGGTTTTGTTAGGAAAAAAATGTGTTGTATTTTTTCCCCCTTGGGTTTTCTTGTAAAATCTTGTTGATGTGCTTGTAATACATTTTGAGCATTCCTTGTTTATCTTAGCTTTGAAAATGGCTTTATCTTTTAGTTATGAATTAGTGTTCTTTTCTATGTATGTTACATTTAGTTTTAAGCAAGGATACCATAGAACTTTATAAAAAAGTTTTTGCAATGCATTTTTAAAAATATAAGCATTTATTTAGCAACATTCATTTTATTTTAAACAAGGTTTTATTTTAGTGGTTTAATTGTTTTGATAGTTTCAATAGGTTTATCATTGTGAAGAACATACATTTATGTTTAGATTCTGTTTGTATGCATAAAGTAATTTGAAGCCATGACATATAACTAAACTAGTAAAGACCAATAAAAAACATTTGTTAACTATTGAGGCATAATATACAACTATTAGCCTACAGTGGAGACTACGCCAACAGATGAGGAGACTCACTACATAGTACAGCTCTGTACTAGTACATCCTACTGTTCTAGATCTCACTACTCATTTAATGTAAACATTTATTTACTAACAATGTGGGTTGTATGTGAGCAAATCTTCAAAGTGGTATTGGGTGTACCTGGTTCACATTTTGTTCCTTCAATGTATACCTTTTTTAAAGGGCAAGTATCTTTTAATAAAAAAAAAATAAAAACCTGTCTTGTGTCAGCTTTTCCTGTCACTCATTCATCAAACAACTATTTCAAACACCGTTAGTTGTTTTTTTTAAACATTTATGTTTATTCCATTCTTTACATTTACTGAGTATACTCAAGTTTACAGAACTTTAAAAAGATTACACTAACCCCTCCCACCCCAGATTGGGGTATCCATACTTGAAAAGTACAAATCCCTTCTTTTGCGGTTAGCAGCTAACAATGTCATTATTTAATGTACATGAGACAATTGTAAAGATCTGTTCTTGTCAGCCACCATACTTTTTTTTTACACAATTTACTGAAAATGTCAGCTTATGATTATAAATGACAACAAAGCTATTGTATGATAATTGTTTTACACAATGATGTACAAACACGGGTGAAGTAATAAGTGAAAAACTTTCTATGCACAAGCTAAAACAAGGTAAATCAATACAATTTTAAACAGCTTTTAAAAAAAATGTCCCATTCTGTAAAACTGTTTTCCCATCAATGCCTTAAACTTAAAGCAACCATCCATAATTTATAATACAACATTCATTTTGTATTTAGTTTTAAAAACACAAGTATAATAAATTCAGTGGGGCTTAAGACAAATGCATTATATTCATGTGACTATTGAACAATAGCACCAGTGAAATAAAAAAAATTAGGGAGTATTGGTAGGTAAAATGAATTTTGAACAACAAAAATGTGATAACACAACACAGAAAGCACATTTGTATAAGAATTTTCTTAGAAAGCTTTTTTTTTTACACCAGTGTTTTAAAATCAGTCATAAACTAAAATAAATTTTAGGCTCATTTCCAAAACATAATATTACACATATTGTTAGTTACACTTTTTTCCGCAAATAAATTTCTTTTGTAAGCATAGAATAGATGACGGGAGATTGTTTTTTAGCATTCAAGACAGGATCTAAACTTTCAGACTGGCGTTCCCTAGCAACCAGTCCTACGACAGTGGTCAGCTCTTGCATTAGAGATCTGCCTCCCCTTGAAGTGAGTAACACATCTGCCAGGCATTTTATAAACCATGATCCCTCGCGAGGACGGCGAAAGGCAAAGAAACCTATAAGGGATTATAATACAAAATAATTTTTTTTTCTGTTACCTAGTTTGATCAGGAAAAATAATTATAAAACTGCCTGCTGAACAAACTTTGATACTCTACACACTGTATTACTAGTCAAATGTTGTTGACAACTTCTACAAGCCTGGTTAGTAAAAAATTAATGTCAGGTTAGGTTAATAAATTTAGGTGATAAACTGGTCTAATTGTTGCCATTTAGTATTTTTTTTAAAGAAGTTGAGATGGTACTAATCAGATACTTTGTAATGTTCCTGCTTTTATTCTTGCTATGCCATTTTAAAGTTTTTGTTACGTACTTTTCTTCCTATGGACAGTTACTTCAAGTGAAAAGAAGTTGTTTAAAATGACAAGCAAATTTTAAAAAACTGTCTAATCATTCCTCATCTTTTCCCCATTGAATCCTGGCATATTAAATTAGTTATTGGTCTTTTTAAAAAAATATTATAATACTTAACAACCACAAAGACATTGTGTTCGGAGTGAGTATAAGAATTATTTCTACACCAGGAATAGCCATATAACACTAGTAAACATTAACCTATTTATAACACTTTCTCACCAATACCACATGTAATTGTACGTGTGCTGTATTTGTGATGGACTCACCTGGAGGGCAGGAGTACATCACCAGGAAATCTTTAAAACATGGAGCTGGTGTGGTGCAAACTTCACTCAATCTATAAAACAAAACTATTTCATCAATACCATGGGCAAAAGAAAATGAATAGTCTCAGACTTAAGATCTAGTAATTATTACATTGTTCAAGTTTAATGACAAGCATTTTAGTTTGTGCTATCCCATACTGGTTTAAAAGTCTGGTTAAGTTGTTAATAAAACCACAAAAACAATTTAAGATGCTATTGTGTAAAATCAAGAGGTGCCAAATTGCAACTCAGGAGCCATGTGCAGTTTTCTGACTGTGTAAAAGGTGCACTATTTATTCATTATAACAGATTAGCTTATGAAGCTTTTAAATAAAAGAACTGAGATTATTTTTACACAACATTGATAGTAATTGTTTTTAAGTTCAAATTTTTTTTAAGAAGCAAAAACACATTCAAAGATACTAGAGAAAAATGAATGGTTACCTTGAGACATGTTTAACATCTGTTATAACATGTTTCCTAGTTTTAGAAAACAATGCATCACTCAAGCTTTCTTCTGCAACAGAATCTGAGCAATCCATGGATTTGAACCGGATGAGGCTTTTTTCATCAAGCACGTCCTCAGAGGAAGCTTCAGGCTTCTGTTTTGTACAAGTTATTTCCATACCATCATCCAGCTTGCCTCCACGACAAGCCTGAAACAGAAAAGGATGAGCTCTTGTGTTATAAACTTACTCTAGCTGACAGGCTATGCAGATTATGCTCAATTAGCACACATAAAAGGAAAATCAGCTGAATCCCCTCTCCCCCTTGAAAAACATTTATATATATATTTATCGCCATTTTATTTTTTGAACACACACATGCACACATACACATATATGGGCCTATACACACACATATATATATATATATATATATATATATATATATATATATATATATATATATATATATATATATATATGTATAAGCTATATAAGCTTTATCCCTATAGAACTTTTCTAGCTTAATAAAAATCCTGTCTTTTAGATATTATAAGTGAAACCGCAGACAATAAAGGTGAGATCAATTTTGATCAGTAGTTTAAGATAATTTAATTATATGGGTCAATCTGAAGGTCTTTATGAAAGTAAATTAACCAACCTGAATAAAAGCTAATCTTGGCTTGTTTTTTAGTGAAGGGCAGTTTTGGTCATTAAATAATTCTAGAATAGCTTTGGTAGAAATTACTGCATCTTTTGTGTAGATAACATCTTGTCTAGAGTTGTCTTGGCTGAAAACTTCATCCCCGTGGGTTGAAATGGCTAGCACAAGACAGTCACAAGAAGAATGGTCTTCACTGGAAACTGGAATCAGAGGAAAGACACATTCTTACATTTTAAAACTTAGTTATATTCGATTGCTCAGTACAATTACTTCACAAAGCTACAACTTACTGTTTTTAAGTTCCTTCATTAGTTCTCCTACAGTTTTGTCATAATATGATCGTATCTCAAATCCATGGCTGGAAAATATTGTTTGTAGATTAGCTAAGTCTATAGTACACCCTTCACGCTTGTTTTTACCATTGAAAGTGTCGTTGACAATTATAACTGCAACCCCTCGGCGTGGGTTGGAAAAATTATACTCATCATCTGAGTAAAAGTCTGTAGAATTTCTGTAATAAAGCAAATTTTATGGTGACATATTTTAAGAAGAACATTTTAAAGTAGGCATGTGATTTATTACTTGATACACAGAACAGTAAATACTTTTTAAAAGTTTGTCTAAAAATTAAATATCCTTTTGGGTAAATGGATAAAAAAATAAGAACTTAATTATTAAAAAACGCTTAGATTACTCATCTTTTACAGTAGGCTAAAAACATTGAAAAGGTGAACAAATACCAAAGGTGTTAAAGTTATAATTGTATAATATTATCATCTTTCTCGATTCTATCCAAAGACACATGGTGCAGATAAAATAGAGTTCCTTTGTTTCAATGACCGCAGCATATGAGGGATAGTATGTCAAGGTGCCTTTGTTTCCCTATTTGAGTCAGGTACCCATCAGCACAGAGTAGCCTATAGAATTCCTATAGACGAGCTTGGGATCCAAACTTGAGTCCTTCAGATTAGTGCCCTACTGTCTGACTACTGCGTCCTCATTTGCATAATAGGTCTACAGCAGATAAAATACTTGAGCAGAAGCATAAAATTAAACCTCTGAACATTTGCCACCTACATTGTTTGGTGAGATCTGTATGGAGGATTTGCTTGGTATGAAGGCTTTTCTTGCTTGATAAACTGTGTTCCTAAGATAAGAAATTCAGTTGCTGTTTTATTTACTGTCGTTCATAATAAAAAGTCACATGTGTGTATGTGTACACAAACATCAAACATTTAATGAACAGAACACTCAAACATAAGTTACCATTGTAAAAAGTCAAGCTGAAATAGAGTTCACCAGCATATAAAGGGATATCGGATATAGTGTGGTCAGTTGCCTACTTTCCCTAACAAGAGTCAGGTACCCATAAGAGCTGGGTGCAATTGGGATGTCCAAAATACTCAAGCCTACGAATCCGAACTCTAGACTTTTGGGTTCATCTGTCATGTGCTCTACAGTCTGAACACAACATCACACAATTTATCACTTGAATGTAGGCCTAACTCTTTGACTTTAGCTGATTTGAATGACAACATTATGTGCTGACTTAGATTCTGAAACTGATGATGATAGAAGATTAAGAAGCATTTCTTACAAAAAGAGAAATATTGCTGATAAGTTAAACAACATAAACATATATTTAATTATACAATTATGTAAGGCCTATAATTTAATATGATAAATAACATTGACTATTAAAGAAAACAAAGAACTTTATGAGTAGCTTAATTAACTACATGTTTTAATTACTAGACAACTATACATTGTTAGAGAATAAGCATGTAAGTATTGTAAGGTTAGGTTAGGTTAGGGTGACAAAATAAGAATATTTTCTGATAAAAACTCATACCTTTATATTCCAAAAACCCATCACTTTCACTGTCATCCATTTCTGAAAAAAAAGAGGCTATAAATAAGAGTAGTCTATATTTGAACTATATACTGTATATACTACTTGCATTTTGTATGAAGAATGAAGTAACATCTATTATAATATAAAGTAAAGTAAAGCTGCTTTACTAAAGCATCCTCTTCTAGCAATCCATTGGGCAGATTTAGTAAAGAACATGTGTTTTATTTTATTTGTTTCTTGACCTCGTCATATGAATGGGAATGTGTGGTCAGCACTTTGCCCAGTTAAGTTAGGTATCCATCAGTGCTGGGTGCACTCATACAGGGACTTTCTACTGACTTGGACCCAGATTCAAACAGAAGACTTTCGAGTTTGCGGCGTAGAGAACTACAGATTAGGCCACACTGTCCCATTCTTATAAATTAAATATATAGAAAAAAGAGTAGGAGTTTCAAAAGACTTACCATAAAATAATAACAAAATAATGAAAATATGAGTATTCTTGAGTTAATCTGGATATTTATTTAAATGAGGATCTTTCAATTATAAGCAGATCTAAAATCTTTTTAAAATCTAGATAAAGTGCCTTATATAATAGATCTAGAATCTGTATAATAGTTATATAGATTCTATATTTCAACGGCACTGTAGAATACAGAGTATAATACAGGTTACACCAAATACTCTGGGATTTCCAAATCGGATTTTCGAGTTACTATAAATAGAATTTTCCAGGAAAAATACAGTTATAAATAAAGTGGCATGCAAAAAAAAGAAGTTAAAAAAGTACTCTGGCGTCTAGACACTGGAATTATAATAATTATATTATTATATACATTTATCATATAGAATCTAGATCTAGATCTAGATCTAGTCAACAAATATGGGTATGCAGATAGATCTATAACATATAGATCTAGAATATAGATCTATCTAGATCTAGATCGATCTACTGTTAAAACAAATGAGTGTGCTAGATGTAGTAATTTTAAATTTAATGTAGGCCTTTCATTGAGTGTCGGATTGGTAATCTATCGTTTTAGGTACATAAAATCGCCCGCGACTAGTAATGTGAAAAACAGGTGACTCCTTACATTTTAATAATTATTTCACATTTTGAGGAGGATTTATGTTTTGAAAAATACAAAAATGTTTCCTTTTTTCATTTATGTACCTGTTTCTAAACAATTGAATTAAAACTTTTCAGTAATAAATGAACACCAGCGATGTTTCCAACAGATGCAACCATGCTCATTTACTATAGCAGCCATCTTGTTAAAGTTTTATTTTTATAGACTTATAGCGCAAGATTCAGGCGGAAGTCACTCTATTTTACAAATGGCTGCTGTTTATATAGCAAATCTTGCTTGCAGACACTGCTGTTTAAAGTTAATTTCGGGCCTATATTGATATATTTAGCCATTGATTTAGGTTTATTATTCATTTATCTATAATATTTGACACAAACATATCACAATATACTTCTATTACAGCCTTGACAATGAGGTAACGTTTTCGTACATTAATAGCCGCGGGCGATTTTACGTACCCAAAACGATAGATTACCGTCGGATTATTCCTAATAATTAATTAATAATATTAATATTATTAGTAGGCCCCTATTTATTATTTATTATTTATTAGTATTATTAATTTATTATTATAAAGAGAGGCTGTAAAAATATAGATTTATTATAGATTCTACTTATCTAATATATAAAGCTCAATTCTGTAACGCATATGTTTGTCGTTGGCATTTCTACGGATTTAAGTGTTAGATCAATTATCGTGCGCAGTTGTCTAAATTTATGAGTTAAAAATTACTATTAAAAGTGTTGGGAAATCATTTTCATTTTTCAAATTACAGTAATAATTGTCGGCATGTTCATTAAACACAAGTTTTAAAAAAATATCATCTTTTACAAAAATTCTAATTATGTTTTTATTTAGTCCTATAGCGCTTACTTCCCTTTGATAAATTAGGCAAAACACAATTACTTCCCTTTATGAAACCATTGCATTAGTTGAAAAGCATTTACTTTTTAATTACTTTGTTTTGGTGTTGGGAAAAAAATAATTACATAATTAGCGGGGATTGATCAAGTGCAAATGTTTTAGGTATTTTACGGATAAGCTTGGAGTATTATAATTGTTCATTAAATTGAAACAGGCGCGTTCGTTTAAGTGAGTGCAAAAACTATGAATAAGTTGGGGTACTATAGTCGTTTATTAAGCTAAAACAGGCGATTCTGCCCCGGGCGTTTATGTTCGCGTTAGTGTTTTCTTTGTGTTTAGGTGGGTTTGCGTTAGTGGTTGCGTTTTGATTTGGTTCGTTTTTGTTCTTTCTTTTTTCGTTTTTGTTTTTTTTTTTTTGGGTTTGTATTTGTGTTTTTGGTTGGTTTTTTTTTTGGTATTGGTGTTTGTGGTTGGGTTTGTTGTTAGGTTTTTGTTTTCGTTTGTTTTTTCTTTGTGTTTGTATTGGTGTTTGTGGTTGTGGTTGGGTTTGTTGTTAGGTTTTTGTTTTCGTTTGTATTTCTAATTGTGTTAGCGTTATGTTTGCGTTTTGTTGTTTTGGTTGGTTGTGGTTTGGGTGGGCAATGCCGGGTTTATGATGATTACTAAACACACAGGTAATGGTCTTTAACGGAAAGGTTTTTCACAGAAGCCAGAGCAGGGCCTGGCCGGGACGGCTAGAAATATTATAAATTACTAGGCTAATAAATTAGAATTGTATGTTTCAAAACTAAACTAAGTTATGTAGGCCTACTGAATTACTATTAAATTAATCAATATTTATTTAAAGTATTTAAAGGCCTATATATAATTTTGACTAATAAATTAATATTATAATATATATATGTATATATATATATATATATATATATATATATATATATATATATATATATATATATATATAGGCCTATATATATATATAGGCCTATATATATATATATATATATATATATATATATATATATATATATATATATATATATATATATATTATATATTAATAATAGATCTAGGCCTATGTTATAATATTTGTTTAGCTTCCATGGATCAGATTGATGCAGGAGGTAACATTAATAGCAGAGTTGAACAGGACAAGCTTAAACTTCAAGACAAAGCAGGGTAAGATTTTTTATTAGTTTTATTTTAAATGAGCCGACCCGCGGTGTATCATACGCCGCTATTTAGTTGTTTTATTTTCTACTTTTCAGTAATTCATAATTTGTGAATTCGACACTTCCAATGCTGCCACTGAATATATTTGCTTTAAAACACTATCAGTAGCTCATTAAGGACGATAACCCCCCATCCTTTCCCCAATCCCTACCCCCCACCTCGTGAAAGAAAACTCCTCTTAGTTACCTCCCCTAAGTTTAAAATCGTTTCAAACTAAATTATCTGCCCCTAATAGCCGTCACTAAACCCGGCTCTATGATTGTAAACATTTAGCGTTAACCACAGCTCACCAGACCATGTGGGGATGGGTGTGATAGGGAGTGTGCTTACAGATTGGTGTTTTCTAGGGTCTCCAAGAAGAGAATTATATATATAGATTTAGTACAGTTTTTAAAAATACTCTTTTGTCATGCTGTATGGTCTTGAAAAAGCAGAGGCGAGGGGGGACATATGTCCCCGGGCGCCGACTTTAGGGGGGCGCCAAAATGGGTTGGAAAAACAAAGTGAAAGTTTGAGGGGTCGCAAATCAAAAGCTTGAGGGGGGATGTGCAAATCAAAAGTTCGAGGGGGGGGGGGAAGCAAATTGAAAGTTTGACCCCGGGCGCGGGAAGGGTCGCTACGCCTCTGTGAAAAAGCCATTCACCAGTCACACTCTATATGATAATAGTTATAGTATATTCTATTTACTTTAAAACATTTCATATTAAACAAAAACAAAAGAAAGAATGAAAATAATTTTGTACTTCAACTACTAATTGTGATGATAATAATACCTAACAAAAAGCTAGTTATTACCCTTATTATTTATTATCAATTACATCACACCCCTACCCTGATCCTAAGCATAATTATTAACCATAGAATTTTTACAATCTATGTTTTTTTAAGATTATACCTTTATTTTTATTTATTTTTAATCACTAATCACAATATTTATTAACAGTCATTCATTGCCAAACTTGACTGAAAAAGAATTTCGTTCTGATGTATACAAAATGAATTATCCTAAAAGAGGCGTGGCAGTTATTATTAACAACAGAAGTTTTAACTCAAGGACAAATATGGGTGAGAGAGCAGGAACAGATGTGGATGCAGAGAGCATGCACAGACTACTAAACATATTAGGTTTTGAGATCATACAACGTAATAATTTGACTGCGGAAGAAATGCGTCTAATACTGCAAACTGGTGAGAAGTTATTTGAATTGATAGAATTCATTTGCTTGTGTATAGATGGCTTATTGAATTGCATGATAAATAAATGGGTTTTCCTTAAATTTATTATTATCTCTTTAAGTAGGTTTATTTTTGTTTGGCATTGAGTTTCCTGAAAATTTGATTTGATAGAATTCATTTGCTTGTGCATTTATGGCTTATTCAATTTAGTTGTTAAAACAAAGTAAAATAATGTCAGATTGATTATTTACTTCTTATATATGAACAGCATTTAAAGGGTTAATCAGTGCTGGCCTAAAAATATGTCTGCAAGTTTTCTATTATGATTGCAATAAAAAAAAATTCTTATTTGATTTATTCACTGAAATAAAATTCAGTGGCTGCGCAGGATCACACTGACAACAGCTGTTTTGTCTGTATTATTCTCACCCATGGAGATGAAGGTTATGTTTTTGGGACAGACAGAGAGGTGCTTTTTGATGATTTAGTTGCTCCATTCAAGGGCAATAAATGCAAGTCTCTTGCTTCCAAACCAAAAATTTTCTTAGTTCAGGTATATTTACACCTATATAACTATATATTTTGTAACAGTGCTATATTTAGATTAAAAAAAATAGAAATAATCATTACAAATAATTTCTTGTAATCATTGTAAAATTTAAAAAAAAACACCCACTGATTTGGCCTTGCCAGTGAAATATGTATAGAGTCTATAATTGCTTACAGTTGACTCTAGATGTTTATGTGAAGTGGGTGCTACTTGGAATAACAATACAGTGGCGTAGCGATGGGGGGGCAGGGGGGTACATATGTCCCGGGGCGCCAAAATAAGCTCATTTTAGCTGCTATTTTGATTTATAAATATAAAAAATATATGGGGGGCGCAAAATTGAAAGTTTGTCCCTGGGCGCCAGGAGGGGTCGCTACGCCTCTGTAATAATAGGTTCCGATCCAAAATAAAACTGTGCATGTTTTATCAGTACATTTTTCACTTAGTCTAAGAAAATCTTTTTTTTTCTTTATAATTTTAGATTCTGCATATTTTAATATATCATTTTAACATACATATAAAAGCTTAATTTATTTAATATTATAATAAACTTCAATCCACCTTTTAAATACATATTGATGAATTTAAGGAAAACTGTCAATATTTCTGTTAGGATTGCATAGATATTTGATATTCTGTGCTTCTGGTAAATACTAAATAAAATGTACATTTTAAAACATAGGCTTGCAAAGAACCAGAATTTCAAGAAGAGGCTGATACTGGAATGGAAGTGGAATCAGAAGGTGAAACAATTGTTCAAAAGATTCCAACTGAAGCAGATTTCCTTGTTGTGTACTCAATTGTTCCAGGTAGATCTTTATGCATGTTGTATTTTATTCATTGATGAGGTTTGTCAAAAAGCCACTGAGAACACATTTTTAGTAGGCTATTTATCCCATTCCCTCTTGTTCTAATTATTTGAAATAGTTAAGCTAGGTCTTATATAAATGGTGCAAAAAATGTGGGACCAGTTACATGTAATTAAATTATTTAAATTTTTAAAATTTTTACTCATTATTACTGAAGTGTAATTTTTATTGATTGCCTACAAAATTTTCTTTGCTTTGAATATATATTTTAAATGTCCTTAACCTTTAAAATAGAGGGGTAAATTATGGAGGCGCTTATTAACAGAGGATAGGCTATTATCATTAACAAATACATTTTGTTCTCTTAATCTTTCCTTAGTTGACACATTATCTTAATTTTTCATCATTAGTAATTAACATTTATTGAACTGTGATTTGATTTCTTTCTCCAGGAAGTTTGTCTTGGAGAAATAAAGGAAATGGGTCTTGGTTCATTCAAGCAATCGCTGAAATATTTGAAAAGAATTACCAAACTCTGGACGTCATGACTATGATGACTAGAGTAATCAAAAAAGTGGCGAAAGATTTTGAACAAAATGCAAAAACTCTATTTTTGGAAAGGAAAAGACAAATACCTTGCATAACATCTATGCTCACCAAGGATGTCTATTTTAAAAGTTAAATTTGAATGATGCCTTTTATTTCATTCAAAAATTTGTAATTTTGTAAGAAGAAATTAAAAGTTGGTGCAGCAGTTGTCCATTGAACTTTACAAAATGCAGCTATAACTCAGGTTACTGATGAGCATTATTGTATTAACCAATAGCATGCATTAGGTAGCTTTTTAATTTGCTCAGTTGACAATTTCTAAGAAAGCAGTTTTGAAAATGGCGTTATTTTACATTGATATGGATGCAATTCCACCACATATGATTCTATATATATCATTATTAATTATATATTTCATTATTTGGCTTTACTGTACTTACATAGCTTCATTAGGTAATGAAGCAGATATGCCATTGTATAATAAACTACAAAGACTATGTGTGCATTGAGAAATAAATAAATAGATCTTCATTTAACCTGGTCCAGTTTTCTTACCATTTGATTAAAACTAACAAAAAGATTTTTTTATCCATTGTATTACAAATTCATATCAATCATTAAATTTATCAAAGACTTTCCAAAATATATTTTGTTTTGTTACCTATCTAAACATAATGTGTTGTTCTGTTCTTAGTACCAAATGATTGCTTAATTTAAAGACCAAGTGTATTAAATAACAAAGCAGTATAAGCCAACCTAAAAAGTAACAACAAAACAGCACAAAAATGAAGTGAAATTTAATCAGCCACTTCTTGTTTGAATCATCAGACATGAAATTGGAGACGACTCCCAAAACCAACAGTTGACATCAAGTCAAAAGCTTTCAAAGTAACAGCAGTTATCCAAGTTTTTTAAAAATTTGGGAGCTTTGTTTTTCATAATAAATGTGATCAATAGGACATGTACATTCAATTGATGAAATCACTGAATGTTTAAAGAAAAATCATTTTCAGACTGCATTACCTGCTTCATTATACAACATTCATATAATGAAAACTTCCATGCTATTATAACTAAACACAAATAAAGTAATTACATAAATTTACCTATGACTAGAATAAATTTGTGATTTTTAAGAACTATCTCTGTTTTCTCGTAAGTTGGAATCCATAAATTACACAACTGTAAGATTCTTAAGAATCAGTCATTTGAAAGGTGATTTACTACACAACTGTTTATAATATGAGCATACAATTTAAATATTGATGAATTGAAAATTAGAATATTGAACTCATAGACTGTATAGTTTTGAATTAGTTACATCTGTCCTTATTTAATAAAAAAAAATTTCATGTTAATTTTGAAACAAATAATATACACAAAACTTTATTCTATAAACAAAACCCCATTAAAAGACTCCGCAACCAAAAAGACAACAATGGCACACAAATTTACTTTGAATTACTGTCGACTGTAATTTAAGTTTTTATAACAACACAAAAAAAAGGCTAAAGTTTAAATTGAGAAACATGTAACCAAGACTGTTATGAAACACACATGCACTTTCAACATCTCAAAAAGGAATAATTTAAATACAGAAAACTATCTTTAAATTATTTAAAGCTAGTAAGAAATGAAAATCATGCCTTTTCGCTTACAAAAATAAAAATATGTCATGATTCTAGAATACAGGTTTTAAAACTGAATATATTCAAAAAAGATTGACATAACTTAATACATACTTTTGTATCTCAAATTTTTGAACATAAAAAATTTAAAGCAAAATGATGAAGCATGCCAGTTAAAAGACAAATATCTACAATATAATATGTACAAGAAACATATTTGAAAACAATTTATAAATAGCCAACTATACTCTACATTAATTGAATAACTTGATAGTTTTAGTAGCAACATGGTAGACCTATTATAAAAGCAATTGATCAAATGAGTTGATCACAGTCACATAGCTGATAAAATGTTACATGTTCTACAGCTGAAAATAATACAATTGAGTTTTTAATACTTAGTCAGCCACTTTAGAACTTAGTACACTTTTAAAAAAAAAAATTCACTTTTAATTTTTTTTTAGCACTATATAGCTTAGCAAGTTTTGTTATTAAAATTATGTGTCCTAGTGGTTTTCCAGAACTAAACACATTGTTTTTGTATCAATAACCTATATAAGGGACATAATGGCTGAAAGTCAAACTTTTTGTGTGGTTATAACTTCCCTACCACAAACCATTGGCAGAAAGGGATATAATAAATAGTATCCATTAGCATTGTCTATTGCACATAAACCTGCAACTGCATGGCAGACTGTATTAAAACCTTGAGGGCTGGCATGAAGTTGGAGATTTCTGAGAAGTTCCCATGTGAGACCATGCCAGTGTAAACATTCAGACCACTGTTGTAGTCATACTGCTGAATGGCTTGAACTATCTGATGCAGACCAAGCAGGGCGGTCTGAGAGAGCTGGAAGAGAAACATTTTTCCAGTAGATATTTAATCCATAAAGTGATTAGCCAGCCTTAAGGCATATATTCTATGTAACTTTAAACAGTGCAAATTGCTTTAATAAAGCTTATAAATAATAAGTGTTTAGACATTTTTCATTAAATGATGCATAGCAAAATTAAACATTTTATTTTTAAAAAAAAAAGATAATCCTTACCATATTTTCTCTAAGTTTATCGTACAAAATTTCTAATTTTCTCATTACATCTTCCAGCTTGCGTTTCATTTGCTAAAAAATAAAATCATTTCAATTAATTTTATACAAATGCACAGTAAATATTTAACTATACAAAAATTTAAAAAGTCAGAAAGTAACAATCTTTAAAAGGTTATACATTTTTAGAATACAATTAAACTAAAACTGGACAATTTAAAACGATTTTTGCACATCTATATCCAGCTATATACAAGCTCATATAACATAATACAACACAACCATGCATGTTCTCACTCCAAGACTTACAGCATTGGGTGCCACTTGTGCACAGCTCTTAACAAGCTTATCAAAGATATCTTGTAATACTTGATGCTCTGCTGGAATTGGACCCCGTTGTACTGGAGCAGGTGCCTCTACAGGAGCAGCAGGAATCTGAAATGATGACACTCATTTTTAAAGACAAGCTCATGGATCACAATACAAAATCATAATGTTAATCATGGACTACGAACAGATTTTATTTTGGGTAACTCACTGTAGTCAAGGTCTGTATAAAATATGATTTGACTGCATAATCCAAGGGCCAAATTTGTATTTATTTGCCTAACACTGAGCACTGTAATTTTTAGATGCTAAAACCTATTGGAGAAGCCTAGCTTATATACCATTTATAAACTGTGTATCGTGTAAACTTATGTACAGATCACTGGAAAATTGAACGCTAGTACAAAAATTATAATGAAATAGTTGATATAGCATGATCTGCCATCAGAAAACTACTGATCTAAATTTTATGGAATTCTAGGTTTCATACAAGTTATATAATTATATAACAGCATGTACAGTTTTCACTAATAAAATATTTTAAGCTAATTTTATCTATGCTCAATAAAATTTTTAATCAAAAATTTTTCTTTTTATTTGTATGTCTTTAAAAACAGCAAAGGCCAATTTGCAATGAATATAGCATTAATAAGTAATATTGATGCAGAAAGGATATATATTCTGGTATAAAAATGGAGAGGGCCACTTTGAGAAGAAATCTCCAGTCATGGAAAATCTTTTTCCTTTTAAATGTGGGGTTTGACAGCTATTTACCTTATATATGGATCTATGAACTAACTGGTTGTGTAATGTATTAATATAATGCAATGGTTAGTCTTGTCAGATATTGTGCAGAGGTTAATTGATTAAACAAAATGAATTTAAAGACTGAATTATAGTCTGTAACACCAGTTGGATTATTCACCTGCTGCAAAAAAATATTAACTGCTTGATGGCAGGATCAAACTACAATTTGGTCGACATTTACTATACACAAAGTAAATAACCTGATCTATGAAACTATAAATAATTTTTTTGCTATTGATATTATAATCAGGTAATTTTTTTTCTAGTGGATTCATGCAACTGCACACATTGTTAATAAACATAAATGGGGGTGTATCGGTTAGTTAAACAAACATATCAGTTCAATGCAAGGTATTTTCAAACCATTATAACTGGATAATAAATACTACATACAAAAACTTTTCTTTTTTTTTTACAAGTTTTAAGTTTCATTTAAAATGTAATGGATTATATTATACAAAAACAATTTAGTAATGAGTAAATGACAAGATGTGAATTCAGCTTAATTAAGTATAGTAAAAAAGCATCACCCCATAACTATTTTGATCAATGAATGTCTTTCTACTAATTTTTATTTACGTTTGTTAGAAATAGTAAACAAAAAAAAAATCACCCCAAAACTATTTTGATCACATGAATGTTTAACTACTGTACCTGTGTCTGAGGGCGGGTATTTCCTGGAGGTGCTGGATTGGTTGGATTATAACCACTAAATGGCATGGTGTTTTGTGGCTGTCAATTAGAAGCCACAAGTCCAGGGGATTGTAAGAAGGCAATAAGGTTATAAATCAAACACACAAAACTTAACAAATAAAGGCAAGCTTCAAACAGGTTTTCACCAACTTTTAAACTATAAAATGCAAACAGTAATTGAACTTTAAATGGTGTTAAATCAGCTTCTTAATAAACGTGAAATTTTTAAGCAGCAATTGGCAAGCATGCATAATATGATTAGGTCAGTCAAAATGCTGTTAATCAAACTAATTCAACATAGCATGACAAGTACAGGTGAGTAAGTACCTGATGGATGTGCTGGTGCTCTGCAGGGTTGTACAAGCCAGGATAACTAGGTGCACCAGGTGGGCCATGGTCTGCTGGTTGTGGGGTGAACAGGTTCAAGTTGGGCTGGTTAAACTGGAATATGGTAAACAACAATTTTTTACTTGTAAAAAGCCAGTTTATAAAAGGCGGAAAAGCTTTTTATAACATAATAGTCTTTCATCAGTAGTAGGAAAGCTCTGATGTAATGTAACAGTCTTTCAACAGTGATAGGAAAAGTCTATCATAATAAAAGTAATTTATTAACACTAACAGCATGAGATGGTTTGCTAGCTTTCTCCTGTACAATGGGTGGATCATTCCAAGCAGTTTCAGCAGCTTTGTCTTGATAAGAATACATGGCAGGTTGCTGTGGGATCTGTGGCACAGGGGCTGGGTTGTAGCCTGATGGGGAGGGCCCGGCCGTGCTGACTGGGGTGAAGAAGTTGCTCTGCTGGTTTGATGCTGGTGAAAAGGTGTTTGGGCTTTAAAGAGAAAAAAACAAGAGCAAATAAAGAACATATCACATTAGTGAATTGTGGGAAATTATTTCTACTTAGTTTAGATTAAAATCAGAATCAAGATGTAGCGGAAGAATACAAAAAAAAAAGGGAAAAGCATTACCTGTACATATTTTGTGGGTTATCAAAAGCTTTTGGTTGGTTATAATTAGGCTGCATGAAGCTTTGATTTGAGTAAGGATCAAAGGTTGGCACTGAGGAAGGATACTGGGGATACTTTGGACCTAGTGAAAAATGTGGAATGTTTATTGAAACAAAACGTTTGAAGATAACATTAAGAAAATATGTAGATGCAATAAATACCAGATATAATAAGGAGGAATAAGCTAAATAAAAATCTAATTTAAGGAGTTAAGTAATGACACTAAAGAACTTAAAGATGAGCAAATTAATGCCAACATAAATTTATAATTCAAAACAAACAACTAACCTTTGTGAGCAGGGCCAGATGGAGCAACAGAACTAGTAGGCTGTGGTGCATAACTAGGCACCTGGCTGTTAATGGCAGAAGGAACATGTGAGTAGTACTGGGCCTGGCTGTAGTAATTGGCAGTGGATGTGGACGTTGTCTGTGAGCCGCCCTGTCCCGCCATTGACTGGTGTCCACGTTGACTTCCATGGTGATCAGCCGCAGGTGTCATCTTGGGGCCAGCTGTCTGCTGAGCAGTGGGTAAGACGTTGTACTGTTGGAAAGGTGAGGCTATCCCGTGTGAGGCTGGGTTTTGTCCAAGAGCTCGTAACAGGCGATCTTGCAAAATGGCCAGGTTCACCTGAAAATAAATACCAGATTAATTTTTCTAAATACAAAGTCAAAATTTGAGGGAGTAAAAAATTGAAAAACTTTATTGTACAATTTTTATAGCTTAGTATTTAAGATAATAATGATGAGCTATACATTCATTTTTTAAAAATATAGAAATAAATCTACATGTTACTTACATCAGATGTATTACTGAGATATGTCAGAGCAGTGGCCATATTTCCTTGAGCTGCTAATAAACTTGCATACTGGCTCAGCTTATCAGCCAATGCTCCACCAGACACACTTGGAGCATCCCCTCTGGAGAGTTCAACAGCTTTCCTTAGGACCATAATCTTCTCTACCAAATCCTATGGATGTAACAGTTACAGTAAGCAATCACACAATTCTCAATTCTCTCAAATGAACATGCTACAAACAATTCAAAAATGACCACACATATCAGATCATGTGTGGTAGTATTGACTACCTGCAGTGCTAATGGTTGATTAGCATCCTCTGTGTTTTTCACCCAGTTCTCTACAAGTTTCTCCACATTTCCAGAACAAATGTAGCAGAGACTAGCATACAATGACAGCTCACCATCTCTCTCAGTCTCAAGCCTGTTAGCCAATGTATCTGAGAATTTTTTTTTATAAACTCATTAGCCTATTTTGTATCACTCTAGTGGAACATTGCAAATAAAACCTGAATGAAACCAGGTAAAAACTACATATCTGACAAACAGGCCAACCTACCACACAAAGGTGAAAACTCCTCAGGTAAAGCATAGGTTAAAATAACAGCCAGAGCCTCCTTCCAGTTATCTAAATCACAAGTGTCAACAATGTGGCCCCAGTCATGGGTCACTACAGATGAGATCAGCTAAAAGGTAAAACAGTTTGTTTTTTCTTCAATGTTTCATTAATTTAATTTAGTTAAAAATATATATTTCAACTAAAATTTTTTACTTCTTTTGTGAAAATTCTTTTAAATATTAATGTACTTTAAAAATTGATAATTATAAATTGACATACCCTTCCTAATGTAGATTTGTTTCTCTGGAAATATTTCTTCTGAGTCCTGACAAGTAAATCTGGACCACCAGCTATAGCTAGTAATATAGCTTCAGCCATTTTGTTTTCACTAAGACACATTTCCACAGCAGCTTCAAAGTTGCCAGTAAGTAGAGCCTGGGTCATCAGTCCATCAGCTGCAGATAAAAAAAAACAATGAACAAACTGAGGTAATCCAACAACACATTTTTATAAAGGAGGCACTACTGAACTCATGATTATAAAATGGTGTGCGATAAATATTGCCACTTGTAACAACATGTATTCTTTGTTGTTGTGGGTTTCATACAGGAACACGAGCAACAGTGGCAACTTGAAATGACAACTTTATTTACACTATGTACAGATAAATCCGTGGTACATCCATATTTGAAGATCAACTGATATAGGTACAAATAATAATCACGACTCCAAGTCATGGAGACATCTTACATTCACTGCCATCGTTCCAGTCCCCAAAATCCTAGCACACCACACCCGTTCACCTTTCGCTCTCTCTTTTATTCACCACTTTCTCTCCCCTTACGTCAATGAGCGATCTCACCCAAAACACGGAAAAACACATGACGATCGCTCAGACAGTCCTTCCGCTAGCCAGGTACTCTTCATTCATGCAAAACACAATATAATAAAGATACATAATAATACAGTCTGTGACACGTCCCCCCTTCGAATAAAATTTTGTGTAACAAAATTTATAAATACAATATTAGTAGGGCAGGATCATGTGCCAGACAACAAAATTTATAAATACAGTATTGGTAGGGCAGGATCATGTGCCAGACAACAAAATTTTTATACATCTCAAAAAACATGGAAAAATACATTCTTTGTAAACTAATGCACAAGCATTATGTGTAATATATTCAAATATGAGAAAGAAAAACATTCCAATTACCAAGTAATTGTATAAACAAGACAAATGAGTTTAGTAAATTACCAAACCAGTCTGGTACATGACTTAATTACCAAAACATAATACTTACATAGTTGAAATTATCAAAGACTTAACTCAACTCATAATTTAAATAACTATATCCTATGTGGTAAAAAAAACTTCCTTATCATCAAGGCATGTTATTACGACGCATGATTAATATACTTTGTTGTCTCCCCTAGTTGACCCATTTCAGACAAATCTAGGTCACAACACAATCACATTCTTGCCTTACACAGGTATTGACTAATACACAATACATCATTGAGACTTCCGTCTTATTGTTATGCGGAATAAATAGTCTCTAACTTTTATTTATTTACTTTATTCACTGTTAATTAATAGTATAGAATAGGTTTAACATAATACAGTTTACATTCTTTAGATATAGTACACAATTTATGTTTACTCAAACACATTATTTGATATTTATATATTACAGTTACAGACTGTATAATATTAATAAACTGTCAATTGATAATTTATCTTAGCATCCTCTATAGCATGAGTAATCGTTCTCGTGCAGTTGACGATGACCTGTATGCCATCTCTCCCTCAAATTGTAGCTTTTAGCTGTGCTACCATAATCATTTCCTAGATTTCGTGTAACTTGTGTTACTTCATTTGTTTTAATATTCTCTTCTGGTTTCTGAACAACGTCAGTAGTTATCTTGCTTTGTAAACGTTCGTTTGGTTCATCAACCAACTTGATATAAATATTATGGCATTGCTTTGGCCTCTCATAATATGTGTTGCGTCGGTAACTTCCATTAGTATACCTATTCACACTTTTGTTATTCTGATTTGAACTTGATACATTATTCCTTAAATTACTGTATTTCTCACATGACTTTCTGTGTACATAATTGTTTCTTCTCTGATTTGCCAACCTATGCCAACATTGATTTTGGTAATGACCTGTTTTTCCGCAGTAAAAACATCTAGATTTTGGCTTCTTATAAACATGGTGACTGTATTCATAGTTTGCTAAATTTCTTTTTCTTTCATTCTGTGCATTAATGACATTAATGACATTCTTATTAACATGTTGACTGTATTCATAGTTTGCTAAATTTCTTTTACTTTCATTCTGTGCATCAATGACATTGTAGTTTCTAGTTACTGTTTCATCTTTCTTAACTTCCTTGTGCTTCTTTATTGATTCTAATTCACACATAAATTTATGTGTTAATTTCTCTATTTCTTTGTTAAATTTATTCTTGAGTTCTAGTATATCTTCTTTATAGTTTGACTCCAGATTTCTAAGTAACTCCTCAATAGGTACGTTCTCATCATTGTGGCTTATTAAGTTCACTGATTCATTAATCATCATTAGTTTATCATGATTCCTGCCATTCTCCGATGGACTTATTAAATCATCACTGCCATTCACTGATGGGCTTATTAAATCATTTTGACTGCCATTCACTGATGGACTTATTTCTTGTTTACTACCATTATCTGATGGACTTATTTCTTGTTGACTGCCATTCTCTGGTGGACTTACGATACAACTTTCAATAATATTCTCGTGTACCTGCGTATCATTTAATAAAGAGTCAATCTTAAGACATTCTAATGTATCTGTCACCTTTAAATCATTATTAAGTTCAACCTCTGTTTTTTCCTTGGGTTTCAATTCTTCCTGGACTATGTTACTCTGTTCTTCATTCCAAAGGTGGCCAATATTTACTTCTTCAAGTTCTGCTTTAAATTCTGTCTGTTCACTTTCTAATTTTGGTTCATTTGTGTCTGTTATAGCTTTCATTTCTAATAGTTCTTGTTCATATGCTAGTTCATGTAGGCCAACTTGTTTTTCCATAGTTTCAGCCCTTTTATCTGCTCTCTGTTTTCTGTTTCTTTTTTTCCGCTTTCCTTTTGGTTGTACAGTCTCTTCTACTTTATCTAATTCTGAAATGTCTTCTTCTTTATGCATGTCTGTAATAGCTCTTGATCTATTACACACTATTTCTATCATATCATCTAGTTCTCTCAATACATTTCCATGAGCTCGTCGGGGTTGGTCTGTTTCTTCGTCCCATGCTTCTTTTGCTTCTTCTATGTCTTTTTCAAGTCGATTGGTTGCCCAGGCTATCTGCTTATTCATCTTCTTAATGCCTTGTGCCCTCGCCATTTCCATATATTCTTCCAGTTCTGTTTCATGCTTGTGCTTTCTTTCATCATCTTCTATTTTCCAATTCCTTTCCTCTAACCTCCTAGCCCTCTCTTCTGCCTTCCTAGCCTTCTCTTCTTCTTTTTCTTCAGCTTTCGCCTTAGCAGCTTTTTCTTCTCTAGCCTTCTCTTCTTCTTTTCTCTCAGCTTTCTCTTTAGCAGCTTTCTCTTCATCTTTCTTTAGTAGTTCTTTTATAAATGCCAACCTGTCTTCCTTCGGAATGTCAAGTTCCTTCACAAGTGCTGTATATGTTTCAAAATTTGACATTTTGATATATTTTCTATGACATAAAATATAAATTCATTAGTTGACAATAGATAAATGTTAATTAATTTACAATACCCTTTCTTGTATTCTGGCTTTGTTCAGTTGATTAGAGACATCTAGTAATCCAAGAAAAGTTCATAGTACATATATAGTACAAGAATAGTTCACTTTGTTGATTCCAAAAAGTTGAAAAAAATTCAAAATAGTTCTAGTAGCCTGTTACAGAGTAGAAATTTGTCCAGTTTTAGATAAGACATCTTTAGGAACAGTTTAGGAACAGTTACAAAAATAAACTTGATCTGCTAAATCCAAACAGTAGAAAAACTTGAACAGCTAATCCATATAGAAAAAACTTGAACAGCTAAATCCAAATAGTAGAAAAGAAACACTAAGACTTGATCGGCTAAATCCAAACAGAAAAAACACACAGACGATATTTACTCGACATTGGTGAGACAATATCGAAATAAGGTGATAAAAATTATCACGTTGATGACTTGACTTGAACAAAACGTCTGACTTGACTACAGCAACCCTTCTGACTTGAGTGTAGATAGATGACTTTCAAGAACTTGACGTACTTGGTAAACAGTGGAAGACCACAGACTGTAATATCTCCATTTCTGACATATGTAGCACCAATTCTTCAACCACTTGTGACATCATAAGTAACAGTAATACAATGTAGCAACATCACTTTAATGCCTCCACTTCTGACACCATATGTAACAACATGTATTCTTTGTTGTTGTGGGTTTCATACAGGAACACGAGCAACAGTGGCAACTTGAAATGACAACTTTATTTACACTATGTACAGATAAATCCGTGGTACATCCATATTTGAAGATCAACTGATATAGGTACAAATAATAATCACGACTCCAAGTCATGGAGACATCTTACATTCACTGCCATCGTTCCAGTCCCCAAAATCCTAGCACACCACACCCGTTCACCTTTCGCTCTCTCTTTTATTCACCACTTTCTCTCCCCTTACGTCAATGAGCGATCTCACCCAAAACACGGAAAAACACATGACGATCGCTCAGACAGTCCTTCCGCTAGCCAGGTACTCTTCATTCATGCAAAACACAATATAATAAAGATACATAATAATACAGTCTGTGACACCACTAAAAGGCTAATCAAGACTAACCATTATCTCTGGGTATAACAAGTGGTGTTTCTGTACCAGATGTCTTGGACTGAGACTCTGCTATCTCATCAAATGCTGCTGACCCGTCATAATCATTCAATGGATCAACTGGTGTCTAATAGAGTTTTTAAAACAATCAAAGCGTCATCAAAAGATATTATTTAGAACTATGGTTGGTAACAACAACATAATAACAACACTTAAGTCTCTAATCAGCAGGCATGTACAAAAGCTTAAAAAAGTCTTTAAACTACCAAGAAAACTTACCTTGGAGCCAACATTAGGAGAAGCTTGACCACTAGAAATAAGACGGTCAGCTTTCATTATGCTCTGTGAAAGAAAAAAAAAAGGTTGGTTATACACTTGACAATTTCACAAGTTTTTATCCTAAACAAAACAATAATTGTGTACCAACTTACTCCAGTGTTAAGCAAAGACATTTTCTGTGCCAGTTCTTCTGCATCTACTCCTCGTGTTGAAATAGCAGGTACTTCAATTCCAGTGTGTTCAACCACCTAGCAATAAATAAAGCTTATATCACACTCCTTTAACAACAAGCATAATGACAGTAAAATGCATTAATGTCGATATTTTTAGAAATATTATAGTTCAATGATTTTCATCATTAAAACAGGATGACTGAATCTAAAAACTAAAAAGGGCCTTTATGTATTTTCATAAGCAAAATTCACAAAACTCACCTTGCGTGCTAACTCATTCTGATCATATCCTAAAAGTTCTAAAAATTTTGTTCTTGGCTCTTTTTCAAAATTTACCTGAAAATTGAAATTTTTATGTCAGTATGAGTGATAATAATAAACACACTAAATGAGCTATAGTAAAAATAATTCCAATGTAATTTATTCTGGTAACTACAAACCCTCATAAAATTCCAAAAATTCTCTTGTGTAGATTCGTTACTATTAGCTGCCTTCATAGCACAAAACTCAGCAAATTTCCCCCCACCGAGAGCTTGCTCCAGCTGGTTAGACCTGACAACCAGTTCAGTCTCAGTAACCACTTGGCTGATGGTTACAACACGTGGAGCTGGTTGCTGAGGGTTGGCTGATTTCTCAAGGATGAAATTCACCAGTTTTCCTCCAAACTAAATAGGAAAAAAATTATGCAATCTTATAATGTACCTGAAAATCTAAAATGAACACAACATAAATATATGCCGTAGATATAAAATTAACTGTGCTAACTTTTAATCAGAATCTATAAATAGTGGAATGTATTCAACTTACAGCAAATGTGGCACCCACTGGCTTCCTAATCCACTTGGGTGGCTTTTGTAGAGGAAGTGTCTTTTCCTCCTCATGGGGTAGCTGAACAGGTGCAGCACCAAACTGTGCACCACCAAATGACTCGGCTACCTACAAAATTTATTAGAAACATTACAAGAATTTAATATTTAAATTTTTAAAACATTTGTTGTAAATTTAAAATAAATTTTCTTTACTTTATTGCTAGGCTGGACAGGGTGTCCACCACCCATAAGTGAGTACAGAGTGATATGACCATCAAAAGATGCACTGGAAATAATGGACGGATTCCTGGTACACCACTGAATATCAAAACACCACTGGTTGTTTGTTGAGAGATCATAAACAACCTAAAAAATATAAAAAAGTTACTATGTTGAAAAAGGTTTTTTAAGATCAATTGAAACAAATATATAGTAAGAAAAACTTTCTTAGTTAACCCTTTAAATCCAAATGCCTGATGTTACCAAACACTACTTTTTTATAGTATCATTGCAGCACTGAATCTACTTTTTTTTATAGCTATTTATTTTGCTAAAGATTCTCCAGGAATCTAGGAGCCCAATGGTTAACATAACCCAACATGCCAACCAAATGGTGGCTATACTAACCTCCCCATTAGGTACATTAGAATTGGGATTCCAGCAGAGAATCCTATTATCCCTGCCACAACTCAGTAACAGATCTGGATCTCTCTTACACCAAGACATTGACAAAACACCCCTGGAAAATTAGTTTACAAAATATTAATTAATTATAAATGACAAACAACTGAAATGTAATAATAATATGGTTATTCTGTCTTTAATAAAAAAAATTACACTTCATGTAATAGCAAATTTACAAAATGGTATTTAAAAAAAAAAACACTCACTTTTGGTGGCTCTCTAAAACTTTTAATGGTGATGTAGCATATCTTAAATCCCACACTTGAATGACTGGAGTGTGATCATCTTCAGAAGATAGACACAACTGTGTGGCAATCTCAGGGTGCCAGGCAATCAACTTGGCCTTAATCTGCGCAGATATACACAGTTACAATCTTCTATAAATTATGAAACTTTATTAATAAACTTCTGCGAGTAATTAAAAAAAGAGCGCAGCAAAAGCAATACTTACTCTAGACATACTATCGCTAATTTTAATTATAGGCTCATTCTTCCTGAGGTCCCATACAACACATTTAGATGCAAAAGTGGATCCTAATATATGCTGCACCTGACAGTTCCATGCAACACAGGCTAACTCTTCTGCTGGCTACAGGTAAAAAATATTTTATTTTGTTAAATGGGCAACTGCAAATAAATGATACATTTTGTAAAATATATAATTAATATGGAAGAGATGCTAAAAGTGATAATTTATGTAACAACCTTAGTAAGAGGTGAAGGAAAAGCTCATAAATAATAAAGAAATACCTGTGATTTCTGACCAGGTGTCATTGGACTGTCTGTTTTCAAGAGATCCCAAATAAAAATTTCTGAGTCGCCAGCACCAGATGCAAGTAAATTTGACTGCAAAGAAAATCATGTTCATTTACAGAAAACTAAGAAATAGTGGATAGTTAGCTTATCATCAAAGTGGAACAGCTCCTAAAAAAAAAACAACCTAGCGGTTAATGGCTAATAGACATTGAATTTGAAAGTTTGTACCTGAAATGGGTTTAAATCAAGAGCCTTGACAGCTCCTGTGTGCCGAGTTAACTGGGTGCTCAAACTGTTACTAGAGCCAGCCAACAACTTGTCAGCACTGTAAACATGGATACTCCCATTTTCTCCACCGCCTATGATGACACCACTTTCAGTATCTTTCAGCGGGCCCCAAACTATTTTATGAAACCTAAAACGAATAGAGATAAACAACTTCTTATTACATTTGCATCTTCTAAAAATGATCTAACTAATACAACTGGAATAGTTTTCCCCCCCCAGATATTTCCAACTATCAAGTTTAATAAAAAAAAACATAATGTTAGAAATGAATAAATACAAGAACCACTGTACACACAAATAATTATTCACCTCACGTCTGAAGCCACAGAAGAAACTAATGGCATATCAAGAGTTGCCTCATCAAGGTTTAAACTGTACAGCTCAATGGCTGATGTAGTGCTGAAAAAAACAAATGAAATATTATCTAGGGCCTGTAGTTTTTCAAAAAATATAAAGTAAATTGAATCCGTCCAGAAAAAAAAAAATATGTCAATTCAATAGGACTAGGTTAAAACCTCAAAAACTCCAGAAGCAGAACATTACATTTAAAAATGTATGCCTAAATCAGTGTCTATTAAAAAATATTGATGAAAATGTACCTGAAAGTTGCATCAAGTTGTTGGGCAGCCGTTCCTGTTGCTACATAAATTGGATATTTATTCTCAGGGGACCATGCCATATTGGCTGTCCTATCTATCTCCTTGACTCTCATCTTCAAAAGTTGTCTGCAGTAACATACAAAAACAGTGTGGTTACCGTTAATCATTAATCCCAATCATTAATTTAATTCGTTAGCCTACAAAGTAGGCCAACAAATGCTTAGCAATCTGACCAATAAAATTAAGTTACAAAAGAAGCTAAAGCTATAATTAATTAGTTTACATGCTCTAAATTTAACAAGATTGTAAATGATCTCTTAGATTAGTAGTCTAGATTCTAGATCAAGAATCTGTTATTCCGACTCTTGCCGACTCGGCTAAACCACAGATTTTTGTGTGTTGTTGTTGCTCAGTCAGAACAGATCTACTTTTTCAAAAAACATAAATAGACTATGTAAAGTATGTAATTAGGTCTATAGAATACATAGATTTTGATTTATATCTTTGACCACTCTAAAATTTAACAAAGTATGTGCCTTTTACCAAAAAAACAAATTTTCGTTATGAATTGACGCAGGATAATACTCCAAGAAAAATATTTAGTTGTTTTCAACGTGGCAGTCGCCACAGTACAACCTCACTTCCGCTTCCGTTCCAACACCACAATAAATTACATGGCCATATTTTATATGTCTATTTATTCTGTCATATAAACCTAGGCCTAACCTAGCTACAGCCAACAACCAGAGGAGTAGCGACCCCCTCCCGGCTTTTAATTTGGCGCCCCCACCCACATATATATATATATATATATATATATATATATATATATACAGAGGCGTAGCGATGGGGGTGGGGGGGGGGGGGGTGCGGACCACACCGGGTGACACCATTAGGGGGGGGGGGGGTGACACCAAGGCAAAAAATAGCAAAATATATAGAGAAAAGTTTGAGGAGGTGGGGTGCAAATCGAAAGTTTGTCTGGTGTGGGGGGGGGGGGGGGAGAAGTGTGAATATCGATTTTGAGAAAGGTGACAGCATTAATGGAATACCCTTAATGCTTATTTTATAATTGCTACAGTAGCGTTGATCGCACCAGGTGACACAATCCAAGCCTACTTTATTGAATTCAAAAAGAAAAAAAAAGTAAAAGTAGTATTATCGTTTATACTCTGTATACGCTTAGCCTATGAATGTAGATATGTATAATATTAATAACCTGTATGTATGTGTAATCATATTAATTTTTTTCAGGCATTCCTCCGAACCCCCTACCCGTGCACAGTCGCCCGGAAGAAAAAGAACAAATATGCGGCCCCCGGAACTTTTAAGTGTACCCCCTGAAGTTTCCAATGTCGCCCTCCTCTATTTAAAACAGTAATTTTTCTCTTAAATGTTCATGTTATATTTTACAGGCAACGCAAGGGTTGAGCAATGGACGGGGGAGGTGGCGAGGGGGGGGGGGGGGGTGGGGTGTGTGTCACGCGACAAAAGTTAAGCTAGTATATAGTAGATCGTACGATAGCCCCACCAAAATACAATGTTTTGATTATCAGCGACTTCAAAAATAAAAAAAAAATCCACACTTCTTCATTACAATACAAATAGAATAACGATTCTCCATCGATGATATATTAAAAATACATTGATGTCTCAACCGGGCGCGATCTAAGTTCTGGCTTCCATACACCAATCTCAATGGGGCGCCCACAAAGCCGGAGAACGCAGTCCAGTTCATCCACGACGTTGGACTTGTTTAAATCCTCTGACATAAATACAATTAAGAGCGAAGAAGAAGAAGAAAAATAATGATGATTCTTCATCGACGAGATATTAAAAATAGAATGATGATTCTCGATCGACGAGAGACCCCACGAGATGCCAAATCACAGACAGTCACTCTCAGTTACCCACACTGCTCGTTACGCCTCTTGCCTGTTTCGAAGTGATTGATTGGTTGAAATTTTAATCCGCTATATATAGTTTTTTTTTTAAAAAGCGAAAATGGCCCATAAAAAAGAAGATCTGTGAAGATTTGTCGGCCTTATCGTTATTTATGGATTTGTGTTTTCGTTAAACAACTTGAGCTAGAGCAATATAGAAATCAAATTTCACGTCAAATCGTTGATTAATGTGTCTTTACAAAATATAGAAGGAGTGATCTCCTTTCAACTTTTTTGTATGTAAATAAAAAAAAAAATTAGAATCAGTGTTTCTTCCAGACTTTTTTCTCCGGGGGGGGGGGGGGGGGGCACTTGAAATCTTCGGGGGGGGGGGGGGGCGGTAAACTTTCTTCGGGGGGGGGGGGGGGGGGGTTGGACACTGTAAAAAGTATATATTTTCTATATAAATTATATAAATTAGAATAGAGTCGCTTATTATAGAAAAAAGAATTGCGCACATATTATGTATATAATAGAGGGGAAATGTATTGCTCTATAAAGTAAAAATTAATTAGTTTTTAAAAAGTTAACTAAACTTCTATTTTAATTCACAGTTTATGTCATAATGTATTGCCATCGAGTCTTGACCAAAAGGTTGAAAGAAATTGGTCCGATAGATGCTCGAAAGTTTGCTTGAACTTTCCGCACATGACTGATGATAGAAAGATAGTCAAGAAAATTAACTTCTTATGTCTTTCGAGGGATCGAAATAACGTAAAGAACTACTTTCGGTTACCGGAAATCTCTCAGATTTGACAGAATCCAGGGAATAAGATCTCATAAATATGTATGAAATAGAGCTAATCACCACTTCCGGGTACATGGGGAAATGCTCAAAATTAGCTAGAAAACTGCGCATGCAACGTAATACTTCTCCAACTTTCATTGTACTCAAGATATTGACTTTTTAGAAACTGAGAGTAAAGTAAGTACCATTTCCGGTTATCCTAACACTCTAAAAAGTTGAAAGAAAGTTACAAATTTGATATAATACTTAATACAGACAGACACACCAACAAACAGACAAAATTGCAAGTTTTCCGACACAGGGAGGTGTAAAAGGTCGAAATTGGTCGAAACCTCGATTTCGATTTTTTTGAATGGTTACAATACTTCCTCTATTCTTCATATACTAGAAGGTAAAAAGGAAACGAGAGCTCTCATTGCCCAAATGCAAAGTCTAATCCTCCATAGCCAATTCATAGGAGTTAGTGCTTAGTGCAGGGTATATAGATTTAGATGATTCACAGGAGTCAGGCCTTAAGCCTAATTACCATTTCAGTTTATTTTAGACACCGAAAACTTATGTATTGAGCTTAATTTCCCAACATCTTTTTTTAAAACGAATAAAAAAACACACAACACAATGTCACATTGTATTTTTTTTTACTTTTATCACAGACATTCTTTTCTAGTTTTATGATTTTATTTATAATACGTAATGAAAAACAGGTGTCGACAGATGACCTATGACCTATGACCTCACAGCTTTGACGACTTGGTCTGTTGGAGAGGGCTGTCTGTCATCCTAGAGCTGACATTACCAAGCTTCAAACAGCTGAGTTGTCCGCCCTGCGCGTTGTTGACCTTGTCGGTTGCCATGGGAGCCACGCGCATGCGCCTGTGTTTCATGAGCAGAGCTAGAAAAGTTTTTCTAAACTTTTGGTTCATGAAAGCGTAGATGATGGGGTTGTAGGCGGTGCTGCTTAGGGCTAGACACTAAGGGAAGAGAAACAAAGATAACGATATGTTGTACGTTGTCTGGATCAGAGCTACTTTCAGGCATTTCTTCTACCGCCCTCCCGAACGAAATGAAATTTTTATAGAAAACATATACTATTACCAGAGTTCACCCCCCCCTCGGAAAATTGCCCCCCCCCCCGAAGAAAAAAGCCTGGAAGACACACCGGTCCCGATACTATAACTATACAATACTGTAGAAGAATACTTGTAGGTACTCAACTAGGTACAAAATATAGAATTTTGGTAAGTCGTTGGTGGGATCTTGAAGCGAATACTTTTTACGCCAAGGTTTCCCAAAGCTCAACAGTTCCTAGCGTTGAGCATTGTTAGTAAGTAGTTAGATGTGGTATGCTCTACTATTCGACAGCGCCTCAGGTCTACTAAAAACTCACCTGCAGGTAAAACCTCAGGTGATATAAACCCACCTGCAGGTAAAACCTGTGATATTAACCTACCTGCAGGTAGCACATGTGATATAAGCCTACCTGCACGTAAAACCTCAGGTCCACCCAACTCACATGCAGGTAAAACCTCAGGTGATATAAACCTACCTGCACGTAAAACCTCAGGTGATATAAACCTACCTGCACGTAAAACCTCAGGTACACCCAACTCACATGCAGGTAAAACCTCAGGTGATATAAACCTACCTGCAGTTAAAACCTCAGGTCCACTCACCTGCAGGTAAAACCTCAGGTCCACCCAACCCACCTGCAGGTAAAACCTCAGGTCCACCCAACCCACCTGCAGGTAAAACCTCAGGTTCACTCAACTAACCTGCAGGTAAAACCTCAGATCCATCAGCGTGTGGGAAGGCTTGAGGTTGATGTCCTCTGAGGCCACCAGGTCGTAGACCAGCAGGGGCGACCAACAGGCCAGGAACAGGACTACGACCAGCACCAACATCTTGATGGCTTTCTTCTTGTAGCGGTTCCTCATGCCCTCTGCACTGATGACAGCCACGCCCACAGATGGCTGGAAGCAAGGTAGTTAATGACAAGGTAGTTAATGACAAGGTAGTTAATGACAAGGTAGTTAATGACAAGATAGTTATGACAAGATAGTTATGACTAAATAGTTAAGACGTGGTAGTTTATGAGTAACTTCACTGCAGATATTGAAGGTAAAACGTAAAGTTATCTGTTCGGACCAGATGTCAATAAGGCAGATGAAATAGCGTTCACCTGTTTCTGTAACTACTGCTTATAAAGTGATAGAAAGGTTAGTGCTTACATTATTCCATAGCCTGTAAATGATGACCCCATAGGCTAGACCACTGTACTAACCTTAATCCATAGCCTGTAAATGATGACCCCATAGGCTAGCGTGAGTACCACTGTAGGTAGGACAAAGAGCACACAGAACGTGAGCCTGCTCAGATAGGTCACGGTCGTGATGGAGCTATGCTTGACACTACACATCACGTGCTGTGGGGGAAAGGATGGGGGTGGGGACAAAACATTCAGAGATGATCACATGGTGTCCATGAAGACTCAAGGGTCCAATAATATTAATTAAAGGCTATCTGATGTAGAAATTCGATGCTCAGATTGATACTGAAATAGCCTAAATGTAGTTGACAGAGCTATGATATTTTAATTAGTTCAGCTACTGCTAACGACAATTTAATAAAGCGATAATCTCCTGTATTGGTTTCAACACTAATTTAATGCATAATGTTGGAATAATATTTGTTGGGATGGGGAAATACTTCATCAAACCCCTCCCTTAAAAAAAAAACAACTATCTTGGTTAAGAGAGTAGTGTCACAAGATCGAATTCTTTGAGCACTAGATGACACAGTGTGTGGTGAATGTGTGTGTGTGTGTGTGGTGTGGGGCAACACATAGAAAGAAAATAATCGTCCAGTTGGAATGATAACAAATCGATGTAATATAAACCTTTCTCACTTGTTGATACTACATGGGCGTGGTGACCCCTTAAGCTACTGCATCTGACGCCTAAACATAAACACCAGGAAAATTATGTCTCTGATGAAATTGTAAATTACGTTGTCGTAGTTTTGGCTGTCTGGTTTGGATTATTTTTTATTTTTTGGTTTTTGTGTGATTTATGTGTCTTACGTTTTTACACGAACCGCTCGGCACACTGTGACCGCACAAATTGTGTGTATCATAGCAGAAGGCGAAGGGCGCGCCCAGCACAACAGCGATCAGCCAGACGATCAACAGCAGCAGCAGAGCTCGTTTGGTCGTCTGGGCACAAAAAAAAAAAAAAAATTCATTACACAAAAATCAATACGTATAGATCTATAACGCAAATTTGGTGGTAAAAAATGGGATCATGAATGCATCTGGACATTAAAAGAAAAACTGTCACGATATTAAAAAGCAATATTTTTTATAACGAATCTGATAATTTGATAAGGTTTAAACAGACAGCGGAGATAAGCGAAACAGACAATTTTGTCAAGAGTTTTCAAAGTGCTTCCCCTTTAAAGCTTCTAAAATTTCTTTATTGAATTTGCTTTTTTTGTTTTTGGTTTTTTGGAATATATTGGTCTAGATATTTTTCTTATCAAAAAGTATAGTAACCTTTGCAAACCATACGTTCACTAAGGTAGGCGCAGTAGATATAATCTGTTAGGGTGGTGTGGAAAATTTTGACCAACACACTTTTGTACTTCAGAATTTATTTTGTTGCACTGTGCTGTCTATTGATTTACATTTTAGCTTTACTTTCATTACAGATGTTACATTCTGTGTTGCCAGTTTGGATCTTTTAAAAATGTACACAAGATAAAACTGAACACGGTAGGTCAATCCTTTATTTTTCCAATACCTGAACAATGGTTAGAGCCACAAGCACCTGAGTAAATCGACCTTTACTAGTTAACAGAATTATATACATAAACACCAATCATTGACAACACCTAACCTACCACTAAAAACCCCTAACCTACCACTAACAACACCTAACCTACCACTAAAAACCCCTAACCTACCACTGACAACACTTTGAGCCAGACCACAAGCAGTGGCGTAGCCAGGATTGTCTCAAGGGAGGGGTTCCAATTTTTACCCGGGGACAAACTTTCGAATTGCACCCCCCTAACACCCCCTGCCTACGCCACTGACCACAAGTATCTTTTTCATGAGGGCCAGTAGATGACCTCTAGTACTTATGTAATGATGCCCCCCCCCCATATGGTCAGCAGATGGCCACTAATACCTGTAATGACGTAAACTTGAGTGGGTGTATGATGCCCACTAATACCTGTAACGACGTAAACTTGAGTGGGTGTATGATGGCCACTAATACCTGTAACGACGTAAACTTGAGTGGATGTATGCTGCCCACTAATACCTGTAATGACGTAAACTTGAGTGGGTGTATGATGGCCACTAATACCTGTAATGATGTAAACTTGAGGGGGTGTATGATGGCCACTAATACCTGTAACGATGTAAACTTGAGCGGGTGTATGATGGCCACTAATACCTGTAATGATGTAAACTTGAGTGAGTGTATGATGGCCTCCAAAAGGCCAGAAGATGGCCACTAATACCTGTAATGATGTAAACTTGAGTGGGCGTATGATGGCCACAAATGCCTGTAATGACGTAAACTTGAGGGAGTGTAAGATGGCCACTAATACCTGTAATGACGTAAACTTGAGGGGGTGTATGATGGCCACTAATACCTGTAATGATGTAAACTTGAGTGGGTGTATGATGGCCATGTATCTCTCGCCGGCCATACAGCACAGGGTCAACATGCTGGCTATGATGTTCATCTGCATGACGAAGGGCAGCAGGCGACAGGTCAGACTTCCAAAGATCCAGTCAGTTCTCACAGCTTGGCCCAGGTTCAGTGGGATGCTGGTTATACTGGGGTCAGTAAAGTATCGTGTATGATGTTGGTTATACTGGGGTCAGTAAAGTATTGTGTATGATGTTTGTTATACTGGGGTCAGTAAAGTATCGTGTATGATGCTGGTTATACTGGGGTCAGTAAAGTATTATATATGATGCTGGTTATACTGGGGTCAGTAAAGTATCGTGTATGATGTTGGTTATACTGGGGTCAGTAAAGTATTATATAGGATGCTGGTTATACTGGGGTCAGTATATATAAAGTAGTGTATCTGATGCTGGTTATACTGGGGTCAGTAAATATAAAGTAGTGTGTAAATATGTTGGATATACTGGGGTCAGTAAGTATGAAGTATTGTTTATGATGCAGGTTATACTGGGGTTAGTAAATAAAGTATTGTATAAGATGTTGGATATATTGGGGTCAGTAAGTACAAAGTTTTATATTTGATGTTGGATATACTGTGTTCAATGAGGTTAAGATAATATACTACCGGGTATTTAAAAACATAACCACTATAAATTACAAAACAAAATTTTGAGCGGAGGGCGGTTATTTAAATTGTAATAATGGTTTATGTGGAAATGTTTTGCCAGGCGGGAGAGGTTGGGGAGGGGGAGAAACTGTTGTGATTTATATATATATATATATATATATATATTGGATTTTGATATAGGCCTACTTGAAAACTCTTTAATTTCTTTATTTTTATTACAGTCTGTATTTCTTTGTCTTTGTATGTATAGCGACGTAAGAAGTAATCAAACAATTACCCAATGTTAACTTTCTGTTTTTGTTGTTTTTGTAAGCTTAACTTACCTCAGTAGCAGATCGCTGACGGCGAGCGAGACAATGAACATGTGCATCATGGTCCACATCATCTTGTTGAGCCCCACACTGACCAGCACCAGGAGGTTCCCGCTGACCGCCACGGCGAGGATGACCACGAAGGTCACGGACAGCGTGACCTTGTTGGCGAAGGACGTGGCAATCAGCTCCAGGAAAGGGTCGGGGCGGGGCGCAGGTGTGCGGTCCTCTAGCAAGTCCGCGCAGACAGGTGAGAAGTTGGAGGAGACGATGAAGCACAGGATGTTGATGATCTCATCGATGTCCGTCGCGTTGGGCAGCTCGGCGAAATACAGACTTCCGACTTCCGGTGAGGTCTGGTGGGGGTGTTTTGGCCGGATCATCGCTTTGGCACGTTTTCCGGCGTCCGGAAATATACTTGATTTACTTCTTTTGTATCCACAACAAAAAAGAAAACAACAACAACTGGATACGAGAAACTTAAAAGTAATATCCAGAACTGTAAGAATCCTTTAAAAATACATATTTTTAAATGTCTTAACACATCGAACTAAAACGGCGTTGGCAAGTACTTTTAAAACAACACTCTAAAATTAAATTTTTGTTAAAATTAATTTTTCTCTTAGTCGGGAGATTAAGTAAAATTTTACGAGAATTTCTTATAGAAAAGCTGATGGTAAGATATAAAAACGCTAGCTGCATAAACCATACATTGCTTCACTTTCAGCTTTCTCCTTGCGCTGTCTCCAGCCGGTAACTCCACATTGCGCTAGAGCCGAAGACAAGATACCAGCTACGTTATCTTTACAAAACAGATAAAGGGGGGGGGGGGGAATTGTTTTTAAATTTGTTTCAAAAAGTTAAAAAAAAGTATCGTTGGCCACGTTTAATTCCATTTACAAAGCACAGACACTATATCGGTTATCTGTGAAATGGCGGCCAAAATCAAACGGAAGTTGCTTCGGAGATTGGGATCTGAAGGGCTAAGTGGGAGATTGATCGACGTCAAACAGTATCCGTGTTGTAACGAGCGACTCCATGCCGCCGGTGTCCGGGTAACAGATTCATGCCCACCCCCGGGCTAATGTTATCTGTGGGTGAGCGCTCATGCCGCCGAGTTCTTTAAATAATGCACGCCACTAATGGTTGGCAGTGAGGACATTGAGAGGCAGATTACACGTGCGAGTTGTGGAGGGGGGGGGGGTTGGAAAATGTGGGCCAGACAAAATTTAAATGCAGTTTTTTTTCTTTTGATCTGTTGAGGTAAATTATTGATGCGGCTTTTGGGGGATTTGGAATAGGTCAAGGGTGTTGCAAACCTGATGTCTGGGTTTTAGGATAGGTCAAGGCTATTTCAAACCTGATGTCTGGGTTTTAGGATAGGTCAAGGATATTTTAAACCTGATGTCTGGGTTTTAGAATAAGTCAAGGCTATTTCACACATAATGTTTGGGTATTTAGAATTGGTCAAAGATATAACAAAACTGATGTCTGGGTTTTAGGATAGGTCATGGGAATTAATAATCTAATGTCTGGTATTTAATTAATTAAATACACACATTTTTACACCAACTACTCTGAACTACATACACATATTTTGTCATATCAACAACAAACATACATTTTTACATTAATAATATATACATATATTCTCACATCAATTACATAGGCATATACTTTCACATCAACTACATAGGCATATATTTTCACATCAACTACAATTGCACCTATTTTAACATCTTCCACATACACATATATTACTAACACATTTGAACGACACTGTATTGAAAAAGAAGGGTGATCTAATTTAATGTCAACTGTACTCCACTTATCAAGTTTCACCTTAATGCAAGAGGCCGATACATTTCTGCCCAGAAAATGTCTGCACTCCCTCGAGAGTCTGTCTCTGTTTCCGGTTTAAAGTTCCCCATCAACCCATCATGGTAAGAGAGATGCATTGGGGGTGGGGGTGGGGGATGGGGGGGGGGAGACGTCTGTCAAGGAACATCTTGTTCCTTCATGAGTTGTAGAAAGCAACTTTTGACATAGGACTTTTTGTTCCTTCATGAGTTGGAGAGAGCAACTTTTGACATTGAACGTTTTGTTCCTTCATGAGTTGTAGAGAGCAACTTTTGACATAGAACTTTGTTCCTTCATGAGTTGTAGAGAGCAACTTTTGACATAGAACTTTTTGCTCCTTCATGAGTTGTAGAGAGCAACTTTTGACATTGAACGTTTTGTTCCTTCATGAGTTGTAGAGAGCAACTTTTGACATAGAACTTTGTTCCTTCATGAGTTGTAGAGAGCAACTTTTGACAAAGAACTTTTTGTTCCTTCATGAGTTGTAGAGAGCAACTTTTGACATAGAACTTTTTGTTCCTGCAATTCAGAACTGGCGAGACGTCCGTTATAGAAAGAAAATTTCATTCCTTTCTTCTTCTTCTGCGATCTTAATTCTAGTGTTTGAAGGATTCCCACCAGTCCAGATAAGTATTACGTTTCAACTTGTTATG